TGAGAAACGGAACAGAAACGAAACAGAGCGAAACGAAACGAAACATGGCGAAACGAAACGAAACATGGCGAAACGAAACGAAACACAGCGAAACGAAACGAAACACGACGAAACGAAACGAAACATGTAAATTGAGAAACGAAACACTACGAAACGAAACATGTAAATTGAGAAACGAAACACTACGAAACGAAACAAAATCTGTATTTTGAGGAACGACATATAGAAAATTTTCCTGACGAGATATGTGCATAGCCGAAGACACCGAACATTCCATTCAACTTTGAAAAAATTACTCGTCATTTACATTGGTATCTTCGTGCATTAGTTGCAATTAGTCAACTTGTTTTGTTAAATGTTAGGCTTAGGTGCGTCAGCTATGCTACAGAGCCTGTTCTAATATCAAGACTTCTTGTCACGTGCAACAATGAGGGAACATTGAAATTAGAATAGCTGTTATTGGGGATCGTCTGAATATCAGCCTCAAACAAAATTGGCCATTCTTACCTTTGTGACTAGGATTTTTATGTACCGCCTACGGTAGTGGGGCATAATCTTTTCTGGTCTGTGCTGTCGTCCGTCAGTCCGTCCGTCCAATACTAGGTTTATTCTGTTTGTTAAGATAGATTAAATTACAATAGAGTTGTGTTCATGTCAGCTTGAAACACATGTTCATTATGACATGTTCTTTTTGAAATGTATGCCAAAATAGGAATTTGAACCATAATTTGCGATTCAATGAACATGCAAATTTGATATTTTAAGCGAGTCATACTGTCCTATGGATACTTAACACATGACATGAGTAAAATCTCTTTGTTCTCACTGTGCTATAATCTGGATAATGCACAGCAAAGTTGTGCATTTACTACCTCAGATATACTGCACAGTTCAAAAGTACTCTTACCTTTAGGGGCGGACCCTCGATTTTGAAAGGAGTGTAATTCCATATAAAATTTAAAAAATATCACCGAGTGTACATGTAGCGAATATAAAAAAGAAGATGTGATATGATTGCTAACGAGGCAACTCTCCACAAGTGACCAAATGACATAGTAATTAACAACTATAGGTCACCGTACGGCCTTCAACAATAAGCAAAGCCCATATCGCATAGTCGGCTATAAAAGGCCCCGAAATGACGTACAAATGTAAAACAATTCAAACGAGAAAACTAACGGCCTAATTTATATACAAAAAATGAACGAAAAACAAATATGTAACACTTAAACAATTGACAACCACTGAATTACAGGCTCCTGACATGGGACAGGCACATTCATACAGAATGTGGCGGGGTTAAACATGTTAGCGGGATCCCAACCTCCCCCTAACATAGGACAGTGGTGTAACAGTACAACATTAGAACGAACTATAAAAATCAGTTGAAAAAGGCTTAACTCATCAGATGGATACAAATAACATAATCTAACAAAAACAGAGTGGACGTGGCCGGGTACTTGTATATCCCAACAACAAAAAGACACTAAGTACTGATCTGAGAGTACTCGAAGTTACTGACAGCTAGTTCAAAGCCACTAACAAGTAATAAAAAAATCATGCATCTAAGACTAAATTATCAATCTATACACATCCAACATCCAATGGATTTAATGTACCGACGTCATAAACAGTCAGAGGAAAAAGACGACCTTGTGTAATGCCAAGATACAGGTATCGACAGATTGTAGATCCATGAATGTGTATATGAATTATATAGCAATAATATTTAGTTTGCTTTTAATTTACTGACAACAAAATCAATATTGATACCAATAAAACAATTTTCAATGATCTAATTACAGTGTTGCATTGGTAACCTTTTAGAATAAGTTTATTTCACGGATCGACAAGTTTACCAGGATCGTTTCTAAATTTCCGGGCACGGTAAACAACATTTCCATAAAAATTAGGATGTGCTATCCCATTTGAACTTCAAAACCAAATCTTTATATCTATGGAAGAATTTAGTAAAGGTTTTAAGTAATTTGTGGTAACGAAATCCCTGGCTTAATAATTTACCAGTAATACATAGATTACGTTCGTTAAAATCAAAAACGTCACAACAGACACGGGCATAGCGAACGAGTTGTGAAATTCAAACACCATAAGATGGTGCCAATGGAACATCACCATCCAAAAAGGGAAAAATAACAATCGGGAACGAAAAATCGTCCCTTTTGTCGTAAATTTCGGCAGTATATTTAGAAAATTCTTGATTTTTTAACGAAAAATATCATCAAGATAAAGGTAAGTGTTGTTGAATTTATCAGTTAAATGCAATTTTGACGGGTCTTTACTTAGTGTGGTCATAAACTATGATTCATAACAGTACAAAAACAAGTCTGCTATTAAAGGGGCGCAATTCGTGCCCATTGAAATACCTACAACCTGTCGATAAACTTTGTTGCCAAAACGTACATAAATATTATCAAGAGGAAATTAACAGCTTCAATCATCTCATCCCACCTCCAGTAAGTATATCTAGCATATTTACCTTTCACATTAAAGAAGCAGGCTTTAAATGAATTGCAGCAAATATATTTGCATTCAGATTTACCAAACGACCATTTAATTAAATAAGAAAACTTTTGTTTGATAAGATTGTGTGGAGGTGTAGTGTAAAGAGTAGAAAAGTCAAAACTGTCAACAGAATTCAAAAGACCATCAAAAACATCTAATTTATTTAAATCATCCATTTTTTTCACTCCAAAATAGACGATTTTATGCTAAAACATGATATGTTTTCCACTCAAAGGGTGGGACATAAAATATTTTATAATATTTTGTGTACAATGTACATCTAAAATCAGTGTTTCCCAGTCAAACCAGATAATAATATTTTTTTTTGTAATATCTGCCGAAAAAGAAATGTATTTTAGAATATCCAAATAAATAAAATCTGATTTGGATTATAGTTTCGTGCTCAATGGAATTAATTACGACTATTTAGATATGTATGCCTTTTAAGTTTTGGGATCGAATTTAATGAGGAACATATTCAAGTTTGTATCAAAGCAGGTTTGGGGGATAAGCTACAGATCAATCAGATTTTGTTTAGAAGCGACATGTCTTTAAAATTGATACAGTAAAAAAAATGGAGGGAGGGGAAGTTAAAGATTGAAAAGTGTAACATTATTTTTTGTTTACATATTAATATTTTTAATTTAGGTACATCTCCACATGGGAAGGTCGACTATTCATATGTATTATATATTGATAGAAACAAGTGTCTGTGTACATCTCTCTTTGGTTCATCTTCCTAGAATTATTGGGGGAAAGATAGACAATTAATCTATACACAATAACCAGTTTAGTTATGATTTTTTATGCACCGATTCAAAAGTACACTCAACGGAACTAAAACTGTATGAAATGTAGGTTACACGTCAATAAGACAGCAACCAAACGACAAGAACAAACTAAGGACATCTAGAAGGCAACTTATAGTATAATTTCAACAATATATAGGTGTCTACACAATATGTCCATTTCTAATTCGTCACTATAACATATTCTAGTTTGTATTCGTTTCTTCTTTGTTTTTAAGTTTCAAAGATTTTTTATTATGGCAGTCCATGACCATGATAACATTCTTCTTCTTTCATTTTGTTGCAAATCAGGCAAGACATCATCTCGTTTAATACAAGTTCAATTCATATAAACCTTTTAAACTACTTACAACAGGTACCATCGACTTCAACTGTATGGAGATGCCGTATGTACTTCGTAACTTATCTTTTGAAAATGCGGTAGATACTATACATAGTAACACGCGTCTGTCAAGATAAATGGCGAATAACAAAACACAATATTCGGTACCGTAAGTTTATAAAAGAAAGTAGAACATGAAGAGTCGAACATACAATATTGTATGAATAAAAGGAGAAAATTGACTGTGCTCCAGTACCACTTTAGATCACAAGGTCACGATTAAAAACTGCCTCGGGTCACCAGGTCACTTTTAAGCAAACTATTCAGTTCTAAACTGATTTGATTCTCGGTTTAAACATTTTAAAGGTCACATGTACTTTCAAAAGAGACGTCAGGTCGCAACGTGGTCAATACCCCCTTTGACGTCCCAGGTCGGACTTGACAATGTTGTAGCCACATATAGGGTGAATGCATCCAACTTGAACATTTGGATCCTACTACCTGAAGTTATGTATGGCAAAGTGTCCATACCATTTACATATTTTGGCTATGGTTATTTCACTTGGGATACGTACATGTAAGTGTTTCATTCATGAATCAAATACCTTTCTTGGCACAAACTCATAAACAATAAATGATAAAAACCTATTGCAGATTATTGCATATACAATGATATTAACAGACGTGATCGAATGAAAAGTTATACATACTAATATATCATAATATTATTAATGATAACAATGTGTGGGACTATAAAGCACAGAAAAATACAAAGCACAATAGAACTGGTATGTAATGCGTTCTTTCTAGTGCGGCAATCAGTGAAGTTAATCCCAGTGTGTAATGTGTGTTCGAATAATCCGTTAATCACACGTTCTCCTTGGATTAAACGAGATCTTTTGTATACATATATAAAAAAAAGCAGAAACAGATCCAGAGTTTAAGGAAAGGGGGAGGCATAATTGTCCAAAAAGTTAAACATACCACCAATGTTGTTTTTTTTTGACGATTTTTAAGCAAGCGATTAGATGATATCAATGAAAAGGGCCCCATTAACCCACATTGATCTTCGGCTATGTCAGGAAGATTTTCTATAGGTCGTTCCTTGAAATACAGATTTTGTTTCGTTTCGTTGTGTTTCGTTTCTCAATTTACATGTTTCGTTTCGTTTCGTCGTGTTTCGTTTCGTTTCGCTGTGTTTCGTTTCGTTTCGCCATGTTTCGTTTCGTTTCGCTCTGTTTCGTTTCTGTTCCGTTTCTCACTTTACCGGGACCCTAAGTCCTTGGTATTACCAGAGACATATATAATTGTATTAAATATGTCTTTTGTATGAACAAATCAAAAACATGAGCTTTGGTGAGTCTTCAACCGACTATCGTGATATACAACGTTTCTTTCCCTTTCCGATAATGACACCAGACACTGAGAGAAATGCATGATAACAACTTTATGAAAATTGTCAAAGTTTATATCTAACCTTGGGATTAATAGTTGTTGCTGTTGTTGTTCAGATGATCTAAGAAATGTTTATTATTGTAATTAAAACTGAGACTACTATATGTGTTATAGTAGCCCTGTGACATAATATATTTAAAAGTCATAGAATAGTCTCAAATTAATATATGCCTCCTTGTCCCTGCCTGAGATTACACTCCGTCCCTCCAGGAACATATATATTGATATAGATATTCTGTTCCCAGGTCTTTATATAACATAGCAGCTATGATCAGCTATGACAGCTTGTAAGATGGATTTTACGAAATGGGAATTACTCACTGTACAGCGTAAAGGGGCATTAGCTGTCATTGACTCAAATTCATGTTCTTGGATTTGATTTTATGCTTTCTCTGGCATATATAATCAACTACGTTTCAAATTAATAAACTTCTATTTTTCAAACACATGTACATGTAATCATTACAATAAATCAAGAGAACAATCAACAGTCAAACTAATATATAAACCAAATACGGACTTATGCAACAAGACACAAAATCCAATAACTGGTTAAGGAGAGATAACTCTCTTTAAAGTATGCTTACTTTACCAAATGTCTTGACCATACCAAACTGACATATAACATTGACTCAAATTCTCATATTTGATTTATAACATACTAAAATGTATATCCAAATTACAATAAGTCTGAAATAAACAATTAAAAATGCATAGACTCGATATCATATATCAACATTTCGTGTGTATTTAAGTCTAGACGCCATCTAATTAAAGATCGAGATGACCTCCGAAGACTGCCAACTGTCACATAACCTGATATAAACATAAACATAAATATAAATAGATAGCGACCTCGTGCAATTGGACTTTTCTTGGTCTGTTTGATTTCATGTTATAGGTTAAAAAAATAAGTTAATCATCGTTTTTACCTGTATAAGAGTGATTTTTGGTGGATCGAATCAGTCAACGAAATGGTTCACCTTTGTTTCACTTTCAATGTTGACATTCTTTTCCTTTTAATGGCTGAACACGACTAATACATGCATAACCAATCTCTAGCTATCTGTGCATTTACTTATGATCCGTTCAACCAAAGCTTTTTAAATTTTAATATGTTGTTACTGATGACAAAATGGAGGTCAAGTTCGATATTGACGATTTACACTCTCACTGTTCAGGAGTTATGGTTCTTGAAAGATTGAAAAATGGTGATTCCAGTCGTGTCCGTGCTTTAACTCATGAACCGTTCAACGAAAGCTTTTCAAATTTTAATATGTTGTTACTGATGACAAAATGGAGGTCAAGTTCAATATTGATGATTGTCACTTTTACTGTTCAGCAGTTATATGGTCCTTGTGCTATTGAAAAATGCCAGGACACAAATAAATGTTAAAAAATCCGGTTTGCTGTCACTCTGACAGCCTCTTGTTTATATATCTCGTAGCTAATGCCCCTTTAAATCCATCTGAACAATCCTAACTTATCTCCAATTTCTTATATCATTTTAAACAACATATGTATCTGTCTTAATGATGACACTAACTAGTTATTCCACCTGCTAAACATGAATCCCTGTGCTTTTTAAACATCTTTGGTCTCATTGTATTGTGCTTTTCTGGAGAGCAGATTTATCTGTGGTCAATCCTTGGTTACATTAAAGTTGGTGTATGCTGCTTAATACTTTTTTTAATACTCTGTCTGTTTGTCATTTGATTCTCACCACAGCTGATAAAGAAGAAGATTTCAGGAAAAATATTGGAATATTGGTTTCCTCAACTTGATACATGTATAATATTTTCGAGATTTTCTACATGTGCAGTGTGATGGAAACTACATAAAGAGCAAATAATGATCAGTAAAACCAGATCTAAAATGAAATATAAATAGTAAAAAAAATTGGCATGTAAGAGGTGTGAAAGGACGTTTTTCGGTATATCTATATTAGGCTTTTTATTTTTGTGGGAATTCTGGTTTGGGCCTTTATTTTAGCCGGATTTACCCTTATTGGGACTCAGGAATAAATGGTGATAAATTTTTCGGGAACTGGGAAAGAAATGCTTTATTTTTTTAAGAAAATCGGGATGACACCCCCTCCTACTGCCCCTCATGTAAGGGCAACAACTCCTATAAGGAGTTACATTAATTTACATGCTACCGTTTTCATAGATGCAAACAATTCATTTTATCATAAAATGTGAACAACAAAACTAATCAGCACTATAATCTAACAAAAATGCCAATAGGACAAAAACCCAACCATTGACTCACTATATATACATCTGTAGGAGTAATTGCAGAAAAGGTCAATTGACTATTAATTTTGACTTTTTGCCCTTTAATGAATATGCTAAAAAATATACAGAGAAATTAGTAAATTGAGATCTAGTACAGTGGTATTTGCTATTTTAAATATGATGACTGCTTTATATAGATGAAGGTAACTTTTGACTTTGGAAGGGGTGCATGTGGGATATTTGAAGATTTTGAAAAGGATTTATTATCCTAATGTGATCCTAGTAATGATAAAAACAAATAACTTAATTGCTTTGAATTCTCTATAAAGCACTTGAGAAGCTGTATATTTGAAAATAAGTAATTTGTTTCTATTTTGGGTACAGAAGGTGAAAATAACTACTAAAATGTCCTGTTTTTGTCAGGTTTCGGGCACTTAAGAAGCTTCTAGTCCTAATATTTTTAAATTCACAAACTGAAATTACGAGAAGAAAACAAAAAACAATGGGATACATGTAAATTGAACTTTAGTTTTGTGGACATTGTTATTTTTAAAGCAAGGACTTGCTTGTTCACCCTAGTTGCCTTCAAATTACATTTTCTCATGGAAGCAATTATCAATTATCATTATTAATATATATATAGTACTTCCTTGCACTCTTATATAAGTTGTTATGGCTTGCATACAGGTATTATGTCTAGAAATGCTGTCTAGTCACATGCCACTTATATATTTCCAATCATGTTTTTTTCAGGAAAATCTACAGACTGTTCTAAGTTATATCCTCAAACAGCATATAATCTAGGTGGGAAGTCGGAGTACAGTAAAATCAGGATTAATAATCTCAATTCATTGACTATACAGTCAAATGATTATTCTTTCTCAACGCAGCTAAACTCTACAACTGGAAAGGAGTAAGTTAATACTGATTATCTTGCATATACTGGTAAAACATATGACAATAGTTTGTAATTACTATGTCTTAATTTATGTACAGAGTTCTATAGCTTTAAAGGAAAACTATTTCACAGTTACTTATAAAAAAAAGACAAAAGATACCAAAGGGATATTCAATCTCACAAGTCGATAACAAACTGACAATGCCATGGCAAAAAACAAAAAACGACCAAAAGTCAAACAATAGGATACAGAACACAACATACAAAACTACAGACTGAGCACCATCTATCCATCTAAAACCAGTGGTGATCTCAGGTGCTCCAGAAGGGTAAGCAGATCCTGCTCCACATGTGGCACCTTTCTTGTTGCTCATGTAAGTACTTATCAAATGCATCCACCAGCAAGGCTCATAACATATAAGTGATCATATCAGCATTCTCTTAATTTGAAATAATATTTAACTTAGTTATGTTACTTGTCATTAGGATCCATCTATTTTAATATTTCATTGTCCAAAATATTTGACTTTATCATGTAACGTGGCATTAGGATCCATCTATTTTAGTATTTCAGTGTCCAAAATATTTGACTTAATCATGTAACGTGGCATTAGGATCCATCTATTTTAGTATTTCAGTGTACAAAATATTTGACTTTATCATGTAACGTGGCATTAGGATCCATCTATTTTAGTATCTTAGTGTCCAAAATATTTGACTTAATCATGTAACATGGCATTAAGATCCATCTATTTTAGTATTTCAGTGTCCAAAATATTTGACTTTATCATGTAACGTGGCATTAGGATCCATCTATTTTAGTATTTCAGTGTCCAAAATATTTGACTTAATCATGTAACATGGCATTAGGATCCATCTATTTTAGTATTTCAGTGTCCAAAATATTTGACTTAATCATGTAACATGGCATTAGGATCCATCTTTTTTAGTATTTCAGTGTCCAAAATATTTGACTTAATCATGTAACGTGGCATTAGGATCCACCTATTTTAGTATTTCAGTTTCCCTCCAAAAGTATTATGGTCCAAATACTTTATAATATTTCAGTATGCTTAAAGTATTTGCTTTCTGTATAGAGACAGTTTTTAAATTTAACAAACTTTGTAAAATCTTGTAGATTACCTTAAATACTTTATAAAGAATGCAATCAGAATTGTTTGCTGTCTGAGCTTCTAGCTTCCTTTCTGCAATTGTAGTCTTTAAACAAGATTCATAAGATAGAGTTAAGTGTAATGATAGTGTCACCTCATCTTGTTGAGTAAAAGCAAATTTGAGAGATTTATATTGAGATTTTAGATATTCCAGTGCTTTGTAATGTTAACTTTTTAACTTTGTCAAAAATAAATTTAATTTCTTATTTCTTGTAATTTTTCCAATTGCATTTTGCTAGATCCGATCTCGAACCATAAGTACACATGAACCTTTAGTATGTGTTAGTTTTGATTAATTAGCTTAATTACCTTTCCATCATAAACACAGTGCAGGTAATGCAAGTTTAAGTTTTCTTTGTCATTTTCTAAAATGTGTTTCAAAAGTTCTTTTTAAAGACAGTGGATATTTTTCCTTTACAGAATCAAGGCAGTTATTAAATTAAGTCAGTTAAATCTGAATGTCCCTTTGGGATTCTTAGACTCTCTTTTTCAAATACCTTTCTGACATAAAATGTAATTTTATTAATTACTTTTAAGATGGTTTACATTTGGTACAATTTATATGTTGAAGTTTTATCATTGACTTGAAACATACATGTAATTGACAGTTATATACTTAACCTAATTAGGTACGTATATTAACCTTCAATTTTTCATACTTATTATTGAACTATTTAATCACAGAAATCAAACATGTACTACCACTTTATTTATGTTGACTGATAGGACATCTACCTTTATCATTAATTAAATAATGTATATTGTATTCAGAACAAATATGATGATGTTAAGTGCATTTGTAGTAAAACAAAATATACATATTTATGTATACTGTGGTTGGGAATAGTAATTTTAATATGTGTGGTCCATTTTGGTTACATTACTCTTCAACTTTTGTTTTTTTTTTAAATTTGGCCTTGAGCTATCATCACTAAAGAGACGTTAATTGTTGAAATGTGCATCTTGTGTAGTAAAATTGTTACCGTTTAATGTTATACAACAGAATGACACAATACAAATATTTGTATTTAAGATTAACGTTTCATTTCATGATTGAATTTCAAAGTGTCTGTGTCATTTAAAATTTTTTTTAGTGTGTCCTTTGATTGATGCTGTAAGATATTATCATGAGTTTATTGATAATAGAACATATTTTAACATGCTTGCCTGGTCTATGTATTTTAACATGCTTGCCTGGTCTATGTATTTTAACATGCTTGCCTGGTCCATGTATTTTAACATGCTTGCCTGGTCTATGTATTTTAACATGCTTGCCTGGTCTATGTATTTTAACATGCTTGCCTGGTCTATGTATTTTAACATGCTTGCCTGGTCTATGTATTTTAACATGCTTGCCTGGTCTATGTATTTTAACATGCTTGCCTGGTCTATGTATTTTAACATGCTTGCCTGGTCCATGTATTTTAACATGCTTTGCTTGCCTGGTCTATGTATTTTAACATGCTTGCCTGGTCTATGTATTTTAACATGCTTGCCTGGTCTATGTATTTTAACATGCTTGTCTGGTCTATGTATTTTAACATGCTTGCCTGGTCCATGTATTTTAACATGCTTTGCTTGCCTGGTCTATGTATTTTAACATGCTTGCCTGGTCTATGTATTTTAACATGCTTGCCTGGTCTATGTATTTTAACATGCTTGCCTGGTCTATGTATTTTAACATGCTTGCCTGGTCTATGTATTTTAACATGCTTGCCTGGTCTATGTATTTTAACATGCTTGCCTGGTCTATGTATTTTAACATGCTTGCCTGGTCCATGTATTTAACATGCTTGCCTGGTCTATGTATTTTAACATGCTTGCCTGGTCCATGTATTTAACATGCTTGCCTGGTCTATGTATTTTAACATGCTTGCCTGGTCCATGTATTTAACATGCTTGCCTGGTCTATGTATTTTAACATGCTTGCCTGGTCTATGTATTTTAACATGCTTGCCTGGTCCATGTATTTTAACATGCTTGCCTGGTCTATATATTTTAACATACTTGCCTGGTCTATGTATTTTAACATGCTTGCCTGGTCCATGTTTAGAACCTCATCAAAGATTGGTTATCATTTCTTAAATGTAATTTTTGCATTTGAAATGTAAAAATTAGGTGTTGAAGTCTGATCTGTTGAATTTTTTCACAACTTTTCTAGACTTTTATCAATATAAAGTCAGACATATTTTACATGTAACTGGTTATTCTGAAAATTTCAGACTAGTTGTTGATCAATTACTTTTTGATGTGTTTGTGATATTTGGTAACTGTCACTAAGAAATATGTATTCCAGACCTCTTTTTTTCAGTGTATTAAGATATAACTTTGCTTTTTAGCTCACCTGGCCCAAAGATCTACAATTAAGGCAATATAGAGGAAATCGTCCAACGACTCCTTATTGGAGTTAAGTTGCCCTTTAATGACAATTTTTACCTTTTTTTTTGCATTTTGCCCTACATGATAAAAATTATAATAGATAAATACCGGTAGACACTTTAAATCACAAAAATGATCAGCAAGGCAAGATTTACTAACAAGTCAAATTTTGGTAGTAGACTGTCTCTCTTTATAGGAGTGATTGCCCTTAAATGAGGATTTGTTTTACCCTCTTTTGTGTATTGAGCAAAAACTAAAGAAGATAGAGAGAAATTAAACGGACTAAATGATCAACAATACAAGATCGACACAGAGATTTTTGTCCTGAATTCTATACACCTTATCGCTATTCCCGGCTGACCCGAGAATCTGTCCCGCTTGAACTATTGACGTCATACAACAATCACTTTTTCATTGTGGCGTCAGATATTTTGTATTATGACGTCAACATTTTACGGGAACCTGTGTGATGTCCAGTAATGGCGGACAAATAGCGATAAGGTGTATTCTTGTCTACAATGTTGGAGAGTGTCCTTTGTTGAATATGCACAGACCAAGGTGAGCGACACAGGCTCTTTAGAGCCTCTAGTTACTATTGATAGCATATGAAATTTCAAGTGAAATGGTGAGTCAGATGATATTTACATTTAGGTCACCGTACAGCCTTCAACAATGAGCTAAATCCATACTGTATAGTCAGCTATAAAAGGCCCCAACATGACAAAATGTGAAAATATTCGAAAGAGAAAACCACCATCCTGATTTGTGACTGTTCAAAACAATTAATGAAAAACAAATATGACAGGCAGCAACCAACAACAACCACTAATTAAAGTCTGCTGGTATGGGTCAGGTACATAAAGAATGTGATGAGGTTAAACATGTTTGTGAGGGCTCAACGCTTCCCTAACTTGGGACAGTGGTGTAACAGCACAACACAAAAACAAACCGTAAAATTCAGTTTGAAATGAACACTCATCAGATTGGCACAAAGCAAATTACAACTAACAAAACAAAATATGATACAAAGTATCAATCTAAGAATACTACCAGTTACAAAAACTAGTTCAGAGACAACTAATGAATAAATCATGTTCTCCCAGACTAAAGTATCAATCAGTACACATCTAATCGATTTAATATAAAAACATCATTGAGTCTGAGAATAGCATGACCTTTTGCAATTACAAATTAAAAGAAAATAGTAACGACAGGATCTAGGACCATAAGTTTTTACTAGCATGGTATACCATTGTCTGTTTGTCTGTCCGTCTGTCCGTCCATCCGTTGTCGGACAACAACTCAAAAACGCTTTAACCAATTTTCATGAAACTTTGGTGAATTGTTTTTATCTATTGACATAAGCTCCCTTTTGATTTTTATAAATTTTTAGATTTTACTTTTTCGAGTTATGGTATTTTATTCATAAGAAGGGGGAATTTTCCAGTTTTCCGTCAATAACTCAAAAATGCTTTGAGCAATTTTCATGAAACTTTGGTGACCAGTTTATATCTATTAAAATAAGCTCCCTTTAGTTTTTAGCTCACCTGGCCCGAAGGGCCAAGTGAGCTTTTCTCATCACTTGGCGTCCGTCGTCCGGCGTCGTCCGTCGTCGGCGTTAACTTTTTACATTTTGAACTTCTTCTAGAGAACCACTGAATGGAATGAAACCAAACATGGCATGAATGTTCCTTATGAGGTGCTGACCAAGTGTTGTTACTTTGTAGCCGATCCATCATCCAAGATGGCCGCCAGTGGGGGACTTAGTTTAACATAGGACCCTATGGGAAATGCATACAAATGACTTCTTTTAGTGAACCACTGAATGGAATAAAACCAAACATGGCATGAATGTTCCTTATGAGGTGCTCACCAAGTGTTGTTACTTTGTAGCCGATCCATCATCCAAGATGGCCGCCAGCGGGGGACTTAGTTTAACATAGGACCCTATGGGAAATGCATACAAATGACTTCTTTTAGAGAACCACTGAATGGAATAAAACCAAACATGGCATGAATGTTCCTTATGAGGTGCTGACCATGTGTTGTTACTTTGTAGCCGATCCATCATCCAAGATGGCCGCCATCGGGGAACTTAGTTTAACATAGGACCCTATGGGAAATACATAAAAATGTCTTCTTTTAGAGAACCACTAAATGGAATGGAACCAAACATGGCATGAATGTTCCGTATGAGATGCTGACCAAGTGTTGTTACTTTGCAGTCGGTCCATCATCCAAGATGGCCGCCAGCGGGGGACTTAGTTTAACATAGGACCCTATGGGAAATACATACAAATGTCTTCTTTTAGAGAACCACTGAATGGAATGAAACCAAACATGGCATGAATGTTCCTTATGAGGTTCTGACCAAGTGTTGTTACTTTGTAGCCGATCCATCATCCAAGATGGCCGCCAGCGGGGGACTTAGTTTAACATAGGACCCTATGGGAAATACATACAAATGTCTTCTTTTAGTGAACCACTGAATGGAATGAAACCAAACATGGCATGAATCTTCCTTATGAGATGCTGACCAAGTGTTGTTACTTTGTAGCCGATCCATCATCCAAGATGGCCCCCAGCGGGGGACTTAGTTTTACATAGGACCCTTTGGGAAATACATAAAAATGTCTTCTTTTAGAGAACCAATAAATGGAATGGAACCAAACATGGCATGAATGTTCCTTATGAGATGTTGACCAAGTGTTGTTACTTTGCAGCCGATCCATCATCCAAGATGGCCGACAGCGGGGGACTTAGTTTAACATAGGACCCTATGGGAAATACATACAATTGTCTTCTTTTAGAGAACCACTGAATGGAATTGAACCAAACATGGCATGAATGTTCCTTATGAGTTGCTGACCAAGTGTTGTTACTTTGCAGTCGATCCATCATCCAAGATGGCCGCTAGGGGGGGGCTTAGTTTAACATAGGACCCTATGGGAAATACATACAAATGTCTTCTTTTAGAGTACCACTGAATGGAATGAAACCAAACATGGCATGAATGTTCCTTATGAAGTGCTGACCAAGTGTTGCTACTTTGTTGCCGATTTACTGTTCAAGATGGCCACCAGGATATTTTATTAAATAACAGGACCAATATTAATCAAAATTTGGCCTCAATCATTATTTGGGTATCTGTTATGATTTTTATCTATCTTTACATGATTTCTAAAACCAAGGTAGAGTCAGGTGAGCGACACAGGCTCTTGAGAGCCTCTAGTTTTTGTATAAATTACTGATATGATGTTGAAGAGTTATGGAACTTTATTCATTGGAAAAGCAATGGGCGTATCATGGGCTCATGGTGCAGCTCTTCATTAGTTATGTTTTAATTTATTCAAAACAAAATTAATGTTAGTACCAGATAAAAGATAAGTATAGTGCCAATTCAAAGTGATTAGTTGTATTCTTTAAAAAGAAAGCAACTACAATACAAAAATCATGCTGTTGTATAAAAGATAACTATGAATCACAGAACATGGTCTTAATATAAACTAAACCTCTCATGTTTTACATTTTAGGCAAATATATGTTATTTTATGCAATGCTTACTTTGTGATTCTGCTGAGGAATTTATTGTGATTGTCATTTTGAAATCCATTGTAGTTATGGAACAGCTGGAGACAAATACAGTAGTTCTACAAATTGTCCTCCTAGAGGCATCTTTAAGATTGATCTCAGACTGACACCTTTTGTTGTGTCACCAAAGGTTAAGTGGTCATGGAGTGGATCTTATCCAAATCCTAATGCTACAGGAACACCAATTATATCAAATACAAGTAAGATTTTCCTAGGCTCTGTGTTGAAGACCGTACTTTGACCTATAATGGTTTACTTTTATAAATTGTGACTTGGATGGAGAGTTGTCTCATTGGCACTCATACCACATCTTCTTATATCTATTTACCTGATTTAAAATATATATATACCAAAACAATAATTTAAGCCAAATTTACTTCATTATAGAACTTTAATCATTAAATACCAATGTAATCGTAGAGCATGGTTTCTTAATAGAAAATCACGTTGTCTCCTCAAACCCGGGACCTCTGTGTTACAAGTCAGCACTCTTAACAACTGAGCTAAAAAAGTACTTCCGTAGCTCAACTGCTTACGACTGGCTTATTATCTACTTCTCAACAAGGGAAGCAATCCTGTCACACCAAGATGAAATGTAGTTTACGTTTTATTTCCAGCTTATGTAGGATGCTTTATTGACAAAGATGACAGAATGCTCCCAGCTCAGTATTTATATAACAACCACATGACTGTTGAAATGTGTATACAACATTGTAGAAGTCGAGGATTTGCCTATTCTGGTGTACAGGTATGCATTTTTTTATGCGAAAATAATATGTGGTTGAAAAGAAATGAATCTCTTATTTTGATTTCTTTTGGTCTATGACATTATGATTAAAGAGATTCATTTTCAGGTTTACATGTTAATTTACTCATTGCCATTATAATGTGTTTCTCATTTTTCCATATACATTTGTATATTGTCAATATTACCCGGTATTGATGAATCTTGATAGAAAAATAAGGAAAGCATACCAAAGGGCAATCAAAAAGCATCAGTGGAATAAAAGACCAACAACACATGGCCAAATCAGTCTACAAAACACATAAAACTAAAGATTGAGCAACAACAATCCCACCAAGATTGAGCTACAACAATCCCACCAAGATTGAGCAACATCAATTCCAACTAGATTGAGCAAAACAATATCACCAAGATTGAGCAACAACAATCCCAATTAGATTGAGCAACAGCAATCCCAATAAGATTGAGCAACAACAATCCCACCAAGATTGAGCAACAACAATCCCAACAAGATTGAGCAACAGCAATCCCAATAAGATTGAGCAACAACAATCCCTCCAAGATTGAGCAACAACAACCTCACCAAGATTGAGCAACAAGAATCCCTCCAAGATTGAGCAACAACAATCTCACCAAGATTGAGCAACAACAATCTCACCAAGATAGAGCAACAACAACCCCACCAAGATTGAGCAACCCCCCCCCCACACACACACACCTAAATCTGGGGTCAACTCGGGTGCTCTGAAAAGGTTAGCAGTTTCTGCTCCATTAGTGACACCCATTACTTTGTTGAAAGGTAGCTATTCATTAAATCTTTATTTTGTTACATTATAAACATGTCTTTTCAGTATTATGCACAATGTTTTTGTGGAGACAATCATAATAAGCATGGGGCAGCAGTCGATACAGCATGTAACACACCCTGTAAAGGAAATCATCAACAGATGTGTGGGGGTACCTGGAGAATTTCTATCTATGGAACAGGTATTTTATAAACCAGACTCTTGTTTATAAGACAGTATTATGTCATCAGCGAATCAGAACATTTTATTAGGTCCCCGTCTGCATCTGTCAATGCAGATATTTTTGTGATGTTTTTATTATTGGGAGTGCAAGGTAATCAATCTGTATATCCATCTGTCAGTTTTTCTGTCTGTCTATCCATCTGTTCTTTTGGTCTAATTTTCATTGAAATTTTACTTTTAATCTAAGATTTTCTTTTGGGTCAGTTAATCCTTAATACACCTCTTTTCACAATATTCAGCTTACTATTTTTCAGTAGCAAGAATTTAATAAATTTTTGTATTCATACCAGTAGTTCTATAGATTATAATAGTGATGCTTTAAGCTTAAGAATATTGTGTGTCCTTTCATTATAGGATTACCACAAACTATCATTGGACGATGTGGGGGATATCCAGGACAATGTTTTCCTACATTGGAGAACAATCCAGGTACTCCAGCATTGATGTTACAGTTTATACCCACACATCCATGTCTACAACCGTAAGTCAATTGTTTTGAAAATAGATATCTTTGTCATATTGCAACCTGTGGGGCACAACATCTCTTCACTTTTAAATATACCCTGGATTCATTTATTTTTGTTGATACCAATTTTTGTGGATTGAGGAACAATGGTTTTGCTCAAATATGCATACTAGCCTAATGATAAATTGTACTCGAAATCTACTAATAATAGTGAATCCATAGTATCAGGCCTCTACAATAACTTTTTTTCCAACTTGTCCAGTAGGACAAGTACATACCAAAACTTACTTGTCTGAATGAAATTGTAACTTGTCCAACAAAAATCTTAATAATAACCTTTTTTGCATTTTAAGTTGATTCAAGGAACAAAATGAATTAAAACAATAGAACAGAATTTGATTTATATCTTTTGAAATACCTTTTAGAAATATGAGTTGAGAACAACTGAATCTAGGCATGTCACAGGACTTAGGTTCTAGTTTTCATCAATGCCAGTCTCATCAGACTCTACACATGAGGCACCGTCTGATAGGCCTGTCAATTTCCAATCATTGGATTTGTATCCTGGTTTTTTAAGTTGAAAAAAGTTTATTCAAATTCAATCAATAAAAAAAAGGAGATGAGGTATGATTGCCAATGAAACAACTCTCTGCAAGAGACCAAATGGCACAGAAATTAATAACTATAGGTCACCGTATTGCAAGTAATGTTTTTTCTTCTATATATGATCAAATATGATTTGGGAATTTTATGGTAAAAAATATTTTTGTTAAAAAAATTAAGGTATGGTATTTATTATAAAGCAACAGAATAAGGTAGGAAAACAGGTACTGATTTGTCTTGGTCCCGAAATGTCTCCTGTCTCCTGCGTTGCCAAACTGTCTATTAATTATGTCTATTAAATATGTCTCCTACGGTGCCAAACTGTCTTATTAAATTTGGAGCCGAATTGTTTCCCAGCTGGTGACGAACTGTCTTGTAAAGTTACCTTATCTACAAAGCGCGCTGATTGGATCAGATTGACTGGTTTCCGAGAATAGTATGCCTTTTACCTGTTAAAAAGTACCTGACAAAGAACCAGTTTTAAATTATCGATTGCAAGTAAAGATGTCAAATTAATACTTGTGTTTATTCTTCTTTTCTTGTTTTTTGTTTATAATTACTTTGTTCATCAAAGTTGGATTACATTTATTTTCTGCATAATAATTTAACTTGTCACTTTGGACAAGCTTGATATAGCTTTTACTTGTCCGACCTTTTTTTCCTCTGGTACCGGACAATCGGACAAGCGTTATTGTCGAGCCCAGAGTATTGCCAACCACAAGTCTCATGATACCACAGCAATCTATCATGAATTGCTATAAGATTTGACATCATTATTAAGATATTGTAATGATTATCCTGTTTTATATATTGTGAATGCTGTTATTAAAAGGTGTTCATCCACCTTGAGACAAATTTTAAAATTGTCAGATGGGCAGAGCTATAATTTGAAGTTTTTGATACCTGTAAGAAGTTGTGTCAGATAGGTCTATTATAATCAGCCATAAACACATAGAGGACAAAAATACTATGATATAAACAAAAACAATCACTGACGAGGTTCCTGGTTTGGTACAGGCACATTTGCAAGGGTAGGGTAAATAAAAAAAAAATTGAATAATTATCTCCCTTTCTTGTCTCAATCAGTGGAAAAACAAAGATGAAGATTAAGGTTTGACCTAGATTTCACAGTTCACTGAACACGACAATGTCATAGATTAAAGTTTTGGTTTAAGTTAGTTTTTGACTGCATCAAATTGAAACCTAGTGCATATATTCATTATGAACTGAACTGTAAATATATATGCCAAATTTGGGTTTTGACACAGATGTTCACTGAACATGGCTATGTAATAGAGGTAGAAAGGAATGGTATCCTATGGACACATAGTCTTGTTGGTCTCAAGTTGTTTCCTTTTAAAAAGAAATTCAGAACTGAATTGTTTTTGCTTCAGACAAGAATCCAAATGTTAAAATCAGTAGTAAAAAATATTTCACAATTATTATTGATCTTCAAAGATGGACAAATTAATGACATACAGTTGACTAACCAAGCATGTCTCGAAAATGCATTATATGTTTGGACAAGTCCTTACCAAATTTTTACACAATGCTTGGTTCCATGACGACTAGCTATCTTTTGTTTTAAAGATTGATTGATCAGACGTTCTAAAGTTATGGGACTTTAATTATAAGAAATACAACAATTTTTGACAAGTTTTATTTTCATGAATACTTGTGAAATTTTTACACCTTGTTAGGTTTTATACTGAAAAGCCGTACTTAAATTGTGATGAATTTCATGTTCAGCTATTTCCAGAGTTGGGTGACTTTAATAAAAAAAAAACAAGGCAATTTTTATGCGCCCGTTTATGAGACGTATTATGGTCTACCGTTGTCCATCTGTCCGTTCGTCGTCAAAATGTCGGACAATAACTCAAAAACACTTCAACTAATTTGCATGAAACTGGTGAATTGATTATATCTATTGACGTATGCTTCCTTTCGATTTTTATAAACTTTAGATTTTACGTTTCCAAGTTGTGGGATCTTATTCATAAAAAAGGGGGATTTTCCAGTTTTCAGACAATAACTCAAAATTGCTTTGAGCAGTTTTCGTGAAACTTTGGTGGATTTTTTATATCTATTGACGTAAGCTTCCTTTCGATTTTTATAAATTTTAGATTTTATGTTTCAGAGGTTATGGGATTTTATTCATAAAAAAGGGGTGATTTTCCAGTTTTTAGACAATAAATAAAAATGCTTTGAGCAGTTTACATGAAACTATGGTGACTGGTTTATATCTTTAACATAAGCTCCCTTTAGATTTTTATAAATTTCTGATATGACATTGAGGAGTTATGGAACTTCATTCGTTGAAAAAGCGATGGACTTATCATGCACTCATGGTGCAGCTCTTTATTCATATTCTTTCTCAAATCCTTATGAAATTTGTACACACTGTTTTGTTCATTCAATTACATGTACAAAATCTAAAAATAATGTCCATTATTTGATTTTCAAAATTAGCAATGTTCATGTTCTCAGGACACAACAATTTTTGATGTTGAATGAAGAATATTTCTTTGCTGTTATCAATTTTTTCGGTTTTTTTTTTAGATTATCTCCTTGTAAAAATGAAGGAAAATGTATTGCTGTAACAGATACTGCATTCAAATGCTTGTGCTATAATATGTATTCAGGGACAACATGTGACATACAAACAGGTGAGTAATACATGTGTTACAATATGTACTCAAGGAAAACATGTGACATACGAACAGGTGAGTAATATGTGTGTTATAATATGTACTCAAGGAAAAACATGTGACATACAAACAGGTGAGTAATATGTGTGTTATAATATGTACTCAAGGAAAAACATGTGACATACAAACAGGTGAGTAATATGTGTGTTACAATATGTATTCAGAATAACATGTGACATACAAATATATAGGACATGAATACATGTCTTTCATATGTACTCTGAGGTACAACATGTGACATACAAACAGGTGAGTAATATATGTGTTACAATATGTACTCGGGGAAAAACCTGAGACAAACAAATACATGAGTAATACATGTGTTATAATTTTTGTACTCCGGGAAAATATGAGACATACAAACAGGTAAGTGATAAATGTGTTACATTATGTCCTCAGAGACAACATGAGAAATTAGTCATTGATATATCATACCATGTATAAATGAGGGAAAATGTTACTATATCAGATGAAATTGCATGTGATACAATATCTACTCGGATACAACATGTGTGATATAGATTGGAGTGATAAAAACCTTACAGTATGTACTCTTAGATCTTGTGATATACAACCTGAGAAGTAGTGCATGTATATAAACATGTTCATACCTTAATGTATGTACTCATTGATCTTGTGAAATACAAGCTGAGAAGTAGTGAATATGTTCATGTTCATACCTTAATGTATGTACTCATGGATCTTGTGATATACAACCTGAGAAGTAGTGTATATGTACATGTTCATACCTTAATGTATGTACTCATGGATCTTGTGATATACAACCTGAGCAGTAGTGTATATGTACATGTTGGTACCTTAATGTATATTCTCAGTGACTTCATTTTACCACTATATGTAAACTGGTGATTAATATATGTTTATTTTGTATTTGGGACTACATGTGATGTCCAGACTTGTGAGTTCTGTTACAGTATGTCATCAGGAATTGCATGTGTTCTACAACTAAAGAATCTGGAAGTTAACTGTCCCTTTCATATAGGTTAAATGAACATTCCCGTTTGAATGGTTTTATACTAGTAATTTTGGGGGCCCTTTATAGCTTGCTGTTCGGTGTGAGCCAAGGCTCCGTGTTGAAGACCGTACTTTGACCTTTAATGGTTTACTTTTACAAATTTTGACTTGGATGGAGAGTTGTTTCATTGGCACTCATTCCATATCTTCTTATATCTATTGTAATTTATTTGTTAGAGTTATATACTTGGGGAGTATTTATGAAATTACAAACTGGTAATGAATTCATGACCTTCTTGATTTCTATGTTCAGAGGGTTAAGGTCAAACATACAGATCAGGTCGATACCTTTTCAATAGGATACTTGCTTAACGATAAATTCAATTGTTATATGCTTAATCTTCTTGTGGTGAAGATGACACATATTGCAGTTAAAGACACTGGTAAAAATTAAATCGCAAGAGCACAGCTATTCACAAATTATGTAGGCTTGCATGGTAAGGAGATGCTTCACTTTTCAATGCCATTGTTTACATTGTTAGAGAACTGTCCCATTTCCAATTTCATAGTTTGTTTTTAACATAAATTCCATTTGTATGAATTTTGTTGTAGAACAGATAGTAACAATGGGAGCCCTGTGTCCTGCAGGACTTTATCCAGAGAAATGTACCTGTGTACATAACAAATGCAGTGGGGCAAAGTTTGACGGGGATACATGTGTTACAACGTCAGGAGAAGTAAAATTTACTATACTTTCAATTTTATAGCTATCCACATACACATACAATCAATTAGAAACATCAACTGCTTTGAGTTTATTTTTGTGTTTGTGTTATAACACTTGAATGGCTAAATTGTATTCTAGCATAAAGATCATATTTATAAATGTTATAAAGTTCCAACAAATATTATAGATGTTATTATATCCCACGCAATTTTTGCGTTGGGTATAATGTTTTTGACCTGTCCGTCTGTCTGTCTGTCCGTCAGTCCGTCAGTCCGTCAGTCCATCAGTCCTGTTCTTGTCATCACAACTCCTCTGAAACCACACAACAGAATTTCATGAAACTTTATAGATAATAAGGACATACTATGTAGATGTTCATATCGACAGGAAATTATGATTCAATTTTTTTTCTAGGAGTTATGCCCCTTTGCACTTATTGGCCTCAATTTACTACTGCAACAGTTTGTCATCACAACTCCTCTGAAACTACACAAAGTGTAGATAATAAGGACAATATTTTTATGTGCATATCCCCAGAAATATTTATCAGTTGACTTTTGTAGGAGTTAGGAGTCTATGAACTTAGTGAGATTTTGTTTGCCCAGTGACAATGTGGGGGCGTGGGGGATGTGAGTGCACTCACTAAGGTTCTTTAATTGAGACTCAAATACATATAAAATACACATATATATATTATAGATGCTATTAAGACTAAAGCACATATAAAAAATACCAAACTAAAATGTTCTTCCCATCATCTTAAATTTTTTTTTACAGTGAATAACAACATATGATGACGTCTTATTATCAAATTCAGTGAAATTTATCACTTAAAGAAAATACACTATGGAAAATTTGTGATACAGTGAAAAAAAAATCGAAAGAACAAAAAGACTATTATTTCAATGTTCAGATTTCTGTAACATAATTCTTTTTCAGCCAAAAGTTGTGTGTCGTTATTCAGATCCCGGTCATGTGATTCTGTTTAATGTAGAAGGATCAGGAACGGTAATATGTCCATCTGGATCACAGATGGTGGGATGTTCTTACTGGGACAGGTAAAAAAATAGTTTTAGAACAGTTATTGATAATGGATTAATTTGACATCATTTATAACCAATATGAACTGTAAGAATTATTTTTGATTCAGAATATGAAATGCTTTAGTGCAGAGGTAATCAAGTTTTTTTCTACAGTAATAATGATTGGTTTGAAGGTGATCAAAATAGATTTTAAGTTATACTTAAATGTTCATGACTTATAAGATGACTTATAAGTATTTTCACTCATAACATTTTTGAGACTCTCTGAAATGTAATTGTAGATAGTGTCTGTTGTAAATGTGTTCACAGATGATTCCCAAGTAATGAAATATTGTTACTTTTATATTTTGTATTAGTTATCAGAAGTTATTTTAGCTTTAAGTATATTTTAATGAGCAATTAACATATGTTTTACTCTAAGTTATTAGCTGTATTGATAACGTCAAGTTCGTCAGTCTTTGCTGTGTTTACATTTGGCCTACAGCAAGGATCCAAGGGTTCCCTAGAGGTTAGAAGCAGCGCATAAGCTGTATGTCTCGTATATTTTATAAGTAATCGTCATAGATAAGAGGTAAGAAGCAGCCCAGCCCAGCCCAGCGCAGATAGCTGTAAGCATCGCATCTCAGGGATTTATTTGCTTTGAAGAATTTAAGATATTCCTGTTTGGTCTGTACAAAAATACAAGAATAATATTTTAGTAGCTGTGTCTCTTATGTAAATTATAGTTGTTAGAACATTGTATATGTATGTAAATATATCAGCTGTTCCAGAAGTTTAATACAGGTATCATTTTCTACTTTGGATTATTTATTTAAGCTACCAATGCTGAGAGAGCAGACATCAGAATTGATGGCCGTATTATTTATCCCTTGTATAATTACAAGTTTTAAGAGTTTATTAGTATTTATTTGCTTTAAAACTAGACAGACTTAGCCAGAGTCAGAAATTAGTGCATAATTTTGAATCACACTCACTGTCTTGTAAACTTATTTAAAGTATATCCTTTACTAGAGAATATGTTTATATAAATTAGGACATGTATGATTTTTTCCAGTTCAGGTCAACTTAAGGGTAATGGAGAAGCTGACAATGCACAGTATACCACAGGGACTTGTAGCATGAGACACGGGTGTCAACAGTGTCGTCTGCAGGCTAGATGTAAAAGTAAGGCAATGCTCAGAGTTTACATTTTTTTTATGCCCCACTTAGGGCATTATGTTTTTTGGTCTGTGCGTCCCTTGGTTTGTTCGTTCATCCGTTTATCTGTTCGTCCGTTCCTCCGTCCGTCTGTCCATCTGTCTCGCTTCAGGTTAAAGCTTTTGGTCTTTCAGGTTAAAGTTTTTGGTCAAGGTAGTTTTTGATGAAGTTGAAGTCCAATCAACTTGAAACTTAGTACACATGTTCACTATGATATGATCTTTCTAATTTTAATGCCAAATTAGAGTTTTGACCCCAATTTCACGGTCCACTGAACATAGAAAATGATATTGCGAGTGGGGCATCCTTATACTATGGACACATTCTTGTTATTCCTGCTTAGTGAAGAGAGGGTCTTTAGTTATTGTAAGTGTCCATTCATCCATGTTTTTATGATACCCACATTATTGAATAGATTGTGTAAAGTAATCTTTGCATCTGTTCATATATGCATTTATTTTTCACCCTGTACTTTTTATTTGACCACTTCCTAAACTACTGAACGCATTTTGATGAAACTTTAAGAGAATTTGGTACATAATTGCAATATATTCCCCACCAAAAATATGATTTAATTGGGCTGAAAAGATCAGTAATTCACATGCCTAACATTGAAGCCAGTCATATTTCATCTTTCGAGGTCTGGAAATGTACAAACCATTTCACCGTGAGTTACAATGTTATGCTTAAATAACATAGGTCAATGTATTGCTACCCTGGCTGTTTGGAACAATGGATGATAATTAATGCCATCACTTTGCATTAGCTGATTGTCACTTACATTTTGTAAACATTTTTAAAATCTTCTTTGTGGAGTTGTTCTTATAAAAATCATGGTTTGATATGTTTAAATGTTTATTGATTAAATGTAGACATAAAAAAAAAGGAATTAATGTTCACTATTAAGGTAAGATAAAACATAAATTTGTGCTTCATTCATTATTGAAAAATTGACTGTTAAAAGTGTTCAAATTTGCAGTATGAAATTATGAATTATTTCCCCTTGGTCACAACTTTGTTCTTGATTTAAAAAAAAGATATTTCCTACTATACCAGACAAATTGTAAGCTTGACAATATTGGAGAGAATGATTCTAATGATCAGTTCTGATTCAGTCATAGTTATACAGAGAACCCATGTAAGCAATACAGGATCTGCAGAAATTCTAGTGTTCAGATTTAATCATTCAAAAGAACATATTATGTGTCAATATTTTCCTCAATCAGTACATTTAAAAAAAAATGATAGGTCACTGTATCCACATTTCACATTTAAGTGATTTTTTTACAATCTAATATTACAGAGTTCGATTGTGGCTGCCAAAATGGAGGTCATTGTCACATGGTCACTGGAGAATGCATATGTAATGATGGTTACTACGGTACCAAATGTGAATCATTTGATTACTGCAGCTTTTATGAAAAACAGAATGGTCAGAGTGCTTGTGGCTCAGGTGGTAAGGATATTGATATTAAAGCAAAGTTTTCAATCCACCTTACTATGATTCATCCTAGAACAAAAGCCCTTTTGTATAAAAATAACATTTGGTATGATTGCCATGGAGACAACTCTGCATCAGAGAACAAATGACATAGAAGTAAGCAACATTCGTACCCATTTTAATTGTTAAATTTTTATGTTTTATAAAATTTGAACTATTCATATTACGAAATGGTAATTACACTGCCATGAATTAGCTTGGTGAAGATTTAAAAAGACCTAGTGCCTTTTAAATGTAATGGTGTTTGACAAAATTGATGATTTTGAATTAACATTTTTAACTTCGTGCTGATTATAGCATTTGCTTTCAGAAAATAAAGTGTATTGAAATGAAAAATGATATTTGAAAGTGATTACAAAAGTTGTCAAAGTAAATAAATATTTTGATCATGATGAAATTTAAAGGCATTTTACTGATTTGTAAAAAACAAGTTGTAATATGTTCTTTCAGGTATATGTAATGCTGTACCTGCTAACAGTGTGAAGACTTATGGTGGAGACAATGTTGGTGATCATTGTATATTTCCTTTTACCTATAACGGTACCTCATATGGTACCTGCATTGAAAGTAATGATGTAAGGTTCTTTCATTTGTTTGTGATTTTTTTTCTATCTCAATTTTGAATCTTTACAAATATGCTGTTGTTGTCAAGGTTTGAGGAATGAATACTTAGATGTTTGCTTGACCATAAGAAAAATTTAATTATTATAGGATTAAACATATCTTTCTAGAGGTTACCTAATTTAAACATCAAAACCTTGGAAAAAAATTGGTTATAATTATCAACCCAAACATTTTTATTTGTTTTTTATCTTTAAATTTTTCCTTTCATAAAACTTCAATATTCCATTCATGTGTACCGGGCATGAATATATCTCATCCATCTGTTGTGTGACTGCTTTCATTTTAATGGCTAATAAGGTCATGCTCACAAATACTGATACATTATAGACTGTTTTCAGATAACAGCTGTTTAATGGTAATATTAAACTTAGATCTAGATTGTTACCATTAATTTCTGGCATTTGGTAATAGTTTGTACCATAAGTCAAACAATACAGCTATTGTCCTGTCAATAGCTGCATACTGTTACCCAAAGCTTAGAGCAGAAGGTAAAAGTAGGCAGGTAGTATAACAGGATACTGTCATTCCAACAATTTCAAAACTGACAGCATAGTCATGCATGAAGACAGTTATTAGGGCCCCGCCGAATGGCAGACGCCCTATAGTTATCAGTCTCTACGTCTGTCCATCGTACCGTCAGTAACAAATTGTGTCCGCTCTATATCTAGAGAACCGTTATGATTTCAAAGTTTATACTTGACATGTATATTAACCAACACCAGAGGGTTTGTCATAATGTATGTACAACTTCCTAGGTCAAAGGTCAAGGTCAAAAACTTTGGTTTTAGTTGACAACCCCATGTCCTATGGTAAAGATCGTGTCCGCTCTATATCTTGAGAACCGTTATGATTTCAAAGTTTATACTTGACATGTATATAAACCAACACCAGAGGGTGTGTCATAATTTATGTACAATTTCCTAGGTCAAAGGTCAAGGTCATAAACTTTGGTTTCAGTTGACAACCCCATGTCCAATGATAAAGATACAAATTTTTTACCACACATTATTCACAGCAGGGCACACAGAGATGGCTCCCATCTCAATGATATCTAGTTTGTTTAATTTCTATATGAAGATTGTTATCAATGTGGAAATTGCACCAATGATAGGTACATATTTATTCAGTTTTATAATTACCGGTAAGGGTAATTGAAAGCTGCATTATCTTAAGGCTTTAATTTTGAGTGATATGAAAAGTAATAATTCTCACAATTTTATACTAAGATTTTTCTATTTTTTTTTAGGTTGGACCACCGTTTTCTTGTGGGTCAGTTTTTGATGGCACCAGAGAAGGTTATGTTGATTTGGGAATGTGGTCCCCTGGCTCAGTGTATACAATGGCTGCATGGGTAAGACCAGACAAAGCAGATGGAGTTAGGAGGGTAAGTATGTATAAGATATACAGTCATACATTGTTACTTCTGCTCAAATTCACTGCATTCAATATTTTCTGTTTCATGCTAGATGAAGTTGTACAATTAAGAAATATATATCTGAATAGCTTTTGTAAAATTCTCGAAACATTATAAGCTAAAAATTTATAAAAATGTACCCAAAAAAAACCCAGTCCACTAGCAGATGTATATTTTCACATATGTCTGAAGTTTTAAATAATTGTACAAAATATTTTTATTTATTTTTTCTTTTGTTTTATTCTTGTTGAAAATACTCTGAAATCATAGTTATTAGTATAAAAAATAAAATTTCAAAGTATCGTTGGACTTTTAAGAACATGTATGCATTTTGTGCAATATGTCTCATAAGCCAAATTGATATGGCTGGGTATTGATTGTTCTATGTATGTTTTAATGTTATTGTATACTATGTATGTCAATCAATATGTGACATAATAATAAAATAGATTATTATTATTATTGTATTGACCAAGTGATGTATAAGCATTGTAGGCTTTTTCAATTAGATATAACATAGCCTGATGAATGTAAAAGAAAATTGTTTCTTCACTTTGCTACCTTTGAGATTTGTCAACATAGATTTGTTTCACCTAACAGAAGTTCCCCTGGAAACTTTGTTAACTTTGTTATAAACAAAACCATAAAATATGTTCCTGTTGGAACACTTATTCTATACCCTTTATTCCGTAAGGAACAAAGTCTGTAATATTTGTTCAATTGGAAATAAAATAACAGAATATTTCTTCCATTTGGAACTTCTATTATGTAGGAACTTCTATTTCATGACAGATTTAACTTTATAACAGAATTATTGTTTCTTCTTTTTTTTGTCCCCTAGGTAACAAACATTCTTAAACGAGATACCATTGTATGCTTTGACAAAAATAGTGACAATATCCTTCTGTTGTAGATCAATAAATAGTTTACAGTCACTTTGCTCTTAGTTGTCATCAGGAAAAATACAGATAATAAACCAAGTTCAATTTACTTTAAAAAAGTGTATCAATCCTGAATCAATGCCCTTAGAAACAGGAAACTAGGAAGTAAAATGGAAAGATTTCATGATGTTTTAAATTTAAGATATAAGGAATTGGAAAAGAAGGAAAATTGAGATTATGTACATATGTTAATTTTGTTATTGCAGACAATAATTGGAGGAGTAGGTGACTGTTTAGATTATGGTATCTATCATTTTGAGAACTTCTGGGTTTACTACAAAGGAACAGATAGTGCATGTACTCGTGGAATTGACACAGGTGTCAGGATACAGACTGGAGAGTGGTATCTAGTGGCAGCAATTCAGAATGGCACTCATGTTATAAGTTATGTCAATGGTAAACAGAGTGCAGTTAAGGTATGGGCTATATTGTGTTGTGCCATGTTATTTTTCAAGTTGATACAAATATTAAAGCATTTTGTAAGCAACTTTTAAGTTATATATTAAGGAGCTGTCTGTAAATTTAAGAATGATTTTGTTGGTTTTTTTTTGTCAATACATAATTGTTACTTTTCTAGCATAATTGATAATGTCGTCAACATAATTTAATATTCAGGTAAGTTGCATAAGTGCATTACTTAAATCACAGCCCTCTCAATCATGTTCCAATGACAATTGAATTATTACAATGTTCAAATGTTATGTTTCAACTTAGATGTATCTATAAAGAAGTACTTGTAATAATGTTTTTATATTTTGTATGTATTTACATAATATCTCGGCATATATGATTTAGTTTTGGAGACCCATTTCAGATTTATCATATTATTGTAAAGCAAGTTATTTTTACGGATACTTTTTTTTTTTAGTTTTTAGCTTTTAGCTTTTCCTATCTGACTTTGTGGCAATATCTTTTTTTACAAAAATAAGCTGGTTTACAGTATATGTCTTATTCATGCTAAATGTTTTGAGGGAGGGGGTGCACACACTAGGTGCAACTCCCACTTCAAATGGCATCTGCCCTTTAAGACAAAGTGAGGCAGTGTTTATAAATCCTGGCCGGATATTTTGCAAATCCTGGATTTACTATGTTTTTTGTTATAGTTGTATGTAAGTATCTAGTATCTTATCTCCCTTGCAAATCACCCTAAAAAATAAAAGATGAATGTGTCTAAGGACATGAATGCCCACACTCAAGCTTTGCAATTTTCCAAGTTAAAAATGGGTATAACTCCAGAACGGTAAATGACTCACAACCCATATTCGAACTCTCTCTGTATGTAGTGGTTCTTAACATTGTGTATGAATTTCATAAAATTTGGATGAGACAAACATAATAAGTTAGAGTGCGGAAACGAAAAAATTAGCATTTTTCCAAGTCAAAAAGGGGTATAACTCTAGAATGGTAGTGACTCACTGTCCAAATTCGAACTCTCTCTACTAGTTTTGGTTCTTAGCATTGTGTATAAGTTTAATAAAATTTGGATGAGGAAAACTTAAGTAAGAGTGCGGAAATGGAAATGGGACGGACAGAAGGACAGAAAGATGGATTGAAGGACAGTCAAGGGTAACACTTAATGCTCCTGTTGCCTATGGCGGGGGCATAAAAAGAAAAGATTAGCCTTGGAAAGTATAGAAAAACAAATACACTTGTAAGAAGTTTTACACATTTTGGTTAAATTAGTCCCTATAAAGTTGTGAATCAGAAGATTCCAATAATACACATACAAATGTAAGGCATGATAAATAGCTTGTCTTATATGTAAATCTGTGTAAAACATATTCTGTTTGCAGGTTAAACCCAATGTGTTGCCAACTACCAGTGGTTTATGGATAGGTGGAGAGGTTTGTTGTCCAACCAATAGATTCCAAGGAATGATCAAAGTAAGCTTATTTAAAGAAAAAAATAGGGATTTAAGAACAATTTTAATTGATTAACTATGTAAATTTATATCATATCTTTAAGTGCCCACTTTATTAATGCATCTACTATTGTAGTGTTCATCAAATTGTTGTTTTCAGTTTTACTTCTGAGCATTTAATTTTTTTATAAGAAAGAATGATGATTATACATATTATTTTTTTTGGTAAAGTGGAAAGTTACTGATCAAGTTTGTATATTATAATTAATTTACAAACTTTTAAAGGAGACATGACACGATTTTCAATTTGTGTTTCAAAATGTTTATTTATACTTAACTTTCCCCAAAAATACATTGATAGCAATATAAGTGTCAAATATTTGGTAAAATATGTATTTTAATTAAATTTTAATGCAACGATTTATCGACCTGTCAAATATGCATATTTCCATCACGGAAGTCACTCAGAACGAGGCTACTACATCAGTGGTTACATTCATATTGACATATGGTACAGCGCAAGTTTAGTTTAGATTATCATCCAACAAAACACATGACAGTGATGAACAATGATTATGTGTGATGCCGATGGATTAAACAATATAATTAAAAAGAATATTAACATGATATTTTCTGTTTTTCGAATGACACACAGACTTAGAAGGTGTAAAGATGGGACTTTTTAACAACCCAAAACTAAAATTCTTTCCGCCCACTTTCATAAGGAATCCAGAGTTTGGGTCTTGGGTGCCATGCCATGAGTTCATCATAAGTCATAGGTGTGTGACACAGGCGATTGAATTTCGCAATCTCAGGTCTCGTTTGAAGTTGTAAGCTACAGGTGTCACGCCACATGGGGGATTGATTAGACATAGTTATTATGCAATATTACTTCATAAGCTCTTTGTGTACATCCTGGATGTGGGTTTTGCCGAGTGCACGGTTGAGATTGGAATATATTATTGTTACAGTAATACAGGTACAACTACCTGATGTTTAATGAATACCTGTAGTACGACAATACAATACCCTTGCACCACCAATTAAATACCCTAACCAGTGTTTATAACTAATAGAAAACCTGTATATAGATCTTATTTTTATTGCTTTTAAGAATATGCAGATATAAAAAGGTTTATAACAGATCCATTTTTTTAATTGACTTCTTCTTAAGATGGAAAAGTAATATTCCTGTATGCTTGCAAGTCTATAACTTCATGAGAAATTGTTAGGCAAAAAGCATAAAAAGCAAACAAGGAAATGATACGAGAATGTGAATCATAAGATTTTAACATTCTTACATTGAACACCGAATATAATTATTGACAACTATCTAGTTGGTAAAGATTCAGATGATGAAAAACATTTCTTTTTAAAATGGAAACTTAATAATAAATGAAGAAATTGTCGTTTGAACCAATTATTTGGTATAACCGAAGGGCCTCCACAATGAGAAAACCACATACCGTATATATTCGGCTATAAAAGGTCTCAACATGAAAATGTGAAACAATTTTAACGAGAAAACTAACGATCTTATTTATAACAAAATAATTTCAGAAGAACAAAATATGACCGACATGAACCAACGACAACCATGATCTACATGCTCCTGATTTAACACAGGCACATTCAAAATGTGTCGGGGTAAATGTTTGTGAGCGCCTACACCCCCACCCCACCCCAAGTGTTACAGTGGTTTAACAGTAGTACATAAGAACTATAAAACCCAGTCTGACTCAAAAGATCGGTACAAAGTACAGAAACCACTAACGTAAAAACAATAGAGACAAAGCACAAATACTGTAAGCTAGATCAAAGCCAAGTACAACTAATACATAACTCATGTTCTCGAAGACTGAAGTATGTTACATGTAAGCATTTTCATGATCAGTCCGATTGAAAATATAACATTTTTTCAAATGACCCCTATTTAAAGAAATGTTTTGAAAAAGAACATTATGTGTTGTGAATATTTTCCTGGACTCAAGCATTTTGCTGGTAGCAATAAACAAATTCATTGCTAAATGATATTTGGAAGAGAGGGATGGAAATATGTGAATTTGAATTTACTTTGTGAAATTCCTTAAATTTGAAGTTAGATTTATAAGGGTCTGGATGGAATTGCGTACTCGATAAGTGTGGTATAACTATAATATTAATTATTTCAACATAAGATATTTTTTTCGTAAAAATGTTTATTATTATTATATTGATGTTTTGGGAGATGGCTTTCCTGGTATGGAACTTGCGCCCTCGTGAAAATGTATGGTTTTAAAAGTCGATAACATAACACATGACTAAATCACACTACAGCAGGTGCCTTCTTAACTTTCACCTGGTCAAGTATGCTATAGGTGTCGAAATTTAATTACTAAAACAACAGCCCCCAATAAATGTTTATATAAAAGGGGAGGGGGGGGGGAGTAATAAAATTGTTAATTGAATATCCTAATGCACAAATAGTTTGATCAAGGATTTGTCACTATACAAATCCTTGGTGTGATGTATGGTTTACAACCAAAAAAATATAAGCATAACTTTTGGTGATAATTTATACCTATTAAAAGTCTCTATATGTAACAAAAAAAACAAAAAACAAAAAAAAACATACCCTTTGCGAACACCTAATTTGACTTTTACTATCGTTTTTTTCTTTCTTTCTGCTTCTGGCGCACACATAATTTTAACCTTACCATAACAGAGAAAAAAAAAGAACAATTTGATCATCAATGATTAGAAATTTATATTTTAAATCATGATTAAAAGTAGATTTATTTAAATAAAGAAATGCAGAAAGCGGTTTATTAAATTTATGCATCAGACAAACCCATATGTATGGAAACAATCCTATCGGTTTTGTCTGAAAAAAATCGTCGTTATTGGACTCTTCGTGCATGAAGAATTAATATCTTTTTAGCTCACCTGGCCCGAAGGGCCAAGTGAGCTTTTCTCATCACTTGGCGTCCGGCGTCGTCGTCGTCCGTCGTCGTTAGCTTTTTACAAAAATCTTCTCCTCTGAAACCACTGGGCCAAATTTAACCAAACTTGGCCACAATCATCATTAGGGTATCTAGTTTAAAAATGTGTCCGATGACCCCGCCAACCAACCAAGATGGCCGCCATGGCTTAAAGTAGAACATAGGGGTAAAATGTAGATTTTGGCTTATATCTCTGAAACCAAAGCATTTAGAGTAAATCTGACAGGTTAAAACTGATTATCAGGTCAAGATCTATCTGCCCTGAAATTTTCAGACAAATCTGACAACCTGTTGTTGGGTTGCTGCCCCTGAATTGGTAATTTTAAGGAAATTTTGCAGTTTTTGGTTATTATCTTGAATATTATTATAGATAGAGATAAACTGTAAACAGCAATAATGTTCAGCAAAGTAAGATCTACAAATAAGTTGTCATGACCAAAATTGTCAGTCGACCCCTTTAGGAGTTATTGCCCTTAATAGTAAATTTTTAACAATTTTTTGTAATTTTTTGTAATCTTTTACAAAAATCTTCTTCTCTGAAACTACTAAGACAAATTTAACCATACTTGGCCATAATCATTATTAGGGTATCTAGTTTCAAAAATTTGTCCGATGACCCCGCCTTCCAACCATCATGGCCGACTTGGTTAAAAATAGAACATAGGGGTAAAATGCAGTTTTTGGTTTATATCTCTGAAACTAAAGCATTTAGAGCAAATCTGACAGGTGGCAAAAATTTTCATCAGATTTAGATTTATCTGCCCTGAAATTTTCCGACAAATCCGACAACCCGTTGTTGGGTTGCTGCCCCTGAGTTAGTAATTTTACAAAAATTTTGCAGTTTTTTGTTATTATCTTAGATATCATTATAATATCTAATATCTAATACTATTAATTATGATTTTAACCTTATTTTACATGATTTCCAAAGCATCAGTAAATACAGGTGAGCGACACAGACTCTTGAGAGCCTCTAGTTCTTGGTTATTTTCAACAAACAATAACTCAAATTGATTAGGTCAATTTGTCAGTAATAGGGAAATTAAGTGCTGTCAATACCGTTTATAGTGTATCGACATCGTAAAGTTTGAGACATTTTCCCAGCTTGTAACCACTGACATAAGCACGATCACGTGATTGATATCTAATTAAAAATCATTCATTATGACAAGCCCTGGATATATTTTCCTAAAAAATACCGATTGATCGGGTTTTGACCAGCAAAATTGTACAAAACATGTTTTAAAACTAAGAAATACAAGGGCTTTATTTCCCTCAAAGGTAGGTAACTCCTCTGTACCAAGAATCAGTTAAATCATCTTCAGACATAGCCAAAAATAAGTGTAGATAAATACTAAAAACAATTTTCATTATAATAAAAAAATACAAGGGCTATAATCCTATTAAAGGAGACTTGACACGATTTTTTTTTTTTTTCTTTTTTTATTTATTTTAAACTTATTTTTGGCTATGTCTGAAGAGTTACCTACCTTTGAGGGAAATAAAGCCCTTGTATTTTATGACAATTTTGTATGTTTATAACTCACATCTAGTTTAAAAGACAGAAATAAGCTATAAAACCTAGCAATGATTAATTTGTTAATAAATAATAATATACCAGAAGTATGGACCTCCATTCAAATAAATTGATTTTGTGTGATTACTTGTGATCATGCTGATCTGTACTTGTTTAATTTTCAAACTTTATTTGGTGTAAAAAAAAAAATCAGATTTCTATAGTTTTAGTAGATAATGGGTCTTTTTAAGTATAAGAATCAGCTAAATCATCTTCAGACATAGCCAAAAATAAGTGTAGATAAATACTAAAAACAATTTTCATTATAATAAAAAAATACAAGGGCTATAATCCTATTAAAGGAGACTTGACACGATTTTTTTTTTTCTTTTTTTCTTTATTTATTTTAAACTTATTTTTGGCTATGTCTGAAGATGATTTAGCTGATTCTTGGTACAGAGGAGTTACCTACCTTTGAGGGAAATAAAGCCCTAGTATTTTATGACAATTTTGTATAAATAAAAAAATAAAAAAAAAAAAAATCGTGTCAAGTCTCCTTTAATAGGATTATAGCCCTTGTATTTTTTTATTTTAATGAAAATTGTTTTTAGTATTTATCAACACTTATTTTTGGCTATGTCTGAAGATGATTTAGCTGATTCTTGGTACAGAGGAGTTACCTACCTTTGAGGGAAATAAAGCCCTTGTATTTTATGACAATTTTGTATAAATAAAAAAAGAAGAAAAAAAATTGTGTCAAGTCTCCTTTAATAGGATTATAGCCCTTGTATTTTTTTATTTTAATGAAAATTGTTTTTAGTATTTATCTACACTTATTTTTGGCTATGTCTGAAGATGATTTAGCTGATTCTTGGTACAGAGGAGTTACCTACCTTTGAGGGAAATAAAGCCCTTGTATTTTATGACAATTTTGTATGTTTATAACTCACATCTAGTTTAAAAGACAGAAATAAGCTATAAAACCTAGCAATGATTAATTTGTTAATAAATAATAATATATCAGAAGTATGGACCTCCATTCAAATAAATTGATTTTGTGTGATTACTTGTGATCATGCTGATCTGTACTTGTTTAATTTTCAAACTTTATTTGGTGTAAAAAAAAAATCAGATTTCTATAGTTTTAGTAGATAATGGGTCTTTTTAAGTATAGTTTTATAATTATTTTTATGTTCAGACAGTCAAAATATGGAAGCGACCATTACAAGTGTCAGAACTTGAGAAAAGTATGAATTATCAAGGAAATAAACTTGCAAAAGTAAGTATATTTACAAATACATAAGTTTAACATCTTCCTTCTGTGTGCTCTTATAGAAGTTCTTCTTTTGTTTCCTACACATGCAACATGCCTCTAAAGCATTTTATAGAATCAATACAACATTTTCTAACTTTACTCTTGTCATGTGACATGTTAGATAACAAAATCTTGGTATTAATAGGGAAAATGATAAGGTGGGTCCTTATAAATTGGGTAAATATGTATCAGTGAATTAGTAATAAATTTTGTTCAGTTTACAAATTGTTTCATTATAACAATAGATTTAACATTTTTTTTATAACAGGAGGAAGCATTGCATGGAGGCCTTGTAGGTCAGTGGGAACTAGGGGAGGTAATCCAACCACCATGTGCTGGAACAGATCATGGTGGTGAAGACTGGACATTAAAAGATGGACAGCAGATATCTGGTAATGGGAATGTTTTATACCAATCTGAAAAAATTCTCCATACTGAATGGGGTATATGGTGGTCATTATGTTTGTTTGTCCATAATGTCATTGTGCAAAATATTCCTGAGCATTTAGTTGATGCTTTGTCTATCTGCCATTCCATCTGGCCTTCCGCCATCAGCTTATCTGACTGTGTGTCAGAAACAAATGGTTTCTGGATGAAATCTGAAATTATTTGTTACTTAGTTAAAAACAAAACTTGAACTAGTACAAGATACAGGGAAGGGGAAGAAGCCTATTGATTTGGGGTCAATAGGTCAAAGTTCTAGGTTGCTGTCACTCAAAATATTTTCTTATGGGGGGAAAATTGGTTTTCTGATGATAATTTCAATTAATTTTGTTGGTTAATAATAAAACTTATTTAGATGGAAAATATAGGGAAGGGTAATAACCGGATTGATTCAATTTTATATTAACTGAATTATGTATTACCCAATAGAATTTTTTGATATATAGGCAAGGTATAATAAAATGTTATAATATATTGCTAAATTAAAGAGAATTTTACAGCAGGTAAATGGGTTGGATAATTAAATTGGAATTAAGTTCAGAAAAAATGCCACAAGAATTGATTTTTTTCCAGATTTTCTAGACATAACTGTAATATCCAGTGTATAAGGAAACTTTGTGATTTTACAGTTCACTAAAATTGAAATATTTTCTGAATCTTGTGTGTATATATTTTAGGAACTCATTGTAATATCAGTACCTTTACCATACCTAGAGGAGCTTCTGTAGTAATGATTCCATACAATGGTACAGCAGGAGGCAAACTAGAAATAGTGGCAGAGGTACATCAATGTTTATATCTTTATAAAGAAAACTTTATATTTCTTATGGGTGTCTTTTGCAATAAATATTGAGCATTTAACCTTTGTTAGAAGATTAGTATTTCATGAATGTTCAGAATAAAATCATATATTCTGGGTTTTTTTCCTTAAAGATCAATTTTAGTTTTCTTTTAAGTTTTAGTCTGAAAAATTCAGACAGCACTGTGAATTCATTTATTTTTTTTGGGTACTAATTTTTGTGGAGTGAGGAAAAATTTGTATTTTCATGGATATTAGATTTCAATGTTTTGCCAAAGTTTACATATAAGCCTATAGAAAATGTGTAGTTTGTTGAACATTTAAATTCATGATTTACCTTTACCCATGAAATCCACAAAAATTGATATCGTACGAATTATAATGAAGTTACAGTATCTGATATAAGAAGAGGTTAAAATAAAAAGTTTCAGACCAATTATGCATTTGAGATGTTGTCAAAGTGCAGAGTGAGAAATATTGAGTTATTTCGGAACTAGCTAGCTAGGGCAAAATTTTAAGAAGTGAAGTAATGTTCAGCAGTTAGCTGAGTTTGGTCGTATTAAAATGCTAGATTTAACAGTACATTGTGATTGACATTATAATTATGATTTAACAGGAAATTATATTTAACAGAGTATACAGATTGATGGAGTACTTAATGGTATAGGGGCTGGATATAGAGGTGGTAAAGTACCGTTAACAGGACAGTCTGGGGAACAGGGAGAGTCCTATCCTGGTAAGTTTATGGTTTAAGGACTGTATATAGGGAAGATAAGATACCAATTGCAAGGCTGAAATGATGAGATTCATGTTCTGTTCAGTTTGTGTTAGTAGGAATTAGTTAAAGGGATGACCACAACAGAAATTGCAGGGCTCAGTGGAGAAAATTCATATTCTGAAATTCAGAATAAAAGGAAACATAGGGTATGCTTGTGGTAAAGGAACTTAATATAAAGATAGTGTTGTGGGGAACAGGAAAAGCCCTTTTCTGGTTAGTTTGTGGTCTATGGACTGTAAAAAGAAATAATGATGATGCTAGATGGCTGTTTAATGTCTGGTGGCAAATTAAATGAATATTGAGGACGAGAACATGTCAGTGTGATATGAATTATAACCCTGCATTGTACTAGTCCTTCATGCTGATCCAGAATTTTAGTGTGCTAGTTCACAAGGTAACAGACTGCAGAAAGACATGCAATCTTAGTAGGACACATTATTCTGACACCAGGCCAACCAGTCTTTGCTCTTACTGCTAAATGCTGCCTTCTTAGCAGAGAAGCAGCAAATACCAATTTTCAAGTTTTTAGATTGACAGGGGTGGGGATTCAATCCACAACCTCCTGCACTCAATGAGAGCATGACACCCTTCGAAGTGGTTCTGTAAAAAGGCAGGTAACAAAAGCAGTGCTTGGTGGTTAAACATGGAAAGCCCTATTTTGATAATTTTGTGGTCAAAGAAACTGGATATCCAGATAATTGCTGACAGAATTTGTTAAAATAAAGCTTTTTGTCATAGTTTGTGTTTTATATATATTTGACAAATCTTCAGTTTTAGTTTGATGGTAAGATAGAACAATAGAAAACAAAAAAAAATCTCAAGACTCATTATTTTTTTTGTACAAGCATACCAGTCTGTGCTGAAGATATATGCAGTTTATAGTGTTATATTCTCAAACCTTAATTTTTATTTGCAGGAGTTGGTCAGAGGAAAGTGTCAGATAATCGTGGTGGGGGAGGGGGAGGAGTGGGTGGAAATTCTAGAGCTGATCAGACAGGAGAACCAGGAGCTGGTGGTGGATATGGTACTGTAGGGTAAGTTTGTTGAGGGGATAATCATGGTAGTGAAGGGGGAGGAGTGGGTGGTAACTCTAGAGCTGATCAGACAGGAGAACCAGGAGCTGGTGGTGGATATGGTTCTGTAGGGTAAATTTGTTGAGGGGATTATCGTGGTAGTGAAGGGGGAGGAGTGGGTGGAAATTCTAGATCTGATCAGGCAGGAGAACCAGGAGCTGGTGGTGGATATGGTACTGTAGGGTAAGTTTGTTGAGAGGTTTTTCATACAACATCTGATAGGACAGGTTTTGTAAATCATATGACAGTGACAGGAAAGGAGTTGGTTCACCTACTCATAATTTTGGTCCTGAAAATACCTATAAAACTTCTGTGTTCACACCTCTAAAAGAAACCTACTCAACATATCTATCAAATTTTGACCGAGATTTTGTGGTTCACTGAACATGAAAAGTGAGCGGGGCATGGTGTTTTAGATTTTTAGCGCTGTATAATTAAGGAGCTGGTTGGGGTGTGACACAGTAGGATAACTTTGATGATGAGGTTTGCATATTAATGTGATAGGGCAGAAGTTTGATGAAGACAGAGTTATTATAATTGGTATGTTGCATTGGTGTTTAGGTTTCTTTTAGAGGTTTGAAAACAAAATATGATGTAAGAGGCTGATTAGAGTGAAATTTGTGTATTAAGACGGAAATGAAGTTTCAACACTGGATTAGATTAATAGTTGCTGTATTTATGCCCTACCTACGATAGGTACTGTCTTTGTGTCTGGTAGACTGTCCTGTCCCTCTTTTATCATGTTAGAGTTTGGGTTAAAAGTAGTTTATGGTCACATCAACTTGAAACTTAGTACACATGTTCATCATGAATTGAAGTATTTAGAATTTTAGCCAAATTTGTGTTTTGACCCAGACTTTGTGGTTCACAGAATATGAAATGTGAGCATGGCATGGTGTCCTATGAACACATATTCTTATTTGAAAGATATTTTTTATGTGTGCCTTATTTACCAATTTATGTAATTACACACATCGTGTACTTTATAGTAATACATGCATTAGGTTTATGGAAGATTTTTTTCTTAATCAATTTATGATGTAACCTAAATTTAGTGTGCAAATGATAAAATTCTTAGTTGCATTGTCAAGATCAAGATCACTCAGTCAGAAAGTATAAGGTATATTAGGCCACATTCAAAAGATTTCTAGATTCTCATCCAAAAAGGCCCTGATATTTAGCCCCCACCGCAATATTTTTATGGCCCGACAACTTTGTTGTCAGGGCCATATAGTTTTACCCTTACCCGTCATACAGTCATTCTGCAATGAACAGTTATAAGGAATTTTTTCTAAACACCTTCACATATTGATATGATTTTAAGTATGTGAGTCTACTATGATGAGTTACAGATTGAGTTTACGTTTGGTTCCGCTCCGCTGATTTTAGTAAATGTTAGTATTGGTGCTATATATGTAAGTATCACATACAGTTTGCTAGAGCTGTGTAATTACTTTTTGACTATGAAATTTACAACAGTGCACTAGTTGATGTTGAAAAAATAACACTTAACTGCTAGAATAACAGTAACCATGGTGTCGTGTGACCCTGAATTGAATAGCCTTCATGTTGTTTTCTATCCTAACTATATATCTTTGTATTAATTAGAAAATCTCCTGTAAAAATAAGAGGAGACAGAGCAGGTTTTGGTCAGCCAGGAAAGATGTATGGAGATGGATCTCTGAAACAGATGTTCTTAGGTTCAGGAGGAGGTAGTGGGGGTAGTGCCAAGGATGAAACTAAAAATCCTGCAGGTAACTTTATGTACGGTTTTATCATATATTTAAGATTGCATACATGCTTAAATTATTCACATCTTTGAGACTTGGGGCGATTTAGAGCTTGATAAATTGTTTTGAATCATGTCTGTTAAGACCTGATGTTGGTCTTTAGATGTCTTTCGGGTTATTGTTATATATTTATATCAATTTTCCGTATTTACAAGATAAATTGTCAACTATTTTTTCAAATGAATAAAAATTCATATGATATGGGTTGTTTTCATACAAAATGAAAGCATATGACAGAATCAAATAATTCGTCTTTCATCCAATGAAAGATCAATATTTGAATGAAATGAACACCAACTGTAAATATATCATTTTGATTGTGCAAATAATATACTGTTATAGTACTTTTATTTGTGGGTATCAATTTTCATGGTTTGAGAAAAAGTTACATGTTCGTAGGTTCTTAATCATGTGAATTTTTTGTTTTCTGAAAAAAATTGAGTAAAGAATTTTAAGCCATCAGAAACGAAGATTCTTGAAAATAATTAATCATAAGTTGTTGAAAATGATTTGTGGGACGTTTCAAAATAAGGTGCTCATTCACTTACTGATTCTTCTTTCATTACTGACAACATTCATCAAATTGTTAATAAAATAATTGCTTTCAGAAATAAGCTGATTCATGTATCCTTACAAATTGTCTCGACTGAAGGAAATTGCAAAGTTTTCATTTGTATTCTTGCACACATGTAATCAGAAGTGATGACACTAATTAACCTGAGGTCGAATGATCAACAGATTAACAACCATTAAAAGGTGTTAGATGGGCCTTAAACATGTCACTTAAAGAAAACAGCCACATAAAAATACTATGTGAATTGTAGAATTTATTCTTTTTAAATAAAAAAGCAAGCCCAATATCAAAATTCTTATTTTTCGTATGAGAATTATGAGGAGATAAAATGAACAGATCGTCATCGCATATCATCACCAGAAGTCTGACTTTAATTGATCAAAACTATTCTTTCAAGAGAGTTAAAATGTTAAAAGTCGTACAGTTAAGGTTTTTAAATGATTAAATGGGTAAAATCCTGTTGTATATATAGTTCATAGTGCGTTTGCTGATATTCGATGTATTCTCTAGATGATATGCCCGTATCCATGTAGTCAAACCTACATTAGGATCTTTCCATATCTTTATTTGAACAACAGTTGTAATATTTCGTTGGACACATAAATTCATGGATAAAGCTTTCCACGAAAACCATGAAAATTGGTACACCACAAAAAAAAAACTTTCACTGAGTATATAAAATTTTCATAATTTTATAAATTTAGGTGAAGGCATGAGGTTTGCTTTAATATCATTTTATATTTCCATGTAATAATGGTTAGTTTTAACTTGTGATGGTCTTCAGAAGCTCAAGATAGTTACATTACTATGTTTTTGAAATTTACAGGTGGTCGAGGTGGTAATGGAGGAGGTTCCATCAGTCTGAAGGCTCTAAGGTCTGTAGTGGTCACAGGACTGATCACTGTCAGTGGAGAAGATGGACAGGGAGACAATACACCCACAGGAGGACAGTATGTTCTATCATAGTACACATTTTTTTGCCACCAAATAATTTATGACTTGTAGATTTCTGAATGGATAAGCATTTTGTTGAGAATGTTTTAGTGTTTGAAGGCAACAATTGGTTCAAATCTATACCATTAAGCCTAATTGTTTGATAATTTCAAACACAAACAAGGGGATTGCAGGGTGGCTTCCAAAACGGTCATATTGTCAAAAATACATATATAAAATTAATATGATTTGAAGAAAAATTTGAAAAGGTAGTGATGAAGGTTTTAAGAACCGTCAGAACCACATTGTTTGAACTACAGTACATTCCGGTTATTTGCATAGCCTATTTGTCAGACAAAATTATGCAATAAAGCGGAGTATGCTTATATCCGAAATGCCAAATTACGGAGTCAAATAACATCGATAGAACAGATCAGTAAAGGAAATCCCTGAAGAAAGATGAACGTCTATATTCCAATACACCTTATCGCTATTCCCGCTTGACCCGAGAATCTGTCCCGCTCGAACTTTTGACGTCACACAACAATCACTTTTTCATTGTGGCGTCAGATATTTTCTATTATGACGTCAAAATTTTACGGGAACTTGTGTGATGTCCAGTAATGGCGGACAAATAGCGATAAGGTGTATTACAACATATTGAATGTTGATTTATTCTAATAAAAGTTATATGTCTAGTGTCATACATGTTATTTTATTTTGTATTATTTCAATAAAGATTATAAACACATTTTGTTTTAGTTTATTTGCGTACCGACGTTCCCTTTACCAGTTTACCTGGGATACGAAAATAAATTCGTTCTAAAAATAGATTAGTTTCTATGACCCGTATGTACAATGTACATTGTTACGCTTTGATTAAAATAAACTGTTTAACAAAATTACACAGTTTATAATCATTTTAACAATAGATGTGTACTAAACTGCCTTTGATATACAATATTTACAGTTTGCAGAGTGAAGTAACACTGTTTATTTAACTTCGTTAGTTTCGTATATGCAAAGCAGTAATGGGGCCCTGTACGGGTTATTTGCTGGACACGAGTATTGAAAGTGAGAAAATATAATAATTAGAAGTAAATGCTCTTTTCAAAATATATCAAAATTAAATGATTGATGTATAAAATTCTTTAACCATATATAAATGCCCTGTAATATTTAACATAAATGCAGATCACCCCAAGCCCAATTACGAGAGTTCACATTGGATAATGATCGATAATTAGCAGGCATTATTGTTTTTGAATTTCACCCCAACTGTAATCTATGGACCATGTCTGAAAAATCCAATCAATTATTTACACCTTTTTAGATAGAATGGTCAGTGTTTTTACAACAATTACCTGTTTGACATTTTTATGACCTCGAGGCTTAAAATAGAACATGGGAAACTTTACCTGTGTAGATATCGAGGTTTATTTTTAAATCAAATTCAATCATATAAACACGAAAGAAACTGTTTGAAAAATTTATTTGAATAACACAAAAGTAAATATAAAATACGAATGAAAATAATGATGCATTCAAGAAAAATATACTCACCAACTTGCCGTTTTCGGTCAAAAATTTCGACAGATTTAACCAAGCATATCTAGATGGCGATAATTTTCTATGCAATAAACCGAAAGGCCACTTGTAGAGCTATGCATATAACCGGACAATTTAACATTAGATGAATGGGAAATGGTTTTGTGCAGGAGAAAACTATGCAATTAACCGAATTATGCTATTAAGCGGTATGCAATTAAGTGGAGTCGACTGTACTACATATGTGCCCAGGTGTTAGATTTAATTATGCATCCGAATTCTTCAAAAATGCTAAAATTATCATTGATACCTTTATCTAAAGTTCACTTCGAATATTTTCTTGAAGAAATAATGTGGAAAGAGCTCCTTCACCTCAATCTTGCATCGTAAATGACACAGATTTTAGGTATCGTCTCTGGTCAGTGTTTTACCATTGTCAAGTCAACGTCCGGTATTAAGAAAATATGCTTTTTAAAAATGAAAGAAAAGTTTTTGACAATGTAATTTTGCACAAATAAAGATTCTAAGGCAGATATTAGTACTCATATGATGCTCAATTCGAATGGTGCACTGTCAATTTAACAGTTTACCTCAGAACATCGAATTTATATCAAAAGTCAAGTTTAATATCTTTTTATTTTAATCATTGTTTATATGATGCCCAACTGATTACCATGATACACCTTATCGCTATTTGTCCGCCATTACTGGACATCACAAAAGTTCCCGTAAAATTTTGACGTCATAATAGAAAATATCTGACGCCACAATGGATTAGTGATTTTTGTATGACGTCAAAAGTTCAAGCGGGACAGATTATCGGGTCAAGCGGGAATAGCGATAAGGTGTATTGTCTTTTGTTACTAAGTCTTACGGGATTAAAATCAGGATAAGACAAAAAATATCTGGCTGGCTCAAATATTTTTTGGAAGCCCTGGATTGCAGTTTAATTCATTTTTGTGCAGAGAGAATATTTGGTGATGTAGGCTTATGCTAGTTTTCATTTAATGATGATTTCACTGTGGTTATGATATTCATATTTTTAACATTTTAATAGAAAAGAGAAGTACTCAGTAAATGCTTTTATATGTAAAAGATAGTACTTTTTAGGTAGATATCTTCATATTTTTATATTTTTCCAATTTGGTATTTCTATGAAAGACAAGAGACATAAAGAAGGAATTGTTTTTGGTAAACATTACAATAGAATTTTTATTATAGAAAATACATGGTACAAAACAATTTAAGTAACTAAGGTTTCGAAACAAGGAACTGCAGTTTTGATGTGTGAATGACTGTAAAATAATTTTTTGAGTCAGTGATGTTTTTAAGCTTCTACAGTTCAGCTGCTTAAGAAACAAATTAGATACTGTTTTCTACTTTGATTTATATACTTACACATTATGATGTTAAAAAAATCCTTTTTCATTGAACAGATGTTCTGGATGTCCCGATGCATGTAGTGTAAAGAATTTGTTTGGTTGCCATGGAGACAATAGAACAGCATGCTGGGATATGTCAGGACCAGGAGGTGGGGGTAGTGGAGGGAGCATTTATCTGGCTGGAAAAGTTGTCAATGTTGGTAATGTTGTAGACTGTATTCCACCTTGATTATTTCTTTATTTTGTATATTTTCCAAAATTTTTATTGAGGATGGATGGAACTATTATTAAAACAATAACGTACCCTTAAGGTAACAATTAGAATATAAAATAGTTAAGAGTAAATTGTCTTAAAGGCAGTTATATGGGCCCTGGAAAATATTGATCTTGAAGTTTGAAGTTTGATATTTGTTAAGGTCATAAAGTTTAAATGGAATATTGGAGCAATTATATATGGCCCTAAAATTAAAAATGCTGTAAAAATGTCATTCATGATAGTTTGATTATGACTTTTATAAACAGTCCAAATAATTTAAACTTGAAAGAATATAACTAGGGAGGCTGACCAAAAAGTTGTCTAATTGTATATTATTTTCAATTTCAGGTCAGAAGTTGTTATGGACCATGGGTGGAAGAGGTGGCTTTGGTACACTACAAGGATGTGGAGGGGATGGTGGTTTAGGAAGGATTCGTGTGGATGCTGCCATATTTAAAGGATCAGTCACCAACTTACAAGGTGTTTTCACACAGTCTACACTACAAAATGAATATGTTGCAAGTATATCATTGTTATTTAAAATTCTTTACTTTACAAACGACACATAAACTGAAAAACCCTGTTTCAGCTAAATACCCGAAAGTGTTGATATGTCTAATGTTATCAGATATACTGTGCATGCAAGTTGTACTGTGAAGCACTTGATAGCAGACTTTGGAATGAAAGTTGGCTCTGGGATAACCAGTGTATATTGAAAACTTTATTGAAATTTTACATATGGTTCATTCTTCACTACATATGCATAGTTCAAATGGAGGCTTCCATGTTTGTTTCTTCAAATTATTCCGACATATTATAACAGAAGATATATTTGTTCATACCTGATGATGCTTTGTATTTCTGACTGAAGAGAGAGCATCAAAGTGAAGAAAACCAAAATAACACAAAAATATTTCATCATCCAATACTTGACTATTTTAACCTAGGGTCTTGTCAATAAATAAATAAAAGACATGGCTCACTACCCTGCATTCCTAAATGTCATTAGAGGTTAGAAGATGGGAAAGATCTAAGTTAATCATGTTTATTTTTAACAGGATCACAGCCAAGCAGGACAAAATTTAATAGATTACACTCATACTAACTATGGCAATGAGGTATATAGAGGGTGTTTTAATGACCCTGATATTGGTTATCGTACTTTAGCCTACACCGTACCTCTCACAGATAATGATAGGAACCATATGACACCAGATTATTGTATGAAAGTCTGCAGGTATTGTACCTCATTATTACAGCATTGAAAATTTACACTTTTAAGTAAACTTGCAGCAGGTCAACTTAGACAACTATGTAAAGAAATCATACTGGGAATATATTAATCTTGCCACATTCACCAAAAACAATTCTTGTCTTTCTTTACATGATGTTCAAATAAAAGGGAAAAGTAGCAAAGATTTGATCATCTACTGTATAATCAGAAATTATTGTAAGATTTTTATTATTGTGAATAATGCCACTGGGTGAGTATCACAATTATAAAAACTCACATTCTGATATCAGATACAAATCTGTATGCAGATTTTCCTGAAATTGCAATAATTAATCTCACATTTTTGACCATTCTTCAAAAATCACAACAAAAAATTCATGCAATAATTTCTGAATTTACAGTATTTTCCTATTTTAGGCACATAACACATGATTATGACATAATTTTTATTGGTCAACTGAAGGTCATCATTTACATTGTACTTAAATATGTCAATGGTCTGTTTTGAGTAATGCTAGAATTATTATGATGTTACAGAGATAAAGGATACCAGTTTTCAGGAACAGAGTATGCATATGAATGTTATTGTGACAACCATTTGAGGATGGACAGGAAGATGCCTGAAGGGTTGGTATATTGAAGCTTATTTTGTTTGAAGGGTTAGAAAAATGTATTGTTTCAGTCGCTTAAAGAACTCAAAATTAAGTGCTCATGTACTATGTTTGATTGTATATAAGATAACCTGACTTTAAATAAAGATTATTAACTTGATTTAAACAAGCAATCTGTAAAGCATACTATGATAGTGTGACTTGAATATTTACCATTTATAAAGATAAGAGAGTGTGGTATGATTGCCAATGGGACAACTTTCTACCAGAGACCAAATGATAAAATTGACTGATTCAGTATAACTGACAACCAATTTTATAAGTAAGATTTTTTTTTCAAAACACAGACCAGTTAAAAAAGTAGTAATCATCACTGTATAAAAATAAGGAGATCTGGTATGATTGCAGCTGAGACAACCAGAGTTCAAAAGACATGGATAAAAGCAATTATATGTCACAGTACAGCTTTCAACAATGTAAAAAACTGATACCTTTCCTTCAGCTATAAAAGGCCCTAAAAAATGAAAAATGTGAAACATTTCAAATTAGAAAACTAATTTATAACAATATAATTTACAAAAAAACAAATATAGCAGACCCGAACCAACGTCAAGCACTGAATTACAGTGCTTTCAAATTTTACATATATTATTTTGGTCAAATGAATTTGCAATTGTCATTGAATGGCCTTTAACAATAAAAATACACCCTAATTTAATAGCCTAAATTCGCTTGATGTTTTAAAATGAATTCATCACAAATGATAACGAAAATTTCTAGATAAAAGCCTCAAATGCTTGTCTCACTTTTTTTCACTATGAATTGATATCTTATAATTTGTTTTTCAATTGCTGACATATAATTATAAATATTGTAGAGATTGTCATACTCCATGCAGAGGTGACAGAAATACGTTTTGTGGAGGTACCAATAGGATATCTGTATTTGGTCCCCCACCAGGTACCCCTGCATTTGCACACAGAGGTGTTATACAGAAATGTCAACCATGGTGTCTCACAGCAGATGTTGAAACTACTAATGTAAGTTTCAACTAGACAAAATTCAATACATATCAATTTATCACATGTGAGTTTGAAAGGATTGGAGCATTGTATGCAATAAAAAAGCATCTATGTAGAAAAAATTCAAGGCAAAACAAATTTCAGAGTGTCATGCCTCCCAAAGTTATTGGACAAGCTGTATGTTTGTCTATTTTGAAAAGTTAATTTCTTCAAAACACTAGGTGGGAAAATCGGAAGAACTAGAAATCAAAATGTTAAAAGTTTAAAGGACTTTTATGTATTGGTTTGTGGTTCAGCAACCCAGTTTACACATGAATATCCTTTAGTTAGAATGTGTTTAATCTTTATAATTCTCAACCCAAACATTTGTTATATTTTTATGCCCCCGCCACCAGGACCAGGAGACATTAAGTGTTACCCTTGACCGTTCATCTTTCAATCCATCCGTCTTTCCGTTTGTCCTTTAATCTGTCCTTCCATCCGCCCCAAAAGTATTTTCACATATTATAAGCAAGCTTGAGCGTGGCATTCGTAACCTCAGACACATTCTTCTTTTATTCTTTCAATTTGAACTATCTTGGAACCCTAGGATTTTATTCATATGGGTTGAGCATGACTATATCACAATGAAATCGACAAATTGTTTAAATAGGTTAGGAAAAGTAGTTGTGGCACCATGGTCTATTGAATTATAAAGAAAGGAAAAATATTACAACATCAATCAGTTTCAAGTATTTGTAGATGTGCAAATCATTTAAGAATTTTCTTGTTTCATTAAAAAATGAAAACAACACATTATAAATTTCATGCAACCAAAGCGCTTTTCTGGATTTACCTTCATCAGGAACGCTCAAAGCCAAATATTTGAAAACCAAGGATGTATAAGAACCGAAACAGTTGGAGAGCTACAAAAACTAGCCAAATCATTCCAAGGTAAACTTTGCCTAAGGGAGTTGAAACATTTAATATTTTATATTTTATTTTAGCCAAAGTGGGGCCAGTGTTCCATGAAAACCCAGGAAGTAACATCATGGCAGATAGTTTGCCAGTGTCCTATAGGCTTTCAAGGATTCTTTTGTAACCAAGTAAGTCTCAGTGTCCCAGTATATGAAATTTTATATTTACAAACATTTTTAAATTCTTGTTGACAGGTGTGATTTAATTAAAAAAAATTATTCTAAGAAGAGTATGGGATAGATGTACATTATACAAAATTCTATTAAACAATTATAGAGCAGCTACTGGTCAAAGGATGTGAATGTTGGTAGAGCTACAGGTCCTTTCCAGATTTGTACTATTTATATTTATATGTCCTTCTTTATAATCAGATTTTTTTTAGTCTTCGTGTTTGCCAACTAAAAAAGGGGTGTGCATGATGGAGAATGTCTGATTCACTTTTAAACAAGGAATTATTATACCCCAGCTTTAAAAAAGTGGGGGTATACTGTTTTACCTCTGTCCGTCAGTCCATCCGTCAGTCCATCCATCCATCCTTCCTTCCGTCCCATGAGTATTTTTCGTCGCATTTTTCTCAGGAACTACAATACAAGGATTTCTGAAATTTGGTTTCAGGGTTTATATAAGTTAGCTATACCTTGTGATGCTTTTTCAGATTCATCACTCAACAACTTCCTGTCTACGGAACACTTGTATCATTTTACACATGATAGCCAAGTTGAAAACTTTCGTCACATTTTTCTCAGGAACTACAATATAAGGATTTCTGAAATTTGGTTTCAGGGTTTATATAAGTCGGCTTTACCGTGTGATGCGTTTTCAGATTCATCATTCAACAACTTCCTGTTTACCGAAATATTTGGGCGGGGGTATCATCAGTGAGCAGTAGCTCACACTTTCACTTGTTTGAATCTGGAACAATTTTGATCTCTGAAAAATTGATAAGAAATGTAGGATGAAAACTAACCCAATTTAGGAGGATAAGCCATGCATGCATGGCTAAGAAGGGTTAGTTAGCTCATACTGAAATATCAGTGAAAGTAAAAATAACCTTAGCCATGCATGCATGGCTAATCCTCTTTAGTTAGGTTAGTTTTCATCATACATTTCTTATCAATTTTCCAGAATTCAAAATTATTCCAGATTCAAACAATTCCTTGTTTTTAAATTTTATGAAATTTTCTTATTAAATCACATGTAAATTTAGATTTTATAGCAATATTCTTTAATTCTATTTTTATTTCAGCCATGTAAACAAGGAACCTGGGGTAAGAACTGTGCCAATAACTGTACATGTAACAATAACAACACACAGTTTTGTGACCCAGTCATAGGTCAGTGTAAATGTTCACCAGGTTACCGTGATGACCAGTGTAATACACCCTGCCCCAAAGGGTATTACGGAGTTAACTGTGCTGGTAAGACACCATTTCAATTGATGTATTCAACATCATCTGAATGTTTTATATGGGAAATGAATTAATATTTTATATTTTATAATCATAATTGTCCAGTAAAAAATAGTACAACAAAATAAACAAAAGAAAGCATAAACATTTCTCAAGAGTTTTAAGTCAGCAAGTTGATAATCACAAAATACACTATGTGTGTGAATGGTTTGATAGAGAGGTATGCTTTTCATACTGTAAAATTTGACTTAAGCACATTGGAGAAAATGTTTATACAATATAAGCAGTAGATCTACTATATTTGGTATATGGAATGATTGTAAGGTGTACATGTCCAACTGGTAGGTGTCATCTGACCTTGACATCATTTTCATGGTTCAGTGTTCAAAGTTAAGTTTTTGAGTTTTTGGTCTTTTTTTCTAATACTATATGCAATAGGTCAACTATAAATGGTGTATGGAAATATTTTATGATGTACATGTCAGTCTCACAGGTTTTATTTGACCTTGACCTCATTTTCACAGTTCATTTCTCAGTGTTAAGTTTTTGTGTTTTGGTCTGTTTTTCTTCAACTATAAGCAATAGATCAACTATATTTGATGTATGGAAGGATTGTAAGGTGTATATGTCTGTCTGGCAGGTATCATCTGACCTTGACCTCATTTTCATGGTTCATTGGTCAATGTTAAGTTTTCATGGTTAATTTTGTTTCTTAGATACTATAAGCAAACGGTCATATATGCCAGTCATGTCCTAAGATGAAACTATTTGTCCTAAACGAGAAATTGGGATTTAGGACATATTTTATTTTTTTAAAGAAGTAATTTCGGTCATTTCATTGACTCATATGTTTGAAATCGGATTTCTTAATCGCCATTTTGCACTGTCTTGTGTAAGTTGTGATCACTTGTTTTTGTTTATAATCCCTTTCCTGTAATAAAACTGCCACTCCAGTAGTTTGATAATCCTGAGGGCCCTCCTAATATCTATATCAATGCCTCCGGGAAACATTGGCTAATGATCGCTAATCACTTTTTACCTGTGGTTTTAATATTCACACCTGACAGTGATCACAAGCTCAGAATAATATCTTAACAAAAATTGAAATTCCCTGACAAGTGTATTCATTATTTAATTACTTTTCAGCAAAGACAATCATCAAATCTGATTTAAAAATTAAACCTAAATTTACGGAGAAAAAAGTATTTTTTTCATGTGCTTTATTTACTATATAATACGCATGCGTGAAATTGTCTTCAGCAAATTTAATATTTAATCGTAAAATGCAAATTGATTTAATGCTAAATTAAACGAGTGCAACTATTGTCTGTTATATTCAAACACTTTTAAAGGTAATAAAATAAAAAAGCCGGTGATTTCCTGTCAATTTGATAAACAAAACAAATCCCGGAAATGAACCCGGAATTATTCATACTTTAACTTTATCGCAAACTTCCGGTGTTAACTTTTGTCAAATCGAAAGAAACGTAAGCAATGTCTGAGAGATTTACCATTTTGAGTCATTAAAATCATTTCAATTTTAAACTATTGCCTTCCCTTAACTGTTCTTCATGGTAATGGTAAGACATTTATTTAGTAAATGCGATGAAACAGCAATACAAGTTCGTTGATGCTATGAATCTAGTTAAGTTGACATCGACAATTTGGAAAGGGGCACCAACTTTTCAATCATCTCAAAATGACCGAAATTGTGTGGAAAAATTTCCGGATCCTTGAATAGGTCAACTATATTTAATGCCTAAATTGATTGTAAGGTGTACATGTCAGTCTGGCATGGTTTATCTGACCTTGACCTTATTTTCATGGTTCATTGGTCAATGTTAAGTTTTCTTGTTTAAGACTGTTTCTTAGAAACAATAAGCAATAGGTCAACTACGTTTGGTTTATTGAATGATTGTAAGGTGTACATGTATTTCTTGTTTGGTTTATCTGACCTTGACCTCATTTTCTTGGATCATTTTAAGTTTGTGTGTTACTTGTAGTAAAGCTTAGTACTTAGGACTATCAACATAAAATCAATGGTTAGTAAAGAAAGCGAGACATTTCAGCGTGTGCACTCTTGTTAAATCTCTTGTGAAATTTTTTTTGTCATAATGATAGAATCAAAGAAAAGTTGAACTTGAAATGATATTAAATGAAGAACGATATATTGTGATATTATTTTACTAGGTATATGTAATTGCAGTAAAGCTAACTCACAGTGTGACCCAAGTACTGGAAACTGTATGTAAGTAATCTTCTTCTTGATCAATTTTTTTTACATGCCCTGCAAAAATTATTGACGGAGAAAATTTACCCTCGTCCTGCCAAATATAAATTTTGTGTTTTAAGGGCATATATGAAAAAACAGTGATAATCTAGTTGTGATATTTCTTTATTACCATCCTTGTTTATAGGTCAGTTTTATTGGTCAACAAAATTTTGTGTTCCAACTGAAAAACCTATAGTGTTTAAAAGAGTTATAGAGAGTTCAGCTAGAGCCTAGTTTTGGACATTGTCATTATTGTATAATGACTATAGGTGGTTGATGTGTAACAGTGCTACCACTTGACTTTGTAGATTTCTTACTACCTTCCATTCCCCACAATAGTGAAGTAAATTCCTTTAACTCAGTTGGTAGATGGGTTACAGTGCACAGTGGTACTGTGTTCAATCACTCATTGTTCAGTGGTTATTTTGAAAGGAAAATCAAACTCTACTGTTACTGACTTTTAAAGAAAATACTTATATTCAAATATGCGTACCGTCTTTTGGGGTGTATAGTGCGCATTTGTGTATAGTGTGCACCCCCTTTATGGTCCAAGAAACGTGAGAAAAAAAGTTTATTGTTCGTATAAGACTCATAGACATTTTTGGAAAAGTTACAGCTCCAAAATCAGCAAACAGGAAGTCTATTGGTAAACAGGAAGTTATTTAAATGGACACCGATGTCGGAGAATTCCGTACGGAATACGTAATTAATATGAAATTGCAAATATTCTGACAAATGAATAAGAATTTTATTAGATTGAGATAAATCTACATTAAAGTTTTTTTTTTAAAACCAAATTTAATAAATTGTTTGAGTATCAAGGACAAGATTAAATATCCAAATTAATGTTCTGATTGAAACAATAACATAATTACGAATCAGTCAAATGATTATCATTAACATCATTAGTGCTGTAATAAATTGTTAAAATCTCATTATTTTTATTTTTTGTTTGTTGATTCTAGCTGTTAATCCGGATTATCACACCTCAATCAACGGGTCTAATCGATGTCAAAACAAATCAGTGACAGGTTCACCTTGTTCCTAATTAAATTCATTCAGGTTACAATTATGGGATTATCATGTTTTCAATCATAATTTCTTGAACGGTTTTAAACAGTTGTTTAAAAGTTACAAAGTAGAAACGTATTTATAAAAATAAACTTCTCATAGACTAAATCATCACTTTACAATATCAAGTCACATGACTGACCCACATGACTGGCGATCACCTGATACATTAGAAAAAATGGCGGTTTATCTTTTCAAAACGAGCGTGGTTTATTCAATTTTCATACACTTTTCTTCTACTCTCCATGATGAACACATACAAAAACAGTAAGTTATGACAACAAGGAACACAGAGGCTAATTTAACCGACAACAAAAGCTTTATTGTGTCATTATTAAGACATGGCAAATTTCCGGATTGCAAACAGAATGACAAATTTACACGATAAACGTAACTACAGAGATATAAAATGTTTTTTATTTGAATAAAACATGACAAATCAAAAACAATAAGATACATATTACAAATATAACATGTAAAACATAAAAACAATCGAGGTTTTAGCAAAAATATTCCGTACTCTTCACTTCTGGAAATTTCCTTGTCGGAGTTTGGACCTGAAAAAAGACTAATAAAATGTCTGTAGGCATGTATAACGCGCACCCCTCTTACAAGAAACATGACCCAGGGTATAAATGTGCGCACTATACATACCAAAAGACAGTACTCTAGTTTTGTAACAGCATTAAACAGAGATGCGGAAAAGTATGAATTACCAAATGTGTAATCAGGCAAAATTTAGATTCAACTGCAAGAAAAGACATAAATATAAAACTGTTCCTAGGGGGAAAAAGTAAAACTATGGGTTGACTATTTTTCAAGGTCAGGATAGGATTTGTCTCTACATTTGTTTATTTATTAATTATGCTGTACTGTGGATTCATTTTTAGCTCACCTGGCCCAAAGGGCCAAGTGAGCTTTTCTCATCACTTGGCGTCCGTCGTCCGTTGTCCGGTGTCCTGCGTCCGTCGTCCGTAAACTTTTACAAAAATCTTCTCCTCTGAAACTACTGGGCCAAATTTGACCAAACTCGGCCACAATCATTATTATGGTATCTAGTTTCAAAAATGTGTCCAGCCATCCCGCCAACCAACCAAGATGGCCACCATGGCTAAAAATAGAACATAGGGGTAAAATGTAGATTTTGGCTTATATCTCTGAAACCAAAGCATTTAGAGCAAATCTGACATGGGGTAAAATTGTTTATCAGGTCAAGATCTATCTGCCCTGAAATTTTCAGATGAATTGGACAACCCGTTGTTGGGTTGCTGCCCCTGAATTGGTAATTTTAAGGAAATTTTGCCGCTTTTGGTTATTATCTTGAATATTATTATAGATAGAGATAAACTGTAAACAGCAATAATGTTCAGCAAAGTAAGATCTACAAATAAGTCAACTTGACCAAAATGGTCAGTTGACCCCTTAAATAGTAATTGCCCTTTATAGTCAATTTTTAACCTTTTTTCGTAAATTTTTGTAATCTTTTACAAAAAATCTTCTCCTCTGAAACTACTGAGACAAATTTAACCAAACTTGTCCACAATCATCATTAGGGTATCTAGTTTAAAAAATCTGTCCGATGACCCCGCTCGCGAACCAAGATGGATGAATTTGTCACCTTTACTTTAAAACTAATAAGTATTTTTTTAATCATTTATTTTTTTTTTTAATTATAGTTATTGGTTTTGACATGGCTAAAAAAAATGGACATAGGGTAAAATGCAGTTTTTGGCTCATATCTCTGAAACCAAAGCATTTAGAGCAAATTTGACGAGGATAAAATTGTTCATTAGGTCAAGATCTATCTGCCCTGAAATTTTCCGACCAATCAGGCAACACGTTGTTGGGTTGCTGCCCCTGAATTGGTAATTTAAAGAAAATTTTGCAGCTTTTGGTTATTATCTTGAATATTATTATAGATAGAGATAAACTGTAAACAGCAATAATGTACAGCAAAGTAAGATCTACAAATAAGTCAACATGACCAAAATGGTCAATTGACCCCTTAAGGAGTTATTGCCCTTTATAGTCAATTTTTTACAATTTTCATAAATTTTCGTAAATATTTGTAAATTTTTTCAAAATATTTTCCACTGTAACTACTGGACCATGTTCATTATAGATAGAGATAATTGTAAGCAGCAAGAATGTTCAGTAAAGTAAGATCTACAAACACATCACCATCACCAAAACACAATTTTGTCATGAATCCATCTGTGTCCTTTGTTTAATATGCACATAGACCAAGGTGAGCGACACAGGCTCTTTAGAGCCTCTAGTTATTCGTGGTATACCAATTTTCGTGGATTTTGTGGGTCACAGCGAACCACGAATTTAAGAATTCAACGAAGAATAATCCCGAGAAATGTGTATGTAGTCGGATGTTAATTACCGGTTATGTTATGCAGTTCTAGTATAGTGTTGACTAGCGATAAACATTGTAACATAACACATGTTTTTAATGAAAGAAGAAACAAGTATTTTGATTAAATCAATAATAAATATATCGAATATCAGTGATAATTTACTTTTTAAAATTGATTAAAACTGTTCATGGAAAATAACTGCAAGTTGTTAATTACCGTGTCATAGTTTGGTTTACTGGTGATTAAAAATCAATAGGATTAAGTACGGGGATATTGCCCGTAGGTAATATTGTTTATGACAGGAACATTTATTTTCACACCTTTTACTTATATGGCTGTTTATTATATCGTGATTAGGGAATGAGTTTTCAATCATCGAGTTTTGAATGCCTTATAAAATTCCGCCAGAATTTATAAATTGTAAAACAAACAAATAATTAGTTGTCTCTGTCCATTATTGTAATAGAAGTTTTCAATGAACACTTTAACCTAGAATGACCAATCGAGGATTTTGACAATTCAAAACTTTTTCAATGAATTCCTTCTTTTTTGTTTGTTTTATTATTGATCAATTCAAGGAGGTTATATGATCTCCTAAATCAAAAAGAAATCCACGAATTACGTATCTGTTTTTTTTTTTTTTTAATCAGCAATCCACGAATTTACGTATACCACGAAACGTCTTTTTTTCTCTATCCACGAAAATTGATACCCACGAAAATAAATGAATCCACAGTATAATGAATGCATATGTCGAATAAAAGGAAAGGGTTTGTCAGTTTTGCAGAAATCCAATAACACAATAGAGGTCAATATAGGGTCTCCTATAATAGACAAGTGTCCAAATTATGTGACCAGATGTCAAACTCTAAATGGACCACTGTCTCCACAAAAATGAACACCTAAATCTGTAATGAAAAAAAACAACATGATTATGACTGATGAGATTCCTTGAGTTGGATAGGTACATACACATCAGTGGCAAGCTTGTGTAGTTTTGTGAGCATTTAACCCTACATATGCCTTTAGGTACATACACATCAGTGGCAAGCTTGTGTAGTTTTGTGAGCATTTAACCTCCATATGTCTTTAGGTACATACACATCAGTGGCAAGCTTGTGTAGTTTTGTGAGCATTTGACCCTCCATATGTCTTTAGGTACATAAACATCAGTGACAAGCTATTGTAGTTTTGTGAACATTTAACTGTCCATATGTCTTTAGGTACATAATTATCAGTGACAAGCTTGTGTAGTTTTGTGAACATTTAACCCTCCATATGTCTAAAGGTACATAAACATCAGTGACAAGCTATTGTAGTTTTGTGAACATTTAACTGTCCATATGTCTTTAGGTACATAATCATCAGTGACAAGCTTGTGTAGTTTTGTGAACATTTAACCCTCCATATGTCTAAAGGTACATACACATCAGTGACAAGCTTGTGTAGTTTTGTGAACATTTAACCCTCCATATGCCTTTAGGTACATAAACATCAGTGACAAGCTTGTGTAGTTTTGTGAACATTTAACCCTCCATGTCTTTAGGTACATAATCATCAGTGGCAAGCTTGTGTAGTTTTGTGAGCATTTAACCCTACGTATGTCTTTAGGAACATAATCATCAGTGACAAGCTTGTGTAGTTTTGTAAACATTTAACCCTCCATATGTCTTTAGGTACATAATCATCAGTGGCAAGCTATTGTAGTTTTGTAAACATTTAACCCTCCATATGTCTTTAGGTACATAATCATCAGTGACAAGCTTGTGTAGTTTTGTGAACATTTAACCCTACATATGTCTTTAGGAACATAAACATCAGTGACAAGCTATTGTAGTTTTGTGAACATTTAACTGTCCATATGTCTAAAGGTACATAATCATCAGTGACAAGCTTGTGTAGTGTTGTGAACATTTAACCCTCCATATGTCTTTAGGTACGTAAACATCAGTGACAAGCTTGTGTAGTTTTGTGAACATTTAACCCTCCATATGCCTTTAGGTACATACACATCAGTGGCAAGCTTGTGTAGTTTTGTGAGCATTTAACCCTCCTTATGTCTAAAGGTACATACACATCAGTGACAAGCTTGTGTAGTTTTGTGAACATTTAACCCTCCATATGCCTTTAGGTACATTCTGACACATCAGTGGCAAGCTTGTGTAGTTTTGTGAGCATTTAACCCTCCATATGTCTAAAGGTACATAAACATCAGTGACAAGCTATTGTAGTTTTGTGAACATTTAACCCTCCATATGTCTTTAGGTACATAATCATCAGTGGCAAGCTTGTGTAGTTTTGTGAACATTTAACCCTCCATATGTCTTTAGGTACATACACATCAGTGGCAAGCTTGTGTAGTTTTGTGAACATTTAACCCTCCATATGTCTTTAGGTACATACACATCAATGGCAAGCTATTGTAGCTTTGTGAGCATTTAACCCTCCATATGCCTTTTATCTTACTCAGTGTGGCGAATATTGTTAAATATCCCTACAGACAACTTTCAGTATACTGTACAATATTTTTAGGTGTAACTCAGGATGGATGGGGAATAATTGTCAGTTTCCTTGCCCATCAGGACATTATGGACAGGATTGTAAACTTCCTTGTCTCTGTAATAATCAGGGATCATGTGACCCTGTTGGTGGAACTTGTCAGTGTAATCCTGGATATATGTTGCGTAAGTATTCAATTTTTATATAAAACCACCTTCGTGAAGAAGACCTGTTTACCTCAATGATGAAATGGTAATATGGTATTGATTGTGAAATAACTTGTTTATAGTTCATGAAGGGCAAAACCATTAAACTTTGAAATTCTGTAAATTTAGAAATAAATTAAAAATGAGATCTTATTAAGGTGGTACCCAACACCTTGACTAATATTAATTTGGTTCGTTTAATATTCCTAAAATTTTGACAGAATGTTTACTTTGACCCTTTGACAGAAATATAAAAATTTCAAATAATTTGAACCAACCACTTTATCAGAAAAATTTCACTGGTTATATAGGGTGCAATCAACAGTTTTTTTCTATGACGTCATATTTTAAGGGACCATGCCTAAGTGACCCTTAGTGGTGGAATGGTTAATAAAGATACTTGTATAAAACTAGATATTACTGGAATCAGAATTTTCTCTAGTTTATATTGAAATAAAAATATACTGTACTTTTAATATAGTAAAAAAGTTCTATCCAGAGAAAATGGGGAAAAAGTTGCCTAATCTGAACATAAAAAACCTGAAATCAGGTCATGTGCATACCCATGTAAACATGATACAGGCACATTTCCCATAATCAAAACTGTATGAAATTCATAGGTTTTTACCTGGCCTTTAATAAAAATCTTGTTTCAGGGTACGGTTTCCTGCTTCGAAAAGAGCTACAGTGGCTGCAAATAAGTTTTCAATTTTCACTGCCAAAAAAACAGGATGTTTACAGTGTTGTCTCCCCTCAAAACATGAATATTTAATCTAATTTTTAAAATTATTTTAATCATTCAACCTGTTTAATTTGAAAGCTAATTAACTAATTTTTACAATCGAATACAAAAAACATGATACTTTTTCACCAATTATATGAATAAAAAGGGATTTCCCTCCATGGTTATTTTTAGTCGGGGAATAACCCCTAGTTTTTTATACGAAACTGTTTATAGCACCCTTAAGCAAAACTTTGTATGCGATATATAAAAAATTCTCTACTTTTCTGAATCTGTACATTATATCGATTAAAATGATGTCTTACTTTAAGGATTGCGACCATCGATTGTGAAACTACGGCTCATTTTTTATGTCGCATAGTATTGGCATATTGGCCAGTGGCAAATAGTTAAACTGGCATATTCCAAACATTTCCTGTATCACATTTTCATCAGTTACACAAAGAAAAAAAATCATAAAATTGGGTTTCTATTGAATAAATAGAATAAAAACTATGAAATAAACATAAATAAAGTTACTTTAAACAGATTTTGTCCCTAGTATTATATGAACTAAGGTGTAGCTGAGTTGAGAAAAATATTGAAATAGTGTATTTCTTAGGAACAGCACTTGTAGCTATTTGAATATAAAAAGTACCAAATATATAATATAATGAATAAAAATGTATGTTACACTGATCAGTAGTAAAGGTCAAAGTAGAAAAAATCTACACTTTTCATGTGCAACTTTTGGTTCCAAATATATGAGAGAATGAATAAAAATATTATGACGTCGCAAAAAGATGAAAAAACTTCAAAATTTGCACACAGTCTGGTTTTCTTATATCTGGTTGCTATGTACAAATCTGTAATATTTGCATTAAATATACCAAACTGATGCTTTTAAATTAATGTATGCATGCCATATGATATTTTTCAGAATTGTTTTACTCCATTCAGTAACACATTTCTATGCTAAAACCTCACTATATTATATGTTTGACCCTTTAAGGGTGCAATCAACAGTTTTTTTCTATGACGTCATATTTTAAGGGACCATGCCTAAGTGACCCTTAGTGGTGGAATGGTTAATAAAGATACTTGTATAAAACTAGATATTACTGGAATCAGAATTTTCTCTAGTTTATATTGAAATAAAAATATACTGTACTTTTAATATAGTAAAAAAGTTCTATCCAGAGAAAATGGGGAAAAAGTTGCCTAATCTGAACATAAAAAACCTGAAATCAGGTCATGTGCATACCCATGTAAACATGATACAGGCACATTTCCCATAATCAAAACTGTATGAAATTCATAGGTTTTTACCTGGCCTTTAATAAAAATCTTGTTTCAGGGTACGGTTTCCTGCTTCGAAAAGAGCTACAGTGGCTGCAAATAAGTTTTCAATTTTCACTGCCAAAAAAACAGGATGTTTACAGTGTTGTCTCCCCTCAAAACATGAATATTTAATCTAATTTTTAAAATTATTTTAATCATTCAACCTGTTTAATTTGAAAGCTAATTAACTAATTTTTACAATCGAATACAAAAAACATGATACTTTTTCACCAATTATATGAATAAAAAGGGATTTCCCTCCATGGTTATTTTTAGTCGGGGAATAACCCCTAGTTTTTTATACGAAACTGTTTATAGCACCCATAGCAGTTTGACAAACACTAATTTTGATCATTGAGAAGCTTAATATTTCCTTAACAATACAACGTGATTAAAACGTTAAATTGATTTTTACAGAGTTATCTCCCTGTAGTGTTAGGTACCACCTTAATGTGATTGCAAATATTATGTGAAGGAAAAGCACTACTAAAATAATGAATGCAAGCTTTTGAGAATCTTTTTTTCGCATTAATAAAACATCACAGTTATTTCTGAATTTACAGTAATTTATATTGATGATTAGTTTTAGGTATTGTTTATTCAAATTTAAATTAATCAATTTGATAAACAATATTCCATAAAAAAAAAACATAGAAAATTAAAGATTGAGCAACAGCGATCCCACCTCAAAATAGAAATGAACTTGGGTGCTCAGAAAAGATAAGTTAAATTTGTATTTTGACATCATCCAACATCAGATAGTCTCCACAGGGGAGATAATTACATAAGTTTTTTTTGGAGAATTGCTTATATACTTAAATGTATGAAATCGCTGAGTATGGTTGAACCAAATATAATCTGTATGATTCTGAGTTGATTTACATGAACATTTGTAAAGGGTTATTGTCAGGTGAATGTTAAAAAGTTCCTGCAAACCTCTAGTAAGCATGAACACATTGGTCCTTTAACTGTTACAAAAATCTTTTCCTCTGAAACTAATAGACCAAATTTAATTAAACTTAGCCACAATCATCATTGGGATATCTAGTTAAAAAATTTGTCCGATGATCCCGTCTGCGAACCAACATGGCTGACATAGCTAAAAAATTGAACATAGGAGTAAAATACAAGTTTTTGTCTATTATCTTGAAAACCGCTATAGATAAAGAAAATCTGACAGGGACAGAATTGTTCAAAAAGTTGAGATCTATCTACTGTCCTATTAATCAAAACTGTCAAACAACTTCTTACAGGAGCTATTGCCCTTTAAAGATGATTTTACCCATTTTTTTAAAATTTGCAACTATATTAGAAATTGAGAGGGATACATTGATGACTTACAGACGAAGTTGGCACTTTGTACAGTTGACTGACTTTTTTAAATAAGGCGCTGAATGTTGGAACATTGGTGTTGTACCAACTCTCATCTAGTAAAATATCAAGAAATGTGCTTTGCAATTAATTTTTTTTAGTAGAATGAATTTGTGCAATGATGAACTCATTATATAATTTCATTATTAAATTTATTTTTTTTCAGCCACATGTGCCTTTCAGTGTGAAAATGGATTGTATGGACCTGATTGCGGATTCTTCTGTAAATGTAATAATCAACCATGTGATCCTGTAACAGGGCTTTGCCAATGTGGACCTGGGTTCAAAGGTCAACATTGTGAACTGGTAGGTACAGGGAATTGTTACCCTAATTTTCCTTTATTGGTCAATAGTTTGAATGTTTGAAGGGGTCATTGCCATGTTTGATCAATTTTGTGACGTGATAATCCTGCCAGTGATCATTCATGTTATAGAGATAGATGTTTTCAGTTGAAACCTATATCATACAGCTTATACAAGGGGACTAATGATTAATAATTTTTTAATCAAACCCTTGAAAGCCCTTGATAAACAAATACAACCATGCAGCTATCATTGAAAAATTTTTTAGACCTAAATTTTCATTCTTTTGAAAAAAGAATCATATTCTACCGTCTGCCATTTAGATTATGATATTAGTATTGTGAACACTTTTAAATTTAATTGTCAAGTGAAAAAAGTATCAATATTAACAGGGTCTTCAACTTCAACCACTATAAATGGCCTTTTTCAAAATATTGCAAAATTGTAGCTGTTCATTTATTTCAGGAATGTCCAATTGGTTTTTATGGACAATTTTGTCTGCAGAAATGCCAGTGTGCAGGGAAGTATGGGTGTGATCATGTGACTGGAGCATGTCATTGTGGTCCTGGATTTGTTGGACAGAAATGTGATGTGGCTTGTCCACCAGGATCGTAAGCATAAATAATAATCACATAATTGGTAACAATGAAAAACAAATTCTGTGTTTAATTTTGATTAGATAGAGTAGCACCCTTTTAATTTTAAATTTATGAAGTATGAAGTAAAAGAAAATTATGTATTACAGACAATTGATTACAGAAAACAAAATAGGTCTATATGTACTATTTTTCCTGTAGCTATAGCCTAATGTTATCCATAGCCTAGCTGTCAGTTCATAAAGTAATATTTTTTATGGCCTAAACAAGAAACTATGTTGTATCTAAAATTCCAATTTTAAGCACTTTATTGAGAGGCTGTAGTTGATCTTTCAACTGAGCATGAGGAATAGTAGCCGAGACTGTAGAATAAGCCATAGTTTTGAGTCAATTGCCAACAGTAATGATTGTGATTGAAGATTTCAGGAGATTTTTTTTTTTTAAAGAATTTTTAACAATCAACATCTTATGATGCTGCTGGTTGAGTATGCATCATTACAAGATTTTATTTTTTTGAAGGCATTCTTATACTGTAGAAAAAATGGAAGAAGAATTGTAGAAAAATGTTAAGATGAACATGAAGTTTGATGTATCTTGTTCTTTATAAGGATTTTTATGAAGTTTTTGCATCCCGTATATTAATCCAATAAACTTTTAAAACCTACAAGTCATTTCTCTGTACTTTCCCCCAGAAATGTCAAGCTAGTACAATTAGATACATGGTTTAATTTTGTTTGCATTTTAAATGAGTAACAATAACTATGATGAATCTTCAGATTTTCAGGATATTCAGTGTTCTTAAAACAGATGGATAAATTTTGTTTAAAACAGGAACCTTAATTAATAATATAAGAGGTCCTTTATGAAGTGACTGCTCTATAAATGTCAAAGTCTGACTGTATTAGTATCAACATAAAATGGAATTATGAATCAGCTATCAAAAAAATTGTAAGCTTATTATTATTTCTTGAGAGAAATGTATGGTATCCTTCAATGCTGAGAACTTAATTACAGTAATTATCCTGCAAGGGTGATTTGCCCAGCTCTACAATCATACACTGAGCCAGGAACATGCTAAATTAAGTGTAAGCTTGGATTTTCTAATTTCCAGGTTTGGCATTAATTGTGCCAAAAGGTGTAACTGCTTCAACCAGCCATGCGATGGAATCACTGGTCTATGTAAATGTAACCCAGGATACAGAGGTCATCAGTGTGAGCTGAAATGTCCCTTAGGTCGCTTTGGAAACAAGTGTAAACAGACATGTGCTTGTAAAAATGGAGCATCTTGTGATGGTGTAAGTAATAACTCAGTTGGATTTTTGAGCCAGACATTCTGGCTTTATTCTCACCCTCAAGATTTAAGACGAAATAGAATTCTGAAATACAGGCAAATAATCTAAACATTGCAAAAAGTGTAAGACAGTACTTTGATCATCTTCCACCAACTTTTCACATGTTATTTGCTCTTAAATGAAAAGAAATACATTAATTGTAAGATCATATGTTTAGATTTGAATTAAGTACACTTGCAGATTTAAATCAAAATTTATGAAATATTTACCCTTTATGATATGAAGATCAGTATTTTATGCCCGATGAAGTAATTGATTAAACTTCATAATTTGTTTTTATTGATTTCCAACACTCTTTAAAATATATACTAAGGGAGACAATTTGATCTTTTTTCCTAAAATTGTATACAGTTGACATCTACATGTTTACTTAACTGTTAATTATATGCTTCATTTAAATAACAAAAGACTTTTTAATCAAGTTTTATGCATTTTTCAATCCTTTGAATGCCCTTTTTTGGGATGTAAAATTCCAAATGAAAAATTAAGAAGTTCCAAACATCTTTTTAATTAACCAAGATATTTTAAAAATTTCAAATATGAGCTTTGTATCAGATATTTTAAATAATATATTATCCCTGTAGAATAGATTCCTACACACAGATATAATTTTAATTTATATATAGACATTAATTGAAGAATTCCTTTCGAGCCCCGTGAACATAACAAGTAAAAGAATAAACATTTGAAAATAAAAATATTACTAAGTCTGATGCAAATCTCAGATTTGAAATTTCAGAATAGCTTGGGTGACTATAGATTCTACCATAAGAAGAAATAAGAAATCATATCCTGAAAATATCCCAATTGCTATCAAACTTAAGGATGTTCGCTACTCTTGTTTTTGAATTTTTGCCAGATATTCAGAATCCTCTGGTTTTTTGCCATTAAAAATTTTTCCCACTAACCCCTACTTTTCTTTCAATAATTTGATTACATATAGTTTAAAATGCCATCTTTGAAAATCTTATAAAAACCTTGTTATTTTTTCATAGCTTTTGAAAGAAAAAAGGTGCCAATGTTAAATGTATGAAAAATCTAGAGAGAATCATTTTCGGCTGAATTTTCAATGGCTTATACCTTAAAAACAAGCAAATAGACCATTCATTTTTTTCTGCTTTTTTAGTTCCTTTATTTATATACTTTAAATTTATAACAGTCTTTTAAAAAGGCGACCATCCTTAAAGGAAAAACCAACTTCTACTTTTATAAACCCCTTTATATTGTATGGTTGACTGCTTCAGCTGCCAACAAATACTTCATCTAGTTTTCATTTCAGGATTTTATCACTCATTTAATCAATAAAGAATTGAACATAGAAAAGGGTATCTTTTTTAGGTCACTGGAACATGTTTATGTCCACCTGGTTGGCAAGGTAATATGTGTGAAATACCATGTCCGACTGGTTATGGTGGTCCTGGTTGTAACACTTCCTGCCCTGCTAATTGTGGAAATGGGTTCTGTAGTAAGGCAACTGGATCTTGTATATGCACAGTAAGTTAAAAACATAAATACATTGACATTTGATGAAATTTTGAAGGAAAAGATTTTAGGTGTATTTGAATTTTTGGTAAATTCGTATACCGGTAATGTAAAAAATGGTCAGTAATTGGTTAATTAAAAAACAACAAAAAAGTATCAGTCACAGAAAAATAATGTTCAGATTGCAGAATGCTAAAATTGTCAAGAAATACCTACATTCTTTATTCCCCAAAATCTTCAAACTACTCATGTGACTTTGTTAACCCATTGTTTGGTGTTTTTATCTTGATCTTAAAAACTGTTATAGATGCATCGAAACTGTAAATAGCAAAACTGATCAGCAAAATAAGATCTACAAGTAAGTTCACATCACTGATTTTGCCAATCAGTTTCTAATAGGAGTTATTTCCCTTAAACAATGATTTTTAACCCCTGTTTGACTGTTATATTCCAAATTATAAAAGAGAAAAATTTTACACAGAAAAAATGATCAAGAGAATAAATCAATATGACAAAAATCGTCAATTGACATTTAGTAGGAGTTATTGCCCTTAAATGACAATGTTTACCCATTTTTGCTCTTTTGGGATATTTACTTGAAAATTATTATAATAAAAAGAAAACATGAAAAAATTATCAGCTAGATTGCAATAAAGGTGAAAATAAATGTGAAAATGGCATATTTTTTCCAGGTGAGTGATTTAGACTCTTAGGAGCCTCTAGTTATATATAAAGCAAATGACACGTATAGAATGTTTTTATTTTGAACCAAATAATGATTTAGGACAAACATATAAAGATTGAAATTCAAATTTCCTTTTAAATACTGTAAATTCAGAAATTATTGCGAAGTTTTTATTAATGTGAACTTTTGAGACTGGACAAGTATCGCAATAATAAGAACTCACATTCTCATAACTTATGCATATATCTGTATGTAGCTTTTCCTGAAATCCCAATAACTAATATCGCATTTATGTCTATTCTTCAAAAATCACAATAATAAATGCACGCAATAATTTCTGAATTTACAGTAGCCTAATTTCTTAATTTTTCACAGATTTTCAATAACATTTTTTTGTGAATGCTTTTTCCCTAAGAACATCAAAAACCTACTAGCAATATGATATAAAACATGGAGAAACATAACTTTGCTGTTAGCTTATGTATTGAAAATTATAAGCTTATTTTTCATTCTAAAAAAGAGGTATGCATGACTGTTCGATGGCTGAATCTAATGAGAGGTCTGTCGTTAAAGTCACTACATTCGAGAAAGTATCGGTGAATTAGAGTACGGGAAGACAATAATTCAATAGCAGTACATTAATGAAGATTTTGATAAGATAAAGATTTTCTTTTACAAGAACGTTCTCGTACACTTGTTTCATAGTAAAACTTAGCCATTCAAGCATATAAAACATAGTCAACTTTTTTTTTAATTTAGATTTTCATATGACTTTAAATAGCTATTGTTGATTTGTATTTGCAGACACCTGGTACAAAATGTGAATGCCCTGTTGGTTACTATGGTAGAACATGTCAATCACCTTGTGACTGTGTTCATGGAAGTTGTGACAAGACATCAGGACAGTGTATTTGTGTTGATGGTTGGTTTTTAACTAAATGTGACACCCAATGTCCAACAGGTTGGTATTTCATTTTAAAAAATCATGTTGACATGATATGATTATAAATGCAGACGTTTTCCCTCACCGTTTCCCTGTTAGTTTTCAAAAAAAGCTACTTTGAGGTAGCAGGGGTGTTTTCTGCCATCTTGGATTGTAAAATGGCAGAAACAATCGGTTTAGATCTTCAATGAAATGTGCAAATTTTGAGAGAAGAATGTCATTCATTTGTAAGATTTTTCATCTTAATGAAGAAAATTATGTGTTTTATCATATTCATGCGACTGCTTTTAACAAATACAGAATATTTTTTATTTGATTCCTTTTTTTCAACTTTGCCAAATAAGGGGAGATAACTCAGATAATGTATATTTTATACTGGAATGTGTTATGAATTTATCTATTTTGTTTTGTAGCAAGAAAACGAGTCTTGTGACCTTATTTTTTCTTTTTATAATTTGATAGGCCATTATAAGAGCTATCTTCTCATAATTTATCTTTAAATTCTATGGTTTAGTTCTCTTTCTATCACACAAAATTGTGTTTTCCTTGAATAAACTATACAAAATCTGACAATTTAGCACAGCCTTTAGTTTGAAAAAAAGTCCTGTGACTCACACTTTTAATCATATATTTGAGAGAGTCATGATTTAAACTACATTTTGGCAAATGATTAAAAATTTTATGGATTTTAATTTAGACCCCCATCTATCTTAAGCATTTTCAATACTAGTGTCATTACATTTTATAATATGATACATAATGTGCAGTAAGTATTGCTACCAACCATTTGAGTCTTTGACTCATTTTATTTCTCAAATAAGACAATTTGTACTTATACCACTATTGCTGGCTTATAGAAACGAGAACAGTGCACACTGATCTTCAGTTTATTCATGTCCTTTACTTGACAGATACATATGGAGCTGCTTGTTCCGACAATTGTAACTGTGTCCTTGGAGATTGTGATCCTCTGAATGGAAAATGTATCTGTGCCTCTGGCAACAGTGGTGCTCAGTGTGAAAAACCTTGTCAGGTAAAATTGCATGTGACTTATTGCATATTATGCTCATAAATTTCACTTCAGTATACTATAGAGAGTTTTCTTTTGTTCTTTTTATTGTATGCCCATATAGATTAATTGATTGTTGCTTGCCTAATGTTCTGTCTGTCTAGATAAATGCTTAATTACAATGTTAGTTTTTAATTAAGGGGCAATTTGAATAATCTGTTATAATAGTGCTAATTATACCCCACACAACGAGTTGCAGAGGGTATAATGTTTTTGACCCGTCCCTCTGTCCGTCCGTCCGTCTGTCCGTCCATCAGTCCGTCAGTCCGTCAGTCCTGTTTCTTGTCATCGCAACTCCTCTCAAACCACACAACAGAATTTCATGAAACCTTTTTAGATAATAAGGACATACTATGTAGTTGTGCATATCGACAGGAAATTACGATTCAATTCTTTTTCTAGGAGTTACGCCCCTTTGAACTTATTTACTTTAATGTACTACTGCAACAGTTTGTCATCGCAACTCCTCTCAAACCACACAACAGAATTTCATGAAACCTTTTCAGATAATAAGGACATACTATGTAGATGTGCATATCGACAGGAAATTACGATTCCATTTTTTTTCCAGGAGTTACGCCCCTTTGAACTTATTTGCCCAATATAATACTGCAACCTTTTGTCATCGCAACTCCTCTCAAACCACACAACAGAATTTCATGAAACCTTTTCAGATAATAAGGACATACTATGTAGATGTGCATATCAACAGGAAATTATGATTGAATTTTTTTCCCAGGAGTTACGCCCCTTTGAACTTATTTGCCCAATTACTACTGCAACCTTTTGTCATCGCAACTTCTCTCAAACCACACAACAGAATTTCATGAAACCCTTTCAGATAATAAGGACATACTATGTAGATGTGCATATCGACAGGAAATTACAATTCAATTTTTTTTCCAGGAGTTACGCCCCTTTGAACTTATTTGCCCAATATAATACTGCACCTTTTGTCATCGCAACTCCTCTCAAACCACACAACAGAATTTCATGAAACCTTTTCAGATAATAAGGACATACTATGTAGATGTGCATATCAACAGGAAATTATGATTCAATTTTTTTCCCAGGAGTTACGCCCCTTTGAACTTATTTGCCAAATTACTACTGCAACCTTTTGTCATCGCAACTCCTCTCAAACCACACAACAGAATTTCATGAAACCCTTTCAGATAATAAGGACATACTATGTAGATGTGCATATCGACAGGAAATTACAATTCAATTTTTTTTCCAGGAGTTACGCCCCTTTGAACTTATTTGCCCAATATAATACTGCACCTTTTGTCATCGCAACTCCTCTCAAACCACACAACAGAATTTCATGAAACTGTGTAGATAATAAGGACATACCGGGTACTATGTAGATGTGCATATTGACAGGAAATTACAATTCAATTTTTTTTTCTGATACAATTTTTTTTTCTTACACTTATTTTATTTCTCCAATGACAATGTGGGGACGTGGGGTATGTGAGCGCACTCACTAAAGTTCTTTCATTTCACTTGTGGTGAAGTATTTTGCTGCAAATAGTATTTACCTTAAAAAAAACTTATGTATTACAACACATTTGCTCTTTTGCAATTATATATATCCATTTTATGGGAGTTATTTCCCTTAAATTATAGACATTATGTATCTTCAGCAGAAAATTCCTCAAAATTTCTTAGAATTCAGAAGCCTTAATTATATTCTTTATTAGGAAAATCCAACATTGTTGTATAATTGATTGATTGTTGCTTGGTTATTGTCTAGTGGCAAATTGTTCATGCATATTTAGAACAGACATCTTGGTATAAAGAATTCAAAAAAGCAGTTTAGTGTTACCTAGATGGGTCAATATCCCTAATGTGCCTCAAATAAAAAACAAAAATATTACATCAACAAAAAATCTCTGTTCAGTGATATTAGACGTGTTTTAATTTTTAACAAGCTTAACCATTTGTGCTAATTTGAAGAGCAGAAGACCATATAATAATGGTGTAAAAACTATGGAGTTATTAAATGTATGCAAAAAACTAAATTTTCAAAGAAGTTATTGTGTGAAAAAAGGATTTTTTCCAGAAGCCACATCTCAAAGGGTTTTTTGGGGTATACCATTACCGCCTACCTGAAATGAATTGCGCATATTGACCTAAATTCCAATCTTGGTTGTAATCGAACTTACTGAATATTACCTTCCCAAAGGTAAAAATGTGAAAATGATGTGCTTAAACTCTGCACATCTATAGATAAACTAGAGTACAAAAAAAAAATAATCAATTCCAACAGTAATATACATTCAAACATTACAAAATAATACAGATGCCCATTCTAGCAAGAGTACAGCCGATGATACACAATAATGATACATAGTTCAAAGACATAACAAAAAAATAATTATTTTTAATTATTAGTATTTAAATTTACGATTGCTGTCTAATTTACAAAAGCCCAACAACTTTTTTAATTTTAAGGGAGGAACATATGGACCTGGTTGTCTGATTACCTGTCCACCGTGTGGTAAATATGCCCAAAATCAGTGTGATCCTGCATCTGGAGCCTGTGTTTGTAAAACTGGATATACTGGTGCCCTTTGTGGCCAGCCTTGTCAACAGGGATACAGTGGAGTCAATTGTTCCTCAAAGTGCAAGTGAGTATAAACATATGTTACAAATGCTGATTTTTAAGGACTCTTGCTTTTATCCATTATTTGTTAAAAGAGTTGTTAAAAATTGGTAAAATTTTTAACTGTCCATTTTTTTTTTAAAGACCTTCAACTAATATGATGAATTAAAGAAAATTTCTAGAAAATGTTCATTACATTAGAATATTAAAATTTTCACTGAAAACACCATAAAAGTTGCAATGTTTTTAAAAGTAATATATCATCATCTTACTTGCAACAGAGCAGCGGCTCTTTTCACAAAAAATCTTAAGAGTAAAAATACTCGTAAGTCATACACATTTCAGTATAACTTACGATCAATTTTAATCGTAAGATTTTTTGTGAAAAGAGTCGCAGATTTTCATTACATTAAATATGATTAAATAGATATAGGAAGATGTGGTATGAGTGCCAATGAGACAACTCTCCATCCAAGTTACAATTAATAAAAGTAAATCATTATAGGTCAAGGTACGGCCTTCAACACGGAGCATTGGCTCACACAGAACAGCAAGCTATAAAGGGCCCCAAAAAATACTAGTGTAAAACCATTCAAAAGGAAAAACCAACCGTCTAATCTATATAAAAACGAGAAACGAGAAACATGTATGAACTACATAAACAGACGACAACTACTGTAATCAGATTCCTGACTTAGGACAGGTGCAAACATTTGCAGCGGGATTAAACGTGTAAACATTGAAGTTTTATGAACCATTAAAGTTGGAACCTTTATAAAAGCAGTATATTAAATAAGGAACAATACTTGCATGTATGATTTTATATTGTCAGTTGTCAGAATGGAGGATTGTGTAGGAGTACTGATGGTGTCTGCCTGTGTCCTGATGGTTTTACTGGTTCTCAGTGTGAACTTAAGGTAGGGAGGGATCCTGATGATGTTTTGTGTCCAATAAGTGGAAGCAAAGTTTTTTCTCATCATTATATGTAGAATTTAGCATTGTCAAAGATTACATCAGTTTAACAAACAGTCCAAAAAATTAAACAAGCCAGACAATTTTTGTTATCCTCTTTATAATCCCTATTGCATTTGTTGCTAAAGACATTCAATCCCATCAAGGTAACCACTGGGAGATCAGGGGAAAGTAATTTTGTCACTACACATGAAATTGATTAAATTTTACTTTTATTTGGTTTGTTAACTGGTAGTGGATTGTTTAAAGTGTGGAACAACTATGGACTTATGTTTGTGCCATATTCTTATAGGTCACCATAATTCAAGTGAGAAAACCAATAGCCTTATTTATGTACAATACAATAAACAAATCAAATATAAATGACAGCGATCAATGACAACCATTGAATTACAGGCTCCTGACTTTGGACAGGCACATGCAGAGTGTGGCTTGATTAAACATGTTTGCAAGGGATCAACACTCCTTTAACTTAGGACAATGGTGTAACAGCACAACATAAGAGCAAATTATAAATTAAAATCTCAGACAATTGTTAATAAAAAAGACAAGTCTAGAAAATATAACCATTTTAGAATTCCTGCAGTTGAGCCTTATTTCAAATACAATTCCACTATGCAGGTAGTAATCAAAGCATAGTGCTACTGCACCAAAAATTTTACTCTTTTGGTTTTTGTCGAGCCTTCGACTTTTGTCGAAAAAGCGAGACATAGCGATCCTACATTCCGTCGGCGTCGGCGGCGTCCACAAATATTCACTCTGTGGTTAAAGTTTTTGAAATTTTAATAACTTTCTTAAACTATCCTGGATTTCTACCAAACTTGGACAGAAGCTTGTTTATGATCATAAGATAGTATCCAGAAGTAAATTTAAAAAAAAAAAAAAAATCTTTTTTTTCTGTATTTTACTTATAAATGGACTTAGTTTTTCTGCCAGTTAACATAACATTCACTCTGTGGTTAAAGTTTTTAAAATTTTAACAACTTTCTTAAACTATCCTGGATTTCTACCAAACTTGGACAGAAGCTTGTTTATGATCATAAGATAGTATCCAGAAGTAAAATTTGTAAAAAAAATCCAGTTTATCCGTATTTAACTTATAAATGGACTTAGTTTTTCTGCCAGTTTACATTACATTCACTCTGAACTTTCTTAAACTATCTTGGATTTGTACCAAACTTGGACAGAAGCTTGTTTATGATTAAAAGCTAGTATCTAGAAGGAAAATTTGTTAAAATTTTGTTCCATTTTTTCCGTTTTTTACTTATAAATGGACTTTGTTTTTCTTCCAGTTAACATTACATACAGTCTGCAGTTTAAGTTTTTAAAACATTTATTAGATTCATAAACTATCCTGGATTTTTACCAAACTTGGACAGAAGCTACTTACAATCAAAAGATATTATAGAGAGGAATATTTTGATTAATTTTTTTCCTCATTTTTGTTGAGCCTGCGATTAACAGCAAAAGTAGGCGAGACACTGGGTTCCGCTGAACCCTTACAATTTTTTACATGGTAATTTTGGAGAAGTAGCCAATTACTCGTTGTCATCACCTCAAGAGTAGCTGGGTAAAGACATATTGCTACCTAGCCTTCCTAATTCCATCAGTTAGACTCTTTAGGAACAGTTTAGTGACATTAAATCAAACAAAGTGTTTCAAAATCTCATGCTTTTTATACGACCGCAAAAATTTTTTGGGATCGTATAATGGTATGATGTCGTCGTCTGCGTCGTCATCCAAAGACACATTGGTTTCCGGACAATAACTTTAGTTTAAGTAAATGGATCTCTATGAAATTTTTTAATAAGGTTCAATACTAAAAAAGAAAGGTTGGGATTGATTTTGGGGATGATGGTCTCAACCGTTTAGGAATAAGGGGCCCAAAAGGGGCCAAAAACAAGCATTTTTCTAGTTTCAGGATAATAACGTGTGTATAAGTATTTCGATTGCTCTGAAATTGTACGACAATGTTTAATACCACAAGTGGAAAGTTGGGATTTATTTAAGGGGTTATGGGGCCAACAGTTTAGGAATTAAGGGCCAAAAAGGGGCCAAAACAAGCATTTTTCTAGTTTCCAGACAATAACTTGTGTGTAAGTGTATGGATCTCTCTGACATTGTACCACAAGGTTCCATATCACAAAGGGAAGGCTAGGATTGAGTTTGGGGTTAATTGCCTAAATATGTAGGAATAAGGGGCCAAAAAAGGGCCAAAAACAAGCATTTTTCTAGTTTCCAGACAATAACTTGTGTTTAAGTGTATGGATCTCTCTGAAATTGTACTACAAGGTTCCATACTACAAAGGAAAGGCTGGGATCAAGTTTTTGGGTTATTGCTCCAAGTGGGGGTTTCAAAAAGTATGGGGGGGGGGGGGGTTTCCAATCTTTTAAGGGGATTCATATTTTTTTTCAAAATTTTTCAAATTTTGTGAATTTTTGAAAAGTTTCAAGAAGAAATCTTCAATTGCACAGTATTGCGCAATAGATTTGTAAGATCTTTGACCACATTTATTTTGTGTCAGAAATCTTTATTATGTCAAAAATTTGATCACAATCCAAATTCAGACAGTATCAAGCTTGAATATTGTGTCCAAACTTGTACCAACTGTTCAGGGTTCGACCAGGCTGCGCTCAGCGAAGCATTTTATTGCATATTTTATTTCATTTAGCAAGAAGATTTGTCTACCCTTTTATCACTCACATTTCAGAGCCTACAAATTATATAGTTTTATTGTTAACCTGTTCTGGTCCTGAATATGCCTAAATATATGTTGCTGGACATTAAGCAATCAACAATTATCCAATTGTACTATTCTATTATATCTTTCAGTGTTCTTTGGGTACCTGGGGAGCAAATTGTACTAATAATTGTTCATGTGGTTATCATGGCAATGGATGTGATATTGCTACTGGTGCCTGTCACTGTACACCAGGATTTTCTGGGGGTAAGTATTTATGGTAACAGTGATTTCTGGGGGTAAGTATTTGTGGTCACACTGATTTCCCGTGGTAAGTATTTGTGGTCACACTGATTGCTGGAGGTAAGTATTTGTGGTAACACTGATTTCTGGGTGACTGAAGATTTGTGGTAACACTGATTGCTGGGGGTAAGTATTTGTGGTAACACTGATTGCTGGGGGTAAGTATTTGTGGTAACACTGATTGCTGGGGGGAAGTATTTGTGGTAACACTGATTGCTAGAGGCTAGTATTTATGGTAACACTGATTGCTGGGGGTAAGTATTTGGGGGTAACACTATTTGTTGGGGGTAAGTATTTGTGGTATCACTGATTGCTGGGGGTAAGTATTTTGGGGTAACATTGTTTGTTTGGGTTAGTATTTGTGGTAACACTGATTGCTGGGGGGATGTTTTTGTGGAAACACTGATACTAGTGAGATTTTTTTGTGTCGTTTTTGTCTTGTCTGTGTCAAAAGTCATGAAGGCAAGACATGGATAACCTAGATTCAGTAGTCGGCATCATCAACATTTAGGTTCCGTCTATAGTTAAAGGTTTCTTTTTAACATCAATAATTTTCTCAAACATTCTTAGAATTTCATTAAACTGGACATGCAGTACTTCTGCATGATCAAGAGAAAACATGAAAACATATTTGGCGCAAAATTTGAAAAATACTTTTTTTTTTCATTTTACCATATTGTATTAAGAAATGGGTATATTTTTTGGCAGTTAACATTTCATTTTTACAATCACAGTCACAGTCACGGGCAAGAGACTGGGTTATTTAAAATCCTTTACTTTTTATTAATCAAGGTTAATCAACACCTTAGATAAAAAAGTTAACTTTCATAGGCAGAATTGTGCATTTTTTTAAGTTCAGCATTAATAACCTCAAGTGCTAGTCATGTGTTGAATCAAGATTAACATGACGTGTGCCACATGCTTCCCCTTCTGGAGCACCTGAGATCCCCCTCTCTTTTAATTAGGCTCATTGGAGTAGCTTCTTTGTTTTTGATATATCATGATGGTTATTTAGCCTATTTTAAATATAGTAAAATTGATGCAAAAGACAATTTATTTAATTGATGTGCTTTTAAATTATTAAAATTCATTAGCTTTGTATATTAAAAATTCTTTTTATTTAAGCACAATGTGAGAAGAGTTGTCCAATATTGACCTATGGACAAGATTGTGAACAATCCTGTAACTGTTATAAAGATGGAACCAGTTCATGTAGTCCAACTGATGGAACCTGTCAGTGTAAAAGTGGCTATCACGGGAATGCATGCTTTGAAGGTAAGATTCACTTTATTTGGATATATATGAAAATGTAATAGTCTCAGATATGATCTTACATAATATTATATTTACATGTTTTAGTCATTAGTAAATTACTATTTATTCTTTACAGCTTGGTATATTTTTGACTTAAACGTGTTCTTATCTAATTAATTTGTTAAATGTGTTCTTATCTAATTAATTTGTTAAATGTGTTCTTATCTAATTAATTTGTTAAATGTGTTCTTATCTAATTAATGTGTTCTTATCTAATTAATTTGTTGAATGTGTTCTTATTCAATGTTTTGTTTATGAACAAAAGTTTTAAATTAAATGGGCCTTTGAAAAATCTGATAAAATGTATTTGCTGTAATGCATATAAAACCTTCTTCTGTAATGAATAAGGTAAATATGCCAGTACTAATATTATTTTGAATACATTATTTCTAATTATTTGGTTAAAATATAGCTAATGTTAACTCTCTGGAAATCCGGTAATAAGTAAAGCCCAAACCCAGCTTCTTTCTTTGCATATATGTTCAACACTCTATAACAACTCTTAATTATTAATATTCTATACTAATTATTACTTTTTTAATTATAGCTTAAGTCATATTGTGATTATCGTGTTAATATTAATTTCCAAACCCTTCAGTCTGAGTGCTCATTAAAGAAAGAAAAAAAAGAAAAACAGTAAATATGCCAGTACTAGAACTATGAAGAGATGATTAAAGCTGTAAATTTACTTCTTGACAACTTCTATGTATGTTTCATTAATAAATCGTGAGCTGTATTTGAGGAGGAAGCCAATGATCTTTGATTGACCTATGTTGAACTGCCATAATACACCTTATCGCTATTTGTCCGCCATTACTGGACATCACAAAAGTTCCCGTAAAATTTAGACGTCATAATAGAAAATATCTGATGCCACAATGGAAAAGTGATTGTTGTATGACGTCAAAAGTTCAAGCTGGACAGATTCTAGGGTCAAGTGGGAATAGCGATAAGCTGTATCTGTACCATACCATTAGTTTGAATTATAATATAAGTGCAAATTTTTCAATTATTTCAGGTAATGAAAACTGATCCTTATGAAATAAAACATATTTTAATCTAAAAAACTTAGATGGAAGGAAACTTTTAACAGCAAAAATGATCAGCTCGACAAGATCTGCAAATAAGTAGGACATTGCCAAAATCATTTGTGATAAGAAAAATAACCAAAGCTGTTACATCTCTTTTTCAGTTTGCTCATATGGTACATGGGGAAGAAACTGTTCACAGAGATGCCAGTGTGGTTCCCATGGCAACTGTAATCCATATACTGGTGACTGTTTCTGTTCACCTGGTTATATAGGAAACAACTGTCAACAAAGTAAGATAGTTATGTTAGAGGTTACTTTAGTATTGTAGTTAAACAGTTTTTAATGATCAGTTTAAATTTGAATCTATATATGAATTAACAGTAATATAAATTTAAAATCATTGATATTGATATATTGTTTCAAAATTACAGTGAACTGTAAATTCAGAAGTTTTAGCAATATTTTTATTATGCCAAAAATTGCTATGGGATAGATTTCACAAAAAAAAAAATCACATTTTCAAATTTTGAGGGCATTAATTATATTGTAAGCAAAATTTCCTGAAATCCCAATAATAAATCACACAGTACAAACAAACCAAAGAAATATTTAGATAAAGCATTCTGATTGTAGTATTAAACATTTTAATAGAAGCTAAAGCCACAAATTCTTCTGAAAGAAGAAGTACATGGTATTTATAGCAGTTACTTCATTTTGAATTCTCTTGCTAAATAGAGATCAGTTGTAGATGAGGTTTCTTGTCCATTTCTGTGTAGTTATCTAGAGAAGAACAAGTATTAGAGATATAACATTTTATAAGTATTTACATCTTTGAAAGAAATCAAGATCCATGTTGATAGGGATATTTAGACCGAAATTGACTTTGGTTAAGTTTTTTGTTACTATAAGTCCAAATTGGTTAACTACAATGAAAGGTGTTGGATTAGAGTACAATCCTATTTTGAAAAGCAACTTGTGTTAAGGTCCAGTAACCAACTGTATTATATATAAGTTGACCATGAACTATGATATTAACACACAAAAATAAAGACAGCTTGAGTCTGCTTGACCAGTATTTGATGTGTGTCAGTTACTGGACTTTTACTTAGTGTTAAAATCACAATTAAATATTAAGCAAGTGAAAGTCAGAGGAAATAAACATGTTGGTTGGTTGAGGTTATTTTAGAATTAGTCTTACAAAAATGGATGGGCTACACAATGTACTAGCATTTGTTAAAGATGAATACATTAAAATCATTAAAACAGTTTCATATTTTTTATAGTGTGTTTGACAGATCAGTATTATGGACTGAATTGTTCTAAGCAATGTAATTGCAATGGAGGTCACTGTGACCCAACTTCTGGTCGATGTGAATGTAAACCTGGAACTAAAGGACACCATTGTGAACAGAGTAAATACAATATTGAACTCTTTATGTTTGAGAAAGAAGCAAAGATAATTTTTATTCAATTCATTTTTTTCAACTTAAATATATTTCCTTTCCACATTCCAAGCAAGTTAAGGAAAATTTCCTATTATGTCGTTAGTAAGTTTTTGAATAAGGGAAATATAATCAAATATTATACAAGTCAAGAATGATGTTTCTATTGTATGATAATTTTCTTTTGATAATTGTTGTTTGAAAAATTATAAAATATAATTATGAATATGATAAACTAAGACCCATTTTTAGAGCTGAAAAAAGCTTAGTTATTTTAAGGGTCTCCTTTCATGTGTAATCTGTAGTTATATAATAAATGCCTACAGAAAAGATTCATATATATGATATAGGGATAAGATATTTATTTCTTAAGATTATTCACTATTTTTATATTAATTAAACAGAATGTGGACCAACTCATTTTGGAATTCAGTGTGCCCAGGTGTGTGGATGTAAAAATGGGGCTGTTTGTGATGCTGAGACAGGAAATTGTCGTTGTCAGCCAGGATGGTTTGGTACACTATGTGATCAGAGTGAGTGTATGGGGACAGAGGATTGTTTTGGGATATTTAGTGTAACTCTTATGACCTGCCACTCATTTAACAAAAAATCTTACGATGAGAAATACCTATAAGACATCATCAGCATTTAAGTAAAACTTAAAATCAATTTTTGTTGTAAGATTATTTGTGAAAAGAGCCCTAAGTTAGTTGAGAATATCGTCTATAACTGTGTGCTGGCTGGTAATTTCTTTTGTACAGTAAGTCTCTTCTTTAATGTTATGTTATCAAAATGAATGGACTAACCAGATGAACCATACTATTGAACTTGAGGGTATAGGTATGTCATAGAAAGTCAGCTATCCAAATAGGTTGACTTAGTTAAAAATCATTTGACATCCCGTTTTGTTGTACTCGAAATGTGGTTTGGGAATTATAGATTGTTTTAAACCATTCTTATTATCCAATGATAATGTGTGGTTTCTTGGTAAGTTTTGCATATTAAGATTGTATATCATTACTCTCAAATCCAGTTTTCTCAATAAAATTCTGAAACATTGCAACACTAAATAGTTATACACATAATTTTTGCACCATTTGTTTTTGTGCTACATATTTATACTATTCTTGCACTGGATGTAATGTCTTTTTTTGTTCACCTGTGTAAGTCCTATCATGACTAGGGTAAGCAATTGGGGAAGGGTATGCTCCCATCATGTGTACAATTCTAAATTTTCCTATACCTATCAATATCTACGACAGTGTTTCTCAATAGGAATTGTGAACTGAAAAACATCATGATTAAATTTTCCTGATGAAACTTATTGCTCCAAGTATATATGAACCTTAGAGCGCATTGATTTGATTTATTTTCATTTTGCTCTTGGAAAAGAAACATACCTGAATTAACTTTTTGTGTAACAAAATCTGTATTGATTGAAGGTTGTCCAGCAGGCCAGTATGGAGTGGATTGTTCTCAGTCATGTCCTGACTGTCAGAATGGTGGATTATGTGATGGTACATCTGGGATGTGTGTATGTTTACCTGGGTTTATTGGAAGCTTATGTAATCAGAGTAAGATGGTTTTTAAGTTTTCAAGCTCTATATATATATATGCATTGTTGTAGTCTATCTTTAGGAGAACTATAAATTATAACAAAAAGTTAATCTGAAAAATGGAAAAACACAGATTTAAAGTGTGATAGAAGTCGCAGACAGCAAGACATAGGGATAGTGATCCTGTGGCAGCAACAGTGGCGTTAACTAATTACAATATGTACTTAAAAGCTTAATATTTCAGAAGGTAGAAGACCTGGATGCTTCATACTTGTATATAGATGCCTTATATTATGAAGTTTCCTTCTGTCATATGTCCATTGTCCTTGGCTTCATTTTCATGGTTCAGTGACTACTTGAAAAAAGTAAAGATTTTTTGTAATGTTAGTTTCTCTTTTATTATGAGTAATAGGATAACTTTATTTGGTATTGCATACCTTGCAAGGTCCACATGCCTGTCAGACAGTTTTCTCTTGACCTCAACCTCATTTCATGGATCAGTGAACAAGGTTAAGTTTTGTGGTCAAGTCCATATATCAGATACTATAAGCACTAGGTCTACTAAATTTGGTGTATGTAATGATGGTAAGGTGTACACGTCTGTCTGTCATGGTTTGTCAGACAGTGACCTAATTTTCATAAAACATTGATAATGTTAAGTTTATATGATACTTGTAGTAAAACTTTCAACATGAAATCAATGATAAGTAAAATAGGCGAGACATTTCAGCATGTGCACTGTTAAAATTTTCAGAAATGTGTATACCAAAAAGGATTTTTGCTTCAAGGATTGATACAAATTTTATAAGTTTTTAGCTCACCTGGCCAAATATGACCCAAACCATTGGATGATTCCTTTTAAAGAATTGCTCTTTTTCATCTAATATAAGGCATGAGTCATCTGCATACTGGCTTTAGAGTAGTTTATTTAAATGCCATTTTTCTCTAAGTTGTTTTAAGAGTGCAACTCATAAGTTCAAAAGATAAGGAGATCATGGATCTCCTTCCATAACACCAAAGCCAATACTGAAAAATAGAGAACAGTGTCGGTTGTCTATGATACCACTATTATGTTCTTGACATTCAATGAGAAGCATATTTTATCATGAAACTATTGACCCAAGTTAAAACTTATTTCAAGGTCAAATGCCTAGGTCATAGCATGACTAAGGAGATTATTTGCACTATCTAGAGAGAGGTCAGTCAAGTACATGATACTGAGGATATATTAATTGTTTTAAACAATTCCTATTTTTTTTTTGTAATCCTTGATATTTATAATTGAAGGGTCAGATGATAAGTATTAATATATTTTTCTATATTCTTTAGTTGTTTGAATTTCAGCATGTAGTCAAGGATATTGGGGATTGAAGTGCCAGATGAAATGTCCAGATACATGTCAGCTGGGATGTCAGCCTCAGACAGGGATATGTAATTGTTCGCCTGGTTCCTGTCTAAATCAGGGATTTTGTGCAAGTAATGTAAGTACATATGTTTTTATTGTTGACAGAATCTTAGAAATATATATTTTCAAAGGCACATATACTTTTTTGAACGTTACAATAGTGTTATTTAAAGTCTTATACAATTGTTTTGGTCTTATTATTTACAGTTATTGTCTTCAAAAATTTCTTTGTTTACAGGAATTTATTCTTTTTGAAAGGAAAGCATAATTGTTAATACAAAATTTCCATTTTTAAGAGTAAGGAAATACTTGTTGTATTTCATTTCTCTGTATTTGAGATATTACTGTGGATTCATTATTATTCCTTGGATACCAATTTTCATGGATTTCGTGGGTACAGTGGAACCACGAATTTAAATGTTCAACGAATTACAAGTTTTCTAAAGGAATGTATGCAGACTTTGCCAAAACAACGAAATTAAATATCCATGAAAATGCTAGTTTTCCTCAGTCCATGAAAATTGGTACCCTAGAAAATAAATGAATCCACAGTATTAAGTTTTTTCTTCTTTCAAACCTACAATCTGCATAAAACTTTCTAATGCAGACTCAACATATCTTGAGGATATTTTCAGGGTTTATGTATATGTAAAGATACATTTTATGGAGACAGATGTCAGAATACAACAGGACGATACTTAATGCAGCAGAATCTCTCAGGTAACAAAAATCCAGGTTTTAATTATGTTTTTACTTGTTTCACTTTTTTAACCATTACTTCTAATTAAAAAATTTGAGTAAGAAGCTTATAGTACATCACATAACTGATTAGCTAGACATGATTAATGCTCTCAGTTTACCTTTAGAGTTATCATTTATTTAAGTTTTTATAACCAGAGGAGGGTTTGTTATTGAACACCCACTGAAAAAAGAAAATAATTTAAATTTCACAATTTAAAGGGCTAAACCTGTTAAGGTTTTATTTTTCAATTTTTTTTTTGCCCCCTGATTTTAATTTTCATTAAGCAAAGGAGCGTTTTTGCGATTTCATCCTTATTGTGAAATTTTACCACAGTAAATGTTATTTTAGATATATGTCTGGCTGTAGCAGTGTTGGGTAGCAGTTTGTAGGCAAATTTGAGGGCAAATGGAGAATGTTTCTTATAGATTATAAATAGTACAGCTATTTACATTGATCAAAGCAATCCAGTTTAATTGACTATTAAATAACTACATGTATTAATTCATAACTGCAAATATGGAGAGAATTAGAAATGAGGAATTTGTGTGTTTAAGAACATTTTTTTCACCTCGGTATTAAAACGTACAGTTTTTGTCTACTGGATTTGGACATAAAGTATACCTTTTATACAATTGTAAAATTTGTAATTGTTTATGGATTGTATGGCTTACATTGTACATGTATATGTTTGCTTTAGCATCTGTTAACAAATTTACTTTAAATTTCTTTCTTGTTATAGTAGTAATTTCTTGTAACATCCTGTTTCAGGTTCAAGTTATTCTCTATCTAAAGGCCAGTTAGTAGGATTAGTGATTGGTATTATAGTGCTGATTGTTATAATTGTTGTTGGGGTGATATTCATCATGAAAAAGAAATATACAGGAGTATTACTGCCTGCTGGATTGTCTAGAAAGTATGAACAAGATTCACAAAAGGTAAATTGTATGGTTTTTTTCTCACCTGTGGCAAATGTTGGGGAATGTGAGACATAGCCTTTTACAGATGCCTTATCCACTGTCTGTGCATATTGTAAAACAGGCATATGTTACTTGTCAGGTTCATATATAGCCTGTTGTAAGGCAAATTTCCAACTTGAACCAAGACAACATAGTTTTCCATTTTCAAAGTTTCTTCCTGATCCCTTTTAACCCAGTCTTTAGACATTATCAATTACTCCTCTACAATCATTGATTATTTTATAATTTGGGTATACATTTTATATCTATAGTCTGTTATTGCCTATTGAATGTTTATAATGTGTTAATCCAACTAATTGTATTTGCTTAGTTAGATGACATTGACTTATTAATTTTGGTATGAAGTTGTATACCATAAGACTGTGTGTTGCATGTCCTTGGTGGTCATGCCCCATTCTTAATATCTTAAATTGTTAATCATATCAAAAATGCTTCAGATTCCTACTCCTAAACCATAGCTGAACATGTACCATTTCTTGAACTGTTATGATTATGAATATCATGATTTTTTCCTTATTTGTTTTTGTTAAATGTACATCAGCTATTCCAACACCGATTTCTAGAAAATGTGAACATAAAACATGACTAAGAAGATAATCAAATCAAATATTTTATTGTCGTATAAACTTTACAGTTTGTGACCAACATGTATTAACACAATAAACATATATACATACATATCAAACATACACAATAAAAACAGCATCAAAATTTATAAAAACAAACAAGCTGTTAAGAGTCCCCTGCCCTCAGTTCTAATGACTTTTTCAAGAAGGATCCTAACATTTGTTTGTAAAGGCGTTGATGGATTTAGTAAATAATGCATTTCTTCTTCTTCATTTAAATTATTAAAGTTATTATTTTCAGTACATATGTGTTCAAAAAAGGCATTTCTTAGTGTTTTATTGTAATCACAATAGAGTAAAAAATGTTTCTCATCCTCTAGTATTTTACATTTATGACAATAATGAAATCAGCTTCAGTTACTCAAACTGATTGTTGTTACTATATATATATGATAGGTGTCAAGCAATATCTTGAGACTGAATGTGTAAATAACTGAAGAGATATAAATAAATGACAGGTGTGTAAATTCAGAACAATAAATCTATGGAAGGCATGCAACTGCAGCCTATCACCATTATTGTAAGGATTTCAGACTCGCTAAAGATATTTGAAAAAAAAAAGATGCACTTTCTCTACTAATATCTGATAGTTTGTCACTTGCCAGAAGTTTGGATTAAGTTTGACTTTTCAGTATCAAAGAGAAAGGGACTTAACTTTGAAAATATAGGAATGAATAAAAAAAATGCTATACATGCAATGTGAAAACCAGATATTCAAGTCATAATGGAAGTGAAACCTTTAATTCAAACAACATTTATTTGATCCGTTTCTTACATTTTGTTGTCTACTTTCAGCTTGAAGAAGTTCAAGATGATGGTTCTCGAGGATTTAGTAACCCATTAGCAGATGGTGATAATGACAATACAGTTATATCACATGACAGCCATGTGATAGATGACAATTCTGATGCATGATCATGTGATGTTATTTTTAAGACATTGTTATCAAAGAGACTGGATTTTTTAAATAGTATTACTGTATGCACGATTCTTTCTATAATTGTGTTCAGATAGTATATTTGAAATTTTTGTCTCACTTGCGATGAAAACATTTAGATACAGTCTCGGGTGAAAGTTTTTTATAATTTAATAAAATTGACAAACCTTCATAGAATTTGATGAAACTTCAACACAAAAGCTTCTTCAGGATTGAAAGATAGCATTTGAAGCAAAATTCTGAAAATATATTTTTTTCATTTTTCCACATTTTACTGTTTGGTGGACTTCGTTTTACCATAGTCTAGGATAAAAGTTTCAGTTAAAGATTTTAAAACTCAATAATTTTGTCAAACCTTCATGGAATATTACAAAACTTGTAGAGAAGGTTCCTAAGACATAATCATGAGGTACTTCCCTGAGCAAAATTTGAATTTTTTACTTTTACATTTTTCGGTATTTTACTGATAAATGGACTTAATTTTTCAGCAGTTAACATTTGACTTTTACATTGACAGCAGCAGTGGATTGCATGTAAGATATCGGGTTCCAAAGAGCTCTTTATGAATTATTGTACTTGTTAAACTGTACATTTATAAGAAAATAATCTCATTGTATCAATTTTTACTTATGTCTGCTTCTAAGCTTTCATTATCGCTTTTAATCTTGTGTCATCAGATATTGTTTTTAACTGATACCAACTAGATTGGTCACTGCGGCATGAGAATTACATACCAGAATCACAATTTAGTCAATTATAAATTGCTGTTGTGTATTGTATAATTGTTTCTGAATCCCTAAGTAGAAAAGGATGATGCAAAAGTTTACAGTAATCTCTGTTGTACAGGGATCCAAGCATTATCATGTATCAACACATTGCAGAAACATGGTCTAGATCAAAATGTGTTGAGTGATTGAGTTTTTGACTCTGGCGAATTTTTAATGTGAACCAAATACTCCCTTGAATGACGATTTTTACCCAATTTTTGAAAGGAAACTAATGAGAATAAAATTTTATCGTGAATTTCTCACTAATTATGAATGATAGGAAAGCTATATTTGGTATATATGATGCAAGGTCTACATGTTGGTTAGAATGGGTTCACCTGTCCTCAACCTCATTTCATAGATCAGTGGTTAAGTTTGTGTGATCCAGTCCATATCCCTTATACTATAAGCATTACATCAACTATATTTAGTGTATGGAATGATTGTAGGATGTAAATGTCTGTCAGGCAGGATTTATCTGACCTCGACCTCATTTTTATTGTTCATTGGTCAATGTTATGTTTTCATGGTTAAGTCCTTTTCTCAGCTACTATAAGCTACAGTTTTACTATATTTGGTGTATGGAATGATTGAAAGGTGTACATGTCCGTCTTGCAGTGTATCTTTGATAGGTCTGTTTCACGGGTACGGTACTATACGCATTAGGTCAACTATAATTGGTGTATGGAATGATTTTATGGTGTACACGACTGTCTGAAAATGTTCATCTGACCTTTACCTCATTTACATGACTCAGCGATAATGATAATTTTATGTTTTACTTTTTGTTTTACCTTTTTCTCATAGACATTCAACATAAGTTCAATCTTGTTAAAAAGACGAGACTTTTCAGCTTGTGCACTCTTGTTAAAATACTTATTTGTTTTTATAATTAAAATTTGTCACAAAAACTAAACCTAAATAAAAAATTCTGTCAACAAGGACTGTACTAGGATCAACTTGTGTATTTTAATGCCTGCTTAATGCTCTGGTGTGTAGCAGATGGGTGATGATGGCTTACCGTTACCATGTGTGTAAACAGCTTATTGAACCAAGTCATGATTATTCACCGTTGACATAACATCTAACAATTCGTCTGCTGAAATAGGTTTTTTTTTGAGAGAGAACTTAAGATCACTAGTTTCATTATTAGGGTGTTGAACTGTTCTGATATATGTCAATGCATAATTTCTTACTATTGAGTCCCTCTGTGATACTATTCATTACTGAAGGGTCTGTACAAACATACTCATGTCTGACTTGTTTATCATTTGACTGTTTGCTGTGTTGGTTGTTGGACATGAGCCTGTATATTCAATAATGGCTACATGTTGGCAACTCTGATACATTGTTGGTAGTTTGTTAAATGACCAAACTCCTTTCTTTGAAAGTAGAATTTTTTTTAAAAGAGATGTAGTAACTGTTGGGTTTTAGAACAAAATAATGTTTAGGCTGAGGATTGTAAGGAAAACACTTTTTGCCTTTATCTTGTTTCTCATAGCAGTAGAGTCCCTCTTGAAGAAATGCAAGTTTGTTTTCTTATTATGCATTTTATGTATTGCTCTTTGTTGTTTATCATTTGTCATGTTGTAAATTTATTTTTCATTGCTATAGCATATTAGTTTTATTGCTTTCTGAATAAAGTATACATTCATTCAATGCGGGGTGTGTTACAAGATTGCACAACAACTGTTAACTGTACAGCTAGGGAGTATCCCAAGCTTCATAGTTGTCAGGAAACTAAGAATGCTATCCATTAGATTTGTCTTTCAGGCCTTTTAGAATATGGGCCAATGGGGTATTATTGACATTGACAATTTTTTTTGTATTCATAAGACTGTTAGGTGACTATTGAACATAAGTATTTGTGGACTGTGACAATAATGCAGAAACAGAATGGATTGGTGTTGAAGTTTGATTCTTTTAAACTGGTTTTGACAAAGGTAGTGATTATATCAAAACTGGAGACCTGTGACCATATGTGTTTCAGTGAGTTTGGAAATAATAACAGTATTTACAGCTAAAAGCACCCAAAAAAATAACTTGTGTAACAATGGCCATTTTCTAGCAAAAACTGTAAATTCAGAAATTATTGCATGCATTTATTATTGTGATTTTTTAAAAAAGACAAAAATGTGAGATTAATAATTGCAATTTCAGGGAAATCTGCATACATTAAATGTATCATATATCAGAATGCAAGTTCATATTATTGCAATTCTCACCCAGTTGCAATATTCACATGAATATAAACCTTGCAATAATTTCTGAATTTACAGTAGTCTGACACTAGGAGTCTGAACCCCCCCTTTTGCTTTTGTGCAATACTCTTTGCTGTTGCGAATTGAGCCATAACCCCCCAAAGCAAATCCTAACCATTCCTTTGTGGTATGGAAACTTGTGGTATAATTTCAGAGAGATCCATACACAGTTCCACAAGTTATTGTCTGGAAACTAGAAAAATGATTTTTTTTGGCCCCTTTTTACTTAACTGTTGGTACCATAACCCCCAAAATCAATCCCAACTGTCCTTTTGTGGTATTGAACCTTATTGTAAAATTTCATAAGAGATCCATTTACTTAAACTAAAGTTATTGTGCGAAAACCAATGTGTCTTCGGACGACGACGCCAACGTCATACCAATATACGACCGCAAAACTTTTTTGCGGTCCTATAAAAATAAGGTCAACACTATAGCAAATACGGATTTATATGTATTTTTTATCAAACAATAACAACAAATTTACAAATGTGGAATGCAGAATGTATAACAATGTATCCAAAATCCATAAAAGTTATACATACAATTGTTATGGTTATATAAAAGAGACCAGCTCTGATTAAGTGTAAACAATTTGTAGCTGATGTAAGAAAGTAAGAATTCATTTAAATTCATAATTAGAATTATTAATTTCCTACTTGCAATCAAAAATCCCTCATTAATAATTTACTATCCATCACAACCATTTAATCAAATTTTTAATTTGAATTTGAATTGTTTATCCTTAATTTTTTAATCTATAAAGAATAATAGTATACATGTTGAAACATATGAACTTCTGTAAAAATTACCATAAACCATACCACAAATGACCTTCTATGGGGTACAGTTTTCCATAATTTATATTAATGTTGAATGTTCACAAATGTCACTATGCAAGATTGTTGAAGAACTATCTCAATCAAATCGTTCTTGATATATTTTAAAATCTATTTTCTATAGAATATGAAATACTGCATTATAAGAACATATTGATGAACTTCAGGATATAATATATTTCATGTCTACTTCTTGTAACTTATAGATGGAATTATTCAAAAAATAAACATTTTCACTTAACATTTATACTGGTCAAAAGAGATTTTCGTGCTATTAATATTAATACATGGATCACACATCTTTATTAAAGAGAGCTAATTACGAGTAAATAATAACAATTGCAACAGATATATGGCAAATAAATAAACCCAATTCCATTTAAAGTAATAAATAACAGGTTTCTATATAATAACAAATAAATAAGCATATATAGATGAGCAGTTTTAGAGAAAGGCATGTTGGACTAAAAGCTGTAAAAGCTGACAAACATTTCGAGTAATGTCATTCTAAAAGAAATTCCTGAAAATGACATCACAACAAACTGACAAAATGTTAGGAATGTATATATAATTAAAAAACATAACATTTAAAGATGATTTCCTACATTTTTAGTCAGCATAACCCTATGAAATAATGTTTTTTGGCTCTTAAATTTTAGCAAATTCTACTATACTATGAGCAATCATTAGAATATACATGATATTTTCAGGATAGCAAATCATTAGATTGGCCGTATGGTGACCTTTAGTTGCTTTTGTCCACTTCATTTGAACTCTGGTGGATAGTTGTCTCATTGGCAATCATACCACATCTCCTTATTTTTATACTAGGACAAGTATATGTGTTAATGAAAGTAATTTACCACTTGCCACTTTTATACTTCTTTTAATGATCAGTTTATAAAAAAATAAAACCCTGTAATGTAAAATGACATTTATACGAATATGATACCACTCCATTTTTTTACCACATTTTATATCTCAATAACAATATGGAAAGATTTAAATAATGATGGTGAAATGATTCATTTTATTATAACAGTAACGTGAGCAAAAAATAGATTATATATTACAAATATTAATTTTTTTGTAACCTGTACAAAATATAATTAAAATATATAAAAATATAACAATTAAATTGATATCAGATTTAAAGGGAAATGCATATTGTATGTAATAATATGCATTGACAAAAATTGACAAAATTTGACATTAACTTGGAATGTTTTTGTTGTTTCATGGAATAGTAACATCAACTGGGAATGTTTTTGTTATTTCATGGAATGGTACTGAAAATCATTTTCTCATAAAGAGTAGACTTAAAAATGTTCATAATAAAACATGTTGAAAAAGAAACAAATAGAAAAGTGATAATTACAAACACATTTGTAAACATTTAGAACATTCACACAATATCACAGAAATTCACATTATAATAAAAGTTATCTCCCCTTTCTTCACTGGCTTATTCCTTGTTAGCTATAGCTTTCCTAAATATGAAAAAAATAATAATACCAAAACCAGAACTGGAATTATTCTTCTTTGCTGATCAAAATTTTAAATAAATCATGTCAAATACGGACTAAAAATTCAAATTACATTTTATGCATCCAGTTGCATTATCACACACTTGTGTCAGAAAAAATATAGTTACACATACCTATTTAAATCCCTGTTTGAATTGTCTCAAGCTTTTAAGACTAGAATTAACAATAATAATATTTGTTCAATAAGAGACATTGTTCAGTAAAATTTTGACTGTAGATCTCTATATGAACTTCATATAAACACCCTTTTACCTAGATTGTGACGGTCCCTTTTGTGTTAAAGTTATAGAAGTTCAACATATTATTCTGGTTGATACATTGCATTATAATTGAGATCTTTTCTAGATTTAATATGCTATTATATAAAATCAATTTTTAATCATTATTCTTTTGCCTCTGGAATTTCAATTTCATCTACAAAAAGTTTATGTTGCACACCATCTTTACGTTTTCCTGTTGTATAGCCCTTAATGACAGCTGAGTGAGCACCAATTTCAAAATGAGTCTCTGCTCCCTCATCTGTAAACTCTCCCTGAAAACAAAAATAAGACATTCTGATAATTTTTACCTTTTAATAAATGTTTCTCATCTTCATTTAGCATCTTCTATTAAATATAGCAAAAAATTAAAAAGTTTCCAATTATCAGACTGACCTCCTTATCATCTCAGTATGGAGTAAAAAAAAAAATTATTGCTGCTCTTGGAAATTAATAAGTGCTACTTCATTTCTGACCATCAAAAGCCCAATCACTTTTAGTCTGTAACAACTTCATGCATAATATTCAAAAGTTCCAGCTAAAATTCCTCAACAAAACATTCTATATATTTAGCCATTTTTTAAAAATGTTACTTGAATTCAAGAATAACAAGATAGCACACATTGTTGTGTTAAGCATACCCCCTCTCGTAATTTAAAGTATCAGGAAATAAGAAGTGAGTTTCTGACAGACATGAAAAGCGTGCTGCTGACTAAAAATAAAGTCGCAGTGTTTAATAGTACTCTAGAAAGGTGTTTATTCAACATATTGAAATATTGACAAATTACAAGTATGGACAGACAGGAAGTAGGTGTCTGACAGATCTGAAATGTATAAAAACTTTACAACTCATCACTGTCAAGCTGCTGACCAAATATGAAGTCATTCTGTTTTATAGTACCTGACAAAAGATGGGCACGGTGAATGCAAAGTATCCCCCACTCCAAGAGTGTAGGCACGAAAAATATTACAAGATGCCGATAATAATCAACAACAGAAAGATAAATCCAAATCTTTTTGTTTGATTTTGATTGTAATCCATATTTAAATAAATACAATTAAAAAACAACCTTTTGGAATAAATAAAATTCAAAACTAACTGACCAGTTTTAGGTTCATAATTGGAAATACAACATATATTTTTTAGTTGTAAATATCAAAGCTATAAAAAAAATGGTGTTCCAAAAATAAAAGATGAAATACAGTGTGATTTACCACAAAAAATTTAACAACATTTGTCAATCGTCTTATGCTTCAAATAAATGTGTCAATTTTCATTCATTTTTTGTTATTAGGAAAAATACATCTACAAAATCATATTATACATTGAATTATATGTTTGGCATTCAATGATTATATTATCATTCACCAAAAACTCATGTACTCAATTAAAGCAAATACATAAACTTACAAAAGTGTCTACTTTGTCACCATTCACATAAACATATAGGGTGTTTTTCTCTGAAAAATATAATTCATACAAATAATAAAATCATGTTCATAATCAGAAACAAATACAATGCATACTTTTTCCAACTGAAATTGACACTTCAAATGCATGGTTACTTATTCTTTTTCAATCTTTTTTAAAGTAAGACTACTAAGTCTATTTCCTGCTGATACATGAAGATATAATGATAAATCAGTCTTGTATTCGTAAAAAAAAATAAAAGCATTTAAATTGAAATAACAGGAAGTACCCTTACTATAAACTAAAAATATGTTCCAATCTTCCCTGTCTATCAATTAGCTGCTTGGCTTATATCAAAGCCTTCAAACCATCATGAATTGTCACAGTAATTAAGATTTTACTCATCATACCAATCAAATCAAAACTGATAAAAACATAGAATTCTTAAGCACTAGTCAACCATCTGTAATGTTTTCATAACTACATGTAATAACTACATAAAACATAACGGTCCGTTTAGAAAATTTTTGTGTAAAAACATTAACAAGCAGTGTGGCTATAAACAGGTATTTCTTTTAAGGGCCCAAATTATTTTCTATAAAGGGTCACTTTCCAATGTCCCTGCTTAATGCAAATTCTCAGCTTATGTGTATATTCAACATACTTGCATTTTTTCTTAATTTTCCAGGAATATGAACTCCTACAGAAATCAAGACCATTCACTATAAACTTAATTAGCCGTCAGTCAAATAACCATAGCATTTATTAAATATGATGAAACTAATAAGACCTGGAGTGTTCTAAGAAAAACTGGATAAACATACACCCTGTATTATTTTCTCGTCTGTATTTTAACCAATAACAATATTTTGTACCTAAAAAATTTTCTCTATACATTCACAAATAGTGACACATCATATTAATTTCCTGTTTCCAAGATGTTTTTCATAAATAAATACTTGAAAAATGTATATCTTTCAAAATAATAGCAGAATTGTTCATTTGAATTCAGATTAATTAGACTTGAACAAAAAAATACAAAGTTGTGCTTTGAACATTATACACATGATGCATAACAATAGAGAGTAATATTTTGATTATTAAATTTGTAAACATTGATAACAATGGAAAAAATTAAGAAAATTCTGTAGAGACAAGTTGTTTATCAAAACAAACCTAGACAAACTCTAAAATTATGACCAGCAATCTTTAAACACCAGGCTCTCTGTATCTTTGACTGATTTTCTTTAAACTTTTTCAGTGGCTTCCCATTCACTTCTAACAGATATTCATAGGCAAATCCACTGACAGCATCTATACTTATTACACATTTGGCATTTCCTACTTGAAAATGTTCTTTTCCAACAAGTTTGAACATCCAGTCTTCTCTATAAATTTCCTGAAAATAAACAATATACATACAACATACATATGATTAATTACAAATAACAGGCTCCTGACTTGGGACAGGCATATAAAGAATGTGGCTGGGTTAAACATGTTGATGAGCGCTCAACCCTCCACCTATCCTGGGACAGTGGTGTTACAGCACAACATAAGAACTAACAGTAATAATAAGTTGGAAAGAACTTGACCATCAGATTGGCACAAGAGAACATAACAAACCTTAAAGTCATATGAATGAGTGATAGTTGTAAAAAGTTGATGCATTTATATTATTTTATCATATATGAAGCTCCATAAGCCCCCCGCCCCCTTAATCCGCCTCTCCTAAGACTTCTTGCCTCTCAGTATTCACAAATGGAGTCAGTCTAACATTTTTACCTTTACTTCGTGTTATGAATCCTGAATGCTATTAAAAACATGACTGCATGTGGTGTCGTGCTAAATTAAATTACCAACACACATTCATGATGTTAACATTTGATCTTGGAAAATTGTAAGAATATATTGAAAACAATGTAACATAGGACTTTATGCAAATAAATCTGTATGTTCAATTGTCTCCCCTACAAGACAATAAACCAGAATTATATTTTGTTTCATTATTATCTTCATATGGTGTACTCCTTTGTGCAAAGTTTCATAAGGGAAAATCTGCATTAACAAGGTAATTATAAAATGATAAATAAAACAAATCATCGGGTAAATTTTCTCCCCTTCAAAATATTGGACCAGAATTATTTTGAATCAACAAGTTGCTTCACTCGTTGTGCTCAATCTTTCTGTTTCAAGTATAAATTAGTTAGATACTACTTTCCCAAATTTATCAATTTCCTTTGTTTTCTTTTTCTGAAATTACCTTTCCATCAACTGTTATGACTCTTTTTCCTGATGTAGTTCCATGTTCAAACTCTACTTTATGTACTCCATCTGGTAAAGGAACATCCCATGCTGCTACAAGATCACCCGATGCTGCCATTGTTATTGTTGTCTGCTGTCTATATCTAGAGAAAACCTTTAAATAAAATACAAAGCAGCGTTTTATTATACATTTTCTAGAAATTAAAATTGCATGAGAATTTTTTTGATTTTTTTTCATTTAAAAAATAATATATATTAATATATATATTTATTCCATATTGGTATTATTTTAGTAGGTATTTCTAAATGAATTATATTTTGAAGAAAACAGCATATTCACCAGAAGAAAAGAGATATTCACCTTGCTCAAGGTCATATGGTTTTTGCATGTATAATTATGGTAAAATGTTTGATGTACAACTGGTTTTGTAAATAAATATGTGGTTTAATTGACTTATAAAAACCTGATATTTACTTCAGCAATACGCCTCAGTAAATATCAGTTTTTAAAGTAAATAAAATCACATATGTGATGTTTCATCAAAAGACAGTAATCGTATAATATCAAAAGTCAGATGTCACTTACTAATGGTCTTAAACCCAATGGGGTCAAACACTTTTTAAAGAACTATTAATTAAAGACGGTCACTGCAAGTGGAGCAGGATCTGCCTACCCTTCCGAAGCACCTGAGATCATACCCCAATTTTTGTCAGAGTTTGTGTTGCTCAGTCTTTAGTTTATTTGATTTGTTTTGTAGACTGTTGTTTTTCTTTTGCTTGTTTTGTTTCAGTAGTCATGATAGTATATTTTTTAACGTAAATAAATCTATATACCCTTATCAACACTGCTTAAACTATGATTAAATTCTTCCATCCTTTCAAAAGTGTGTTAGTTCTATTGATTAGCCTGATTAACATAATGATGTATAAGCTGGACACTTTAGTTCAGTCGGATATGTCAGTTGTAATGCCACTATAACATCACAAGTACATGTACCATGGTATGTTAAAATTGATAAATTTGACTGTATATAGTGATTTTCAATATAGATTGTTTTTGGCAATTAGAAAATGTAGATATGTGCCAAAGAATATTTTTCCCACATTATCATCTTTCTCATGTTAGTTCAAGACATCTTGTAGCAAAATATTTTTTATCTTGCATTTACTGATTTAAATTAAAATCATTTAGATAATCATTTACTAGATTTTACAATTACCAACAACATTAACATAAAAAAAAACTTGTTAAAAGATTCTAAATCAATATGTATCCAGGTATTAACACAAATACATTAAAGTTGTTTGTACAAGCATATTTGTTTTATCATGATAACACATTATAATTCTCACTTTTTTTAAAGACTGGTTTTGCATAAAATAATCACTTAAGATATAAATTCTACAGATCATATACTTACTAATACTGTACATTGACAATAAAGTTCAAGAATCATATACAAACATGTGAGTAAATCAATAAGGAAACTGACAAGATTTATTAAATAGTGCTAATAATCATACTGGTAAATACCGGGTACTGCAAAGTTCAGGGACTTAAGTTGAAGTTGTGAAAACACCTGTTGTCATGTTTAGATTTGTTATTATCACTCATCTAATAACACCTATGATTAAGCTTTAGTCTATCACAATATAATCCAACAGAAGTTAGGGGTCCAACACACTTAGCCATAATTTTTAATATTCATTATGATAGAAATTGTCAATGACCATTGATCATGTTGAAAACAATATAATCCAGCCAGAATTGGTGGTTCCACTAACACTTAATCATTGCTTTACAGATGAGATTCATTTTAATAGAAAAAGTCCATAATATTATCCAATTTTTTTAAATGGTTCTACACAGCCATGATTTTACAGATATATTTTGATAGGAATTGTCCATGATAATATAAACCAACCAGAAGTTAGCTGTAGTGGTTCCACATATATTCAGCAATTATTTTACAGGTACATTTTGATGGAAATTGTCCATGAAAATATACTGTAAACAAACTAATTTTTACTAGCAATTCATTTTTGCGACTTTCACAAGTAGAAAAAACATGCTACAAGTCATTGCTAAAATGTCAGACTATCACGTTCTCTTTATCAAAATTTGAAAATAAATCATCCATGTCAACTAAAACTGACTATTAAATGCAAAAAAGTTTGTTGACAGTAACCCAAACAGAAGTCAGTATTTCTACACACGCTCAGCCATGATTTTACAGAATTTGTCCTTACCTTAAGGAATTAGGCCACCTGTCCTTAGGCAAATTTTAGTTTTGTGAAAGCCAAATTTATTTATAAACTAGAGGCTCCAAAGAACTGGAATCAGTCATAAATTGAATTTATATCTTGTATTGCTGATCATTTATAATGACTTTACCGTTTCTACATGTATCTATCATAGTTTTGGAAATACTAGACAAAAACCAAAATAAAAGTAAAAAATTTTCATTGAAGGGTAATAACTGCTTTAAGGTATCATCCAATGGTTTCCTTCATATCTGCATTAGTGTAGATCATTTTTTGATGTTTACAATTTCTACCAATTTATGATAGTTTTCAAGATAAAAGGCAAAAATTGAAAAATATTCCTTTAAGGGCAATAACTCCTGTAGGGAGTCAACCAATAGTTTCAGCAATATTGGCATGTTTGTTAGTCATGTATTGGTGATCAAGTTTACGACGTAGCTAATCAATGGTCAGGTGTCATACATTTGTAATTTGTTGTTACAGGTAATCCGCTTATCCAATGGATCATTAATGATCATCAAAATTAATTCATACAAATAGAATCAGTCAGTCGCCATTTGTCATTTCGAATTTAACAAATTTTTTAAACAATCACTCAACTTGCAACTTTTACCGTAGTTGAATGATGAAATTGTACTTGACAGAAAGACAAAAACCATAATGAACTTATTAAAAACATTGTTTACATGTACTTCAATTCCATTAAAAATGTTAAATTTACTCAGACATATTTTGTCTTTGCCTGCCTTTACTTTTGAAATTAAAATAACCAAACGAGTGGCTATTGATTGTATTCAACTCTACTATGTACAATCCTCAAAAGAAGTAAGAGCAACTCTTGAATACAAGAAAGATAACTCAATTGTAATTTTTCCTAGTATCAAAATACCTACTCAAGATTGGTCTATCTAAGGACTTATAGGTTTAGGGGTCTTTTGAGTTATGGGGCAAAGTGAAGAGGGTCTTAATAAGGGGTTTGGGAATGGGGGCTTGGCCGCCAGGGTCATCATTTTCTTAAGACTATAATTAATCATTCACTGTGATATCAACATTGACATTTGGCTGCGAGGAAAATTATTTACGGTTCACCAACTTGGAAGGTCTACATCTACATCTTCATCGTTGAAATGCAAAGTGTCTAAGACCCATCACGTAAGTACTAATTAAGTCATTCAATATGGTCTGCTTCAAATGATTCCAGCAACAGAAATAGGTGTAGCTGTAGTTGTATACACCATTTAACAGATAATTTAATGTAGATTTACGATGTAACAAGTATCAGTTGGATATAACAACCGCAAAATGTGGAAATATAAGGGAAAGTTGCGATTGAGTGTCATTTCTCAAATATGTGCGTTGGGTACCTTGTGTTATATTAAGGTATATAGGTTAAAAAAAAATTCAGAGACAAGTGCCCGTGTCTGTGGGGATATTTACAGTAACCAGTCTGGAAGTCAACAGGATAGGAGGATCTAAAAACTTGTGCAGAGGACAACCAAATACTATTACTGTTAAGCAGGTTTCAAATTTCACTTTACCTAAATAGCTAAAAAATGGTATGGATAGAAACAGAGATTTTAGTAAAGTAGAATAAGACGGTATGCCTGGCAACACTTACACAAAATCCGGGCACTTGTTCCTTATTAGAGCCGCAGTGAATTTCGAGTTCGAGATCCAGTTATATTTTCCCTTTGTTAACATTTTTTAAATATGGTATAGAAAATTTACCTGTTTATTCTATTTTCGAAAATGAAAATTTTATACTGGAATTTTTACCTTAATTTATTGAGAATTTTTGTAAACAAAACAGTGTATATATGTAAACAACAATGGCGGCTTTTGGAAACCGATTTTTTGAAAAATTGGTATTTGATTGAAATTATTGTACAAATCAACTCTAAGATAACAATAAGATGCTGATTTTCAACATGTTTTATCTAAGAAATAAGAATGTTGTAATATATTCAGTTAAAACAAACAAATAATCGTATGTCAATATGCCCGCTAAAATTTAAATTTCTGGGTCCACTTGCTTGGACATGTTTCCTTTCCGTAACTTCGATAATACTAGATTTATAGCAGCTAAGAAATTATTTTAGCAAAAAGGTTTTTTATCAAGAAGTACCTGTTTGTTGATCAACATAATGCCTCGCAGAGTAAATATAACATTTATATCATATTATTACATGCAAAAAAATCAACAGAATTGTAACTTGCTAGTATACTTTCCAGTGGGTGGTTACTTACTGTTGAAAATATAATATGTCATTCATGTAGCACTTATGTCAATCAAAAAATAAAAGTTGTTTTGATTTTATTTGGTCAAACCTGCAGATATTCATATGATTTTTGCTACATTTGTACTGAGACTACTGTAGGTTGTAATGTAAATGCTCTTTTGATCCGACGTTGGAAAGTTCCGGGCAGAAAGAACTAACTAGCCGAAAAGTTCCGGGAGGAACTTATTAACTAGTTACTTTGTTCTTCCTCTGGTTTAAAAGTTCCACCGGAACAAAGTGACTAGTTGAAAAGTTCCAACAGAACATATCAACTAGTTAGAAAGTTCCTTTTTGCCAAATTAGTCAAAACCGGAACTAACAAACTAGCCCAAAAGTTCCAACGGAACTTATCAACCAGGCAGAAAGTTCCATTTGGAGAATTGATGCAAAGTAAAAGCGCAACATATTATATTTGAACCTTTCAAAGGGAAACCAAGATACTGATTACAAAAGTCAAAAGGAACTTATCAACTAGCCACAAAGTTCCTCTTTGGCAACTAAGTCAAAACCGGAACTAACAAACTAGCCCAAAAGTTCCAACGGAACTTATCAACCAGCCACAAAGTTCCTCTTTGGCAACTAAGTCAAAACCAGAACTAACAAACTAGCCCAAAAGTTCCAACGGAACTTATCAACCAGTCACAAAGTTCCATTTGGAGAATTGATGCAAAGAACCAGATGAGGAGGGGGGTATTCTTCCCTCTCTTGAGGGTACTATGAATACTAAATTTGCAGGATAATGCAACTTATTTTGTTTTATGTGAGCTATGAAATACAACTTAAATTTTGCATATTTCATAATTTGTCCCCAAAGAAACCCCTTTCAGCGCGTTGGGTATTCTTGTAAATTAATGATTTGCTCTTATATATACTGATACTCATTCTTCCCCCTCGTTCTACAAAAAGGATGAAATATGGTATATTCGGAACGATGTAACTAGTTGTTCTGTTCCGCCAGAACTATTCAACTAGCTACATTGTTCCGGGACTTTTCAACTAGCTACTTTTTCTAGTTGAAAAGTTCCGCCGGAACAAAGTAACTGACGGAACATAGTGGCTGTTACAGTACCACATACAGTAGTGTCCGGTAATTTCGCCCGTCTGGTAAACCTGCCCACTCCCATTTCTTCCGTAATTGTCGCTTCTGTGAATATGTCGTCTGCTATTTTATGCATAGGAACTGTACTTATCATCACTGCATGTCAAATTTTAAAGAAAAATCCTTTATTACAGAAATATCTAGTGATATATATAATACAGTTCCTAAAGCTCACGATAATCATATTACTGCTTACAAAACTCATTTCTGACTTGAAATTTTTTTTAGATTATCTGGAATCTCTTTATAAGTGGTCTATTAATAAATAGATCACCTTTTCCTTCCATAAATTTGTGATAATCTGGTCCTCAATACATATTAACTGCGCATAGGCAGATTTTCCGGACAAACACATTTCCGATAAAAACACAGATTACCCACTTGTTTTGTTGATTTTAAAATTTATTTCAGATATTTTTTGGGAAATGAGATAAACTACTGTTGATTTGTCAGTGAATCGATTTATCATGTTTATATTAAATTTGATAAAATTTGTATATTACTAAGCAGAAATACATACGATCAAAGCCTTATATGGGCGGATTTACCGGACTGCACCGTATGTGTTATAGTAGAATCAGATTTGTACATGATCAAAGATGCCAATGAACATGTAATAGTGACAGTTTTACATCAGACTTGCCAACTATCCCGATTCATGGCAGATTCCCCCATGAGAGGTGTTGACCTGACATTTGAAATTCTTTATTATGTACACAAACAGAAATCCTAAAACCAGGCATTCAAATGAGTTAAAAGGATATATTAGCACATATATACTCAATCAAACAATATGGTAGTAGATTAAAAACACTTAAGACAATATTACAGGAGCATAAGGTCCTCTTGTGCTTTAAATCCCCCATGTAGATTTTGAAAAGTTGGCAGATATGATACATCCATTTTCAACTGTTTATATGTGCTATTATCATCACATGTAGCGTTAACACACGTTCCATATGTTGACAAGGGGTCACATAAATCTCGTACATTTTTGTGAACTATTACAACTTACAAGTTGAAGTTACAATATAAAAATAAGGAGATGTGGTATGATTGCCAATGAGACAAATATCCACCAAAGCTCAATCGAAGTGGATGTAAGCAACTAAAGGCAACCGTACGGCCTTCAACAATGAGAAAACCTAATACCGTGTAGTCGGCAACTATACTGCTATAGGCAACCGTACAGCCTTCAACAATGAAAATACCCCATACTGTATAGTTGCCTTTTAGTTTTTTGTTGTTTTGAAATACTCTTAATTTACATCATCATCAAGGTCCACTACAAATATTACAATCATTTTGAGAAAATGTCCAGGGGTTTGAAGAGGTTGTTTCCTGGTCCGGTAGCTTTGTCTTGAGAACTTTGTGCCAAAATGTAGGACCACACTTAAAAATATTTTGTTTGCCCAAACCCTGGTGGGTAGGTAGGTAGATATTTTCTTTTTTTTTTTCGGTAAAGAGTAATTGAAGTGTCAGATGATTTTTAGTCTTCATGCATATGGCTATCTGGTTAAAAAAAAAAACTTTTTCACATCAAGACAATAAAAGATTTTGAGTAGGCAGCTATTAGATGGGTAGGTAGGGTTAGGGCAAACAAACATTCTTTTTTATGGCCTAGCGGTTTTTGTATTATAATCTATCAAAATGACATTCAGCATCAGTCAAGAAGACAATATACCTGATCATGTCCATGAATGATATAGCTATTGGCAGTTTTGAGACAAATCTGTCTGACATGGACATTGGGTCAGGCTGCTTTGGATAATATCCTGTCTGGCTAAAAATTTGCCTATCAAGTCAAAAGATCAGACAGATTTAGAAACCTTTGTAATTGTCAAAATTTGATCTTATTGTAAAATTGAAAACTTGTTTGGTTTTGTGTGTGTGTGTGTGTGTGATTAAAACTGTTGTGTTTTTTTTATTTTCAGGGTGAAGTTGATTATGAAAATGATGACATGAGGATTTCATCAAATTATCGGGTAAATTTGCTTCTGTATTGATTTTAATAATTCTTAGATCTATAAGAAAAAAACAAATCTGTATTCAATACTGCCCGAGTGCTTCTGGTGCAATTGTTCAAAAACTCAACATTATTATGACCTGATAATTTTAGGTTTTACACATTTGATATTTGATAGCTGCATAAAAAAATTCATCATGTATAGAAAATTACTTTATGGCATAGTATAATTAAATTCATAGTGTATCTTTCAGAAGATATTTTTATAACTTCCCATCTGTACATTGCTTGGCTTTAACCATAAATGGTGAGGCTAATTTTTCTAAAATTAACTTGCTTATATATTAATATAATATATATATGCACATGTACTTACACTAAACAAATATAAATCAGTAAAATTTTGAAAAAGCACATTGACTAAAAAGTCTTTTTGAATTTGGCTGCTACCAGTGTAACCATCCAGTGGAAAAGTGCTTATTAGTCCCCTACCGACGAAGTCGAAGGGGACTTTAGGTTTGCACTCCGTCCGTCTGTCCATCTGTCAGTCCAGCAAATCAGCTTTCCACACTTTTTTTCTTCGTTCTTGAAGATATTGATAATAATTTTTTGTGAAAAATTCACTCATATAACATGTATAATCAGTTTTCCACACTGTTTTTGAAGATATTGACATGATATTTACTTTTTGTTTACACCTTGACAAGTTATAAAACAAGTTAGCATTTTGTTCCAGTATAATGAATTTTTACCCGGTAGGGGACTATGCTTGTTTTAAACCTGAATCTTCTCAGCCTGCAACTACTTTTAAATTGAAAATCATTGGTATTTTTTTAATAAAAGCAATCACATTCCAAGATGTACACACATTTATTCATGCATAGAACTTTTCTCTTGTTACTTTTGCTTCTTATAGTTCAAAACATATACAAGCATTAATAATGCTTACATAGTTTTGATGGTTGTTACTTACAATTTAGTGTAGGTCAATTTTTTTTCAATCCCCTTGTCATTTGATAGGCTTGGACATATATATTTACCTTTTTCGGTCCTCGTTGAGGTTGATTTTGTATAAAGTTTCTTGTTTTAAGTCCAGTCATACTAGTGATGACATTTCAGTGGTTACTGTATAATAACAATGAACCACAGCTGTAGTACACAAAAATTCCACTACAATTTGGCCATTCTGATGTGTATTTCATGATAGGGCCGCTTTGATTATGGTTATTAGCAATGTATTAAAGATATTCATTGATGTGTTGAACATTTGAGTTATTATGACTTTATTTTACACTTTTAAAGATTTTCATATGCACAAATGTGGGTCCAAGATGTGCCTTTGTACAAACACATTTTTTTTGAAAGCAAGGTATTTGTAGTACAGATTCTTCATATGCTCCCCCTCTTTCTCCTTTAAATTCTAGATCCATCAAAACTGATAAATAATTGTATAAAATTTATGCTTACCTGTATCTTCTTCAGACATAATATGGTCAGTTTTAGTTTATTAAAAACCAAATAATGCAAAACAGCTTATAAATATGTAACACTCCCAAATGTGTCCATCCCCCCAAATGTGTCCGATTCCCCCAAACGTATAAAAAAGAAGATGTGGTATGACTGTCTATTCTCCCCCAACGTGTCCGTAATATTCAATATTGCCCAAACGTGTTCGATTTCAAAACCCCCAAACGTGTCTGATAATTGTTATTCGCCAAAACATGTCCACTGTTAAACGCCAGAACGTCTCACGTCTTTTACCGCTAATACATGTATGTCCTAAATGAAATCAATAATGTTTACGGCAATTCTATGATGGGGGAAACAGTTGATGAGGTAGTCATTCATTTTATTAGCATTAGTTTGTTCAATGCCGGTTGTTAATGATTATCATAATTGCAAATTTAATCTGTAACATATGAATTAACTTTTGACTGAAATTGCTTATTGTCCAGTTGCAAGTATTTCATGCTCTTTTAGAGCGAACATACAAATAATTCTAGTTCAGTTGAAATAATCGTTTACTATGTAAATTATTTTGTACTATTAAACTCCGATGATGCCTGTTATATTAATCCGAATATTGCACGGCGGGCTTTCAGCAGAATTGACTTCCCTTTTTTCAACAGTTCTGATATTTTAAAAGCTCTTCAAATCATAAACTGGTAATCAGGTTTTTTAATAATTTTTAAGTTTCGAGCATCACTAAAGACACACGAACAAGAGACATAATGTCCAGTGCCAAATATTTCATGCATTATTTGAACGACATCATGTTAACAATAAATACTGTAGATAGGTTCTATCATCAAACCGGGAATTTAGGATTGGGCCTAATTATTTTACGGTTATTCAGGATTAACTCTAGTTGGGATTTTAATGTAAAAAAATTAAGAGCAAGTAAAGACTGATTTTTTTATGACTTCAGTTAAGAAACTACTTCAACCTCTGTTATGTAATAGAGGTCGTTTTAAATAAAAGTTGCCGAAATTTTAAAAAAAAATAATGCCTTCCAATATACAACTGATGGCACCATGAAAGAGTGAAATGGTACAAAGGTTTTAATGCGCAGATAATGGGACACTCTCCCTACACGAGGTATCTGATTTAATATCTACAATTTAACTGAGCATGCATGGCTGCTTACATTTACATCCAACATAGCTGAACGGATGCCCCACTTTTAACCAGGTTGTACTGCCTGTTTAAAAAAGACGTAAAGTATTTTATTTCTATTTTTTAATGAAATAGTAAAATGAGTATACATTAATGAAAAAAACAATAACCAAATAACCTACCTATTTATAATATGGACACGAATGATAGTTCCAGTAAAAGAAAAAAAATAAGCTTGATATGGACACGTTTGGGGGATTGGGCACGTTTGGGTGTTCATTAAAAAATGGACACGTTTGGGTGTTTATAAAAATGAAACGCTGTGGCGCTCTTTTACATTTAGACATGTTTTGCATTTCAGTGACGTCATGTGGACACGTTTGGGGGAATCGGACACGTTTGGGGGGAAGGACACGATTCTGAGTGTTACAAATAAAACAGATATTTTCTTCCAGGTTGAAGTAGAAGAATGGCAAGATATCAATAAAGAGTTAAAAAAGCATGGACTACCCATAGTTAGAATTCTCCATCCATCTGATGTTACATTGTTATCAGGTATAATGAGATTCTTTGTTTATTATTAATACATGTATTTATAGATTATCAATGGTTTTTGAAATGAGAGAGTTTCTCAGCTACAATCTCATCGAAGGGCGACAATCACTCCCTACATTGCACTGAGGCAATTCTTGTTTCTGTAAAGAAAATATTTCATCTTGATGTAACATTGATTTATAATTGAATAAGTTTTGTTTCCTTATTTGAGACAAGGATTTTTATAGTGCAAAATCCTTGCTTGAGACAAATGAATTAACTCATGCTGCAATTAATTTTCTGAGAATTCTTCCCAATTGTGTACATGTATGTATATGGATTATTATAATTATTTTATAGGTAGAACAATATGTATGGACCTACCCATGAGCCAGACAGTGAGGGAAAACTTCATCTCATTAATGGTAGACTGTGATCACAGGCAGAATCTCCTACAAGATCTCATCTTATCCAATAACCAAATCAAGTATGATTGTGTCATAATTTATAATTGTCCCTGTAGAAATAGAGATAATATCTGCCACAATGTCTCATTATATCTAACCAAATCAAGTATGATTGTGTCATGATTTATAATTTTCCCTGTAGAAATAGAGATAATATCTGCCACAATGTCACATTATATCTAACCAAATCAAGTATGGTTGTGTCATAATTTATAATTGTCACTGTAAAAATACAGATAATATCTAGTACAATGTCTCATTATATCTAACCAAATCAAGTGTGATTGTGTTATTAAATATAATTGTACTGTAGAACACACATTATATCTCCTACAAGATCTTATTATATCTAGCCAAATCAAGTAAGATTGTAGTCAAGAAATTTATTACTGTAGAACACTCATAATATATCCTATAAGATTTAATTATAAACCAAATCAAGTATGAATATGTCATAAAATTGATCACTGAAGAACACACATAATATTTACTACAATAACTCTTCATATCTAGTAAACAAATCAAGTATGACTGTACAATAAAAAATCTATTCCACAACACAACTTTTTGCCTACTCAAACTTTTGTTTTACTTTGCAAAAATTGATGTAGAAATTCAGTTTTATCATTATTACAAGCAAGGGGAAACAACATCATAAATGGGAAATAATTTACTTTTTAGTTCATTTTCAGTGTAGGTTGAAACCATATATTTTATTAAACGAAGTGTAGAAAAATCAGTAGAAATAAATATGTGATTTGAAATAAAGTGCTTGAAAATAGAAAATATTAAGTGCTCATTGTTCTGCTTGAAAAGGGTTATTGATCAATTAGTCTATCTATATCTTTTACTTGTAGTTTTCATGAGTTTGAAAAAAAGATTTAAAAAATCGCAACTTTAATCCTTTTTATTTTCTATTATTGTGATAAACTTTTGAATGGAGCTAATCTGAGATAAGAAAAAGCATGAATTTTTTTCAAGGGAGGATTTGACGAAGCAGACAGATTTGATGGAAAAATACCATGGCCGTATGAAAGAATTAAAAGTTTTACTAGAAAGTTCAAGAAATAGAGTAGAGGTAAGGACATGCTTGATTGATTTTGATAATTGTTTAACACCACATCAGGGTGTTTTGGCTATATCATTGTTGGGGATGATTATTGAGTAAGATTGAGTTGACAATTGGAAAAGAATTGCTATCATTTTATTTTCTCTATCATCAGTCTCAATTGAGTTACCTGATGGTGTAATTGTTTAACACCACATCAGGGTGTTTGGGCTATATCATAGTTTGGATGATTATTGAGTAAGATTGAGTTGACAATTGGAAAAGAATTGCTATCATTTTATATTCTCTATCATCAGTCTCAATTGAGTTACTTGACGGTGTAATTGTTTCTCTATATACTATTTCACAGAAATGGTGCATGCAGTGTATTCTATATTGTACTAAAATAACCAAGTAATTAGTATTTATTATGAATACATACAATTTCACTTTATTGTAAAAAATGGTAAATGTTGGAAATTAATGTTATTCCATTTTGTTTTGTTTACAGGAACTTGAAAAAGACCAAGATATGAAGTCTTCTATCTTTGAAGAGGAAGAAGAAAAATTGAAGAACACCAAGAAATCAATGCATCAAAAATGTAAATTTCTTCAACAGAAATGTGACAACCAGGAAAAAGAACTTGAGAGATTAAAACATAAATTGGGCAAAATGGCCAGTGAGGTTAGAACACAATTGAGATGTAATGAAGTTATTAGTCATCTGCAGTTTAAATACTAGATTTTGTATCTAAATTTCTGGGTTGATTCCATAACTTATATGTATATCAGACAGCTTATCAAATATGTCATTCAGTATTTGACATCTTAACCAAAAAGTAATAATGAAATATCTGTTAAATGGGGGATAACTGGAAAAAATAAATCTTATAAGACATCTTGTTTTATGGTTGTGTTTGTAACAAGATAAAATATTTTTTTGTTAAAATAATTTATTATATATATGAAAAGGCTTAGTTTGGTGTCTTTAGGGAGTTACAAATGTATGTATGGTATGTTTAGATTTCCTTAGTCAGATTTGTACATTTATACTCCAAAGGTTTATTTTCTTCTTTCAAAAATTATTAAAAGTGAAATATGAAACTTTTGAAACATTAGATTACATTTTGTGTACAGGTCTTGAGTTTTATTCAAAGCAAAGATAAAAGTTTAATATTGTAGTTATAGAGTAATTCCAAATTTTTTGTTTTCAGTCAGTAGAAAATACATATTTGTGTGAATATTTTTTTAAATTTGTATATTTTTAAATAAGACCTTCTCTTGAATAAAATTATATAATTTTACCATATTGTATATGCAAGCCAACAAGTGATGCAAAGTCAATTACAGGTAACACTAAGTGTATTTGATGTATAACTTGAATTTATATTAGTATTCATGGAATTATTCAACTTTCTAATAAATCTTGTTTCCAGGAAGAAAAACGTACTGAAAGACAGAATCAAATTTTTCAAGAATTTAAAAAGAGAACTGCAAGAGCTCACAATACCATGGATGAAAAGTAAGAACAGAGTGATTTATATTGAATTGCAGTTGATTAGTGTCTGGATTGTTAACTTTCCTATTAGTATTTTAGCTAGGTCAGTTTTCTGATGTGATAGAAAGACAAAATTTTAGTCTTATTTGATTTAATATTTTGCAAAAAAGAGAGGTTTGATGTACTCAAACTTAAAAATTACAATAAAATAAAACATAGAATAGCAGTTTCAAAGTATAAAGTCTATTCTGTTATTTTCCTACTCTCCACATATTTCATACAGTGTATAATTATGCAAAAGACAGAAGTATTATAAGTCGTAAAGGAAAAACAAGGAATTCTATGAAAAAACACAATAATACATTTTTCAGATTTGCATTTAGCCTTCTGACCAATTTACATGGCGGACATTGTTAGAAATAATAATAATAATTCATCAATAAGTCTATTAAGGGGAAAAAAGAATATGAAGGACAATTCCTAAACTTATTTTCTTTATAAATGATATTATTGTAAAACAAATAGTGGTGAATACCTTCTTTTTATTTAATTCTTGTAGGCGGAATCATACTTCTGCACAAATCTCCATATTGTTACAAAATTCGGAAAACGTTGTGACCAATTTATGATACCTATATTCCTGTTGTAAAAGTTAAAAAAAAATTAAAATGTTATGATTATGTTCTGTGAAATGTGAAATGTCACTGCAAACAGGCACATATCAAAGAAATATTGTTTGAAACCATTTTAGCAGGAGTACCGTAATGATGAACTTCTAAAAGCCTCATATATTTTTCTTAAACTTAATTTTTTTGTTATTATTATGATTTCTGTGGGTTTCCTGAGGAAAGAAAAGAGATTTGTCTTGGGTCATGAGTGGAAAAGAAATAGTAAAGATAGTGGTATTGATGAAGGTCTGGATGGTGTTTACAGAATAGGTACAAATGAGCAAAAAGGGCAAAAAAATAAAGAACAGAGAAAAACAAGCAAAAAAAAATAACGAATAGAGAATGATGGGCAAAATGAATAAAGATATGAGAAAAATGGTCTAAAAAATTCAAGAAAAAGAAAGAAGGACTCCCCATCCAGACTCTCATTTATGGGGTTTAGGGATATTGATTTGTGAGCTTTGCTCCTTTCATCTCCAGTTTCTTGACAGGTTGTAAAGACATTTTCCAATGTTAATAGCTATATTGATTGATGTCTTAAATAACACAATGTAACTTTTGTTTGTTGTTATTTTTTTAAGGTTGCTAGATATAAAGCTATATTAATTGATGTCTGAAATAACATTATGTTACTTTTGTTTGTTGTTATTTTTTTTCAGGTTGCTAGATATGTATAGATTATTACATGGCATTTTTCATATCAGACCCTTTATCGGCCCTAGGTCATGATATCAGCCCAAGAGCCGTAGGCTCGAGGGCTGATATCATGAACGAGGGCCGATAAAGGGTCTGATATGATAAATGACATGTAATTATCTTTTTATCATATACTTCATTAGAAGAAATACAGACAAGAACTATTAATTAAAATTTGTCTTTCCATGAATTTTTAGATAATAATTTACAGACAACCAAATACAAATTTCTTAACTTTAATTATTTTTATTGATACTACAAGCATTTTATTTATCTTGTCACAACAGTTATCATGAACTTAGTTTGAAAATATGCTCCTCAACCATTTTGTGAAAAGTCTTAAATCACTTGCGGTTTTCCGCTCTGTGTTGTCGTTTTTCGAACAAATTTCCGGAAATGCACGACGTTGCATGTGATAAATGTCACGGAAATTAACGGAAAGGCATGTGATAACATTCCGGAAGCAGTCAATAAAGGTTCCTTTATCAGCCCGCTGAGGAAATTCTTAGGAATCTGATCAATAAACCTAGTAATCCTTTCATAGCCTTTTAATATTTTTAAATTTATTGAACTGTAAAATTTTAGTAATATTTTATACAAGTATATGATAAAAAGCTATATTAATTGATGTCTGAAATAACATTATGTTACTTTTGTTTGCTGTTATTTTTTTAAGGTTGCTAGATATAAAGCTATATTAATTGATGTCTGAAATAACATTATGTTACTTTTGTTTGCTGTTATTTTTTTAAGGTTGCTAGATATAAAGCTATATTAATTGATGTCTGAAATAACATTATGTTACTTTTGTTTGCTGTTATTTTTTTAAGGTTGCTAGATATAAAGCTATATTAATTGATGTCTGAAATAACATTATGTTACTTTTGTTTGCTGTTATTTTTTTAAGGTTGCTAGATATAAAGCTATATTAATTGATGTCTGAAATAACATTATGTTACTTTTGTTTGTTGTTATTTTTTCAGGTTGCTAGATATAATTGATGCTTATGAAAAACAGATTAGTAGTATGCAAAAAGAGCTAGACTTTTATAAGTAAGGTTTTGGCATGGCTAATATTCTTACGTTTTGTAGCATATGAAGTTTTTTTTTATACATTTCAATTTGTATAGTAAATACGAATTACAATTTTTATACCCCTGCTTTAAAAAAGTGGGGGTATACAGTTTAACTTCTGTCTGTCCATCCATCCATCTGTCTGTCCGTCCCATGAATACTTTTCGTCGCATCTTTCTCAGGAACTACACAACAAAGATTTCTGAAATTTGGTTTCAGGGTTTATATAATTAGCTATACAGTGTGATGCGTTTTTGGATTCATCACTCAACAACTTCCTGTTTACCGTCAAGTATTTGGGCAGGGTATCATCAGTGAGCACTAGCTCACAGTTTCACTTGTTTTTTTTTTTTGAATGAACCATTAGTTTGATTTTGATATAAGTTTTACATATCAAATTGATTATATTGCTTATTATGTAAGTTGTACATATCTTGTCCAGATAAAGGTTATATAACCAACTTAGTGTGCAAGTCCAGAAAACTCAGTTGACACATGGTTGAGGTGAAAGATAAGAATGCAAGTTGCAATTCTCTTAGGAAAATATTGAATTCAGGAGAATAGAAAACAGAATTGCCTTCTGGGCAAAACACAGTTGTGATGAAGTATCCTGTTTCAGTGTGCTTTGTTTATATTTGGTCCTTATGAAACACTATTTGAAGTTCAGGTGTCTTATAGATTATGGGGTTCAAATGGTTGGTAAAGAATTTTACAGAAAATTGCAAATTTGAGTATAGAATTCAATTAATTTGCAAAATTTATCATAGATATTAAGACTCATGTTGTTTTTTTTTCTAATTAGATATCAATTTGCTTACTTATACAGAAAATCTGGTTTTATTCTAGCCTGCAACAAATACATATCATAGGGATATTAATCTTTTGTTGGTGGTAGTGTAAACTATTTGTATTAAAAGCTTCAATTTTTCAGAAGGTAGAAGACCTAAATACTTCATATCTTTTACACAGCTGCTTTATGTTATGAAGTTTCCATCTGAATTATGTCCAATGTCCTTGACCTCATTTTCATGGGTTGGTGACTGCTGAAAAAACTGATTGTTTTTTTTCCATATTATATTTTCCTTATTATGATTGATAGGACAACTATATTTGGTATAAAAAATCTTGCAAGGTGTTCATATTTGTTTGTCAGTGTTCATCGGACTTGGACCTCATTTTCATGTCTGTCCAGGTACATTAGACCTTGACCATATTTTCTTGAATTGTTGATAATGTTATTAGTTTATATTATACCTATAGTTAAACCTTGATTACAAAGTTCTGTCATGATCAGTAAAGCAGGCAAGATATTTTAGTGTGTGCTCTTTTTCATATTACTAAATATAGATAATTTCATAATCAGTTTCTAGATTTTAAATTATATCAAAATTTAGACCCAAATTGTGGCAACCATCTTAGATTTCAAAACCGTATAGATTTTTACAGAAACTATAACAAAAAATGCAGTTCATTTAGGTAAAAAGACTATTATTATTATACTCACCATTAATTGATCTTCATCTGTTCATATCTGTTTAATTATGTCATCCAACATTCTTACATAATATAATTGTGCACCATTTTTCCATTTTTTTCTGAATTCTGTTTTGAAATAAGAAAAAAAATGACATTGCCTGTAATTATGTATGCTTAACTTAGTTTAAATTTTGCTTGAAAAAATATTGGAGGAGCATTTAACCACTACTTCATCTTTTTTCCATCAGAAACAAACCATCTATTTTAGAGACCCTACCTACCTCAAGAATGTTTATATGATTCTATGATTTATCTGTCAATAAATTGAAAATGAATTATGAATAATGGTAAAAAATTTGCACACATTTGTTTGCTGAAGTTAGACATTTTAAAAAACTATAAAATATAAGAGGTATACTAAAATGCAAAAGTGTAAATCCTCATGTAGAAAGCATAATTTAAAGTCGGTTTGAAACCAAGCTATTAAAAAAATACATTATTGAAATATATGTATCAACAATATTTAGGTCAGATGAGGTTACAGACAACAGAACCTATGAGGAGGACTCTGTACATGAAACAGGAGTATCATCCAATATGAAGTCTCTCATCAGGGTAAGGCTATTAATATTAAGAGAAATTTCCTTAGTTATATACTCAGCTGTTACTGATTTGTTCTGTATGATGAATAGGAGTCTTGAGGAATATTTGGATGAAGGGGGAACAAAGTTCCGTGGAGTATAATATTTTTGACCTGTCCCTCAGTCTTGTTCTTGTCATTGCAGCTCCTCTGAAACTACACTACAGAATTTCATGAAACTTTGTAGATAATATGGACATACTAATAAATAATATAGATGTGCATATTGACAGGAAATTTAGATTCAATTTTTTTTTATAGGAGTTATGCCCCTTTGAACTTAGAATGTCGGCCTAAATATACTACTGCAACAGTTTATCATCGCAACTACTCAACAGAATTTTATGAAACTTTGTAGATAATAAGGACATAATATGTAGATGTGCATATCCACAAGAAATTTTCATTAGTTGACTTTTGTAGGAGTTATGAGTCTTTGAACTTAGGAATCTGGTGAGATTGTGTTTGCCCAGTGACAATGTGGGGGCGTAGAGTATGTGAGCGTGCTCACAAAGGTTCTTTAATTTTTACAGTTTTTTCATGTTTCAGCCTTTTTTAGCTGATTCTACAGCAATTTATATTTTGCGATATTCCATCTTTGTTTGTTTGTTTGTGTATTCATATGAGAGATGATCTAAGTTTGACATATTCACGACTATTTATATTTTCGTTATTTTTCTACTTGCAAAGTTGCCAGAAAAAAAATTGCTAGAAAATAAAAGTTAGTTTACAATATATTTCAATTGTCAAAAGAGGAATAACTGTTTTAGTAATTGTGAACAAATATAAGTAGTAAATCAGCTTCATCATTGTCTGTCTTTTTACTTTTCAGTCTTATGAGAAACAGTTGTCCAAAGCAAATGACAAAGTAAAGAAATTGCAAGATGAAAAGGATTTAGTCAAATTAGAAATGGGATCTAGGTAAGTTAAGGTTTGTCAGGACATTTTTTAATGAGGTTTCTGAATTTCAAAAACTATTTATTATCTTATTATCATGTCTGCAATTAATATTGCTTAACTACAGGCATAAAACTATTTGGTACTTATCTCTGTAAAAAAGACTTTTTTTTCCTCTGGGCTTGCAGTCTTAAAAATTTGGAGTTCGATTTCAACCAATCGAAATACTGGATTTGGTGTTTCAGGCACAAATTTTCTACTTCAAGTACTAAGTTAAGTTTTATGACCATGGGCCCTGTATTCTTGACAAATGTATATCTCCTGAAGCAGTGGCAAAACATGCCATATAATAAATTTATTCTTCAGAAGTATACAGATTTAAGTGCTTCATATTTTGTCTATTGATACCATTGGCTATGAAGTTTTACATTGCATAAGGGAGTTATCCTTGGCCTCATATTTTGGTTCAGTGAAGTAAAAGTGGTATCCAGTCGTCATCATTAGGACTATTTCTAGGAATGTAGATTACTTATCAGATATGTTGGCCTTCATACAAAATTTGTTACAAGAAAAAAATATTTTAAGTTATTATACTAGTTGGTTGTAAAACGTACAATCTTTTAAATAGTTGTTGCTTAAAGATGTTAAAGTTTATTTCTCTTTCCTGTATTATTTTAAAATATTATACATTTATCTCCCGTGCCGGAGAGAGATATGAAGATTTGTTCACCCAAGAATATTCATATTTCACGAGGGCTCTGCCCGAGGGAAATATGATTTTTCGAGGGTGAGCAAATCTTCATATCTCCTGAGGCAAAGGGAAATGAATGTTTTGTTTACTATCAATACATTAAATATTATTCTGCATACATTTTTTTTCTTATCCGCTTGTTTTTGTAAATCAAACTAAACACGACATACCCATTGATAAATAGTAAGGAACAAAATTTAATTATAAGTCTTTTTGTTTTATCGTCTGAAATAAATTTGAACATGATAATGATTTTTGCTATCACTATTTTAAGAAGAATAAGAAGTTCAAAATGTTATGTACATTAACCGCGCGTAACGTCGCACGAAGTAATCCCGACATTTCAGAGGGGAATATGATCCTCAGAATGGAATATGAAGATTTGTTCAATGACACGTGGGATAGTCTCAACCAATCAAATATTGATTAAACTATCAATATGTTTAAACAGTGGAATAACATCGTTTGTCTGCTATACTTATTTTTCACTTTATGTTATATTCTTGATCAGTAACTTCATAAGGACTATCAGAAATACAATTAATCATTGTCCTCTACAAAAAGTAAAGCTGGTAATTATAAATCATGCTAAAGACCTACTGTATAAAAAATTTGAAAGATTTACTAATAAATTGATATAGGAGGTAATCATATAAAGAAAGATATGTAATTTGAAAAGCAATCCAATATCTCAGATTCTTTATAATTTGTAGACCCGAGATAACAGACTACAGAGTCATTCAACAAAGAGTGAAAAAATTAGAGAAACTATTAGCTGTACATAATATAAAGTAAGTGTAATACATGGAGAGAATCTGTGAACTAATGTCAAAAGTCTGAAACTTCAAATTTAAAAAACAAAGTTGAATATGTTTTATATACTTGAATGGCTAAGTTTTACTATATAACAAGTGTACGTGAACTTTCTTGTAAAAGAAAATGCTTTATATTATCAAAATCTTCATAAATGTACTGCTATTGAATTATTGTCTTCCCTGAAATTTTCCATATGCAGTAACCTTAATTACAAATCACTCGTTAGAACTTTGGCCACCACACATCGCAAGTGTGAGGGAAAAACCGTGATGAAAGAATGCAAAGGGAAACAACAACAAAAAATGATTTCATCAGCAGTTAAAATATCAATCTACTGTGGATTTAGTATTATTCATTTGAACATCAAATTTTAGAATTTATTTGTACTGGTAATGAATGAATTTAAGTTCTTAACAAAATGCAAATCTTTAGTTGTTTATGTAGGAACAAATGAACAAGTAATAAACTAAAGTATCCTTCCAAGAGAAAAAAATTCTCTGAATGTATTTAAAAGTTCTGATGCAAATTTTCTTAATTTGCCATGTTGTTGCAATTTTTAGCTAAAACATATTTTGAAAGTGCGGCCTGTGTTAATTTTATTCTTGCATGCATCAGTTATAATCATGTGCATTGCATGGTTGCCATGACTGCCATTATCACCAAGTTACTAATTAAGTATCAGAACAGAAAGGTGTCAAAGAAATTGAATTTTAAATCTTTTGACAGCATACCTGGAGAAAATGACAAGAAGGATCCATTCAGACAGAGGAAAAAGTATAGTACAAAGTTAGATGATTTAGAATACTTACCACTAGACTTATGTAGACAGTACCTTAGGGTAAGAGTTGCCTCTCTTTATAATCAGGGGCTCTTTTCACAAAAAACTAAGATTAAAATTGATCGTAAGTTGTACTGAAATGTGTTTGACTTACAAGTAATTTTACTCTTAAGATTTTTTGTGAAAAGAGTTGCTGAGTCGTAATTTGGCTAAGAATTACACTTACCTTGGCTATGGAATTAACAATAAGGACCCCTACTGTAGAAGGGAAATTCAAGGGAGATAAAAATGCAGCTTCATTGTGCAGAAAGAATATAAGACCACATCAGGTTGGAAGGTTTTACACCAATATGGTAAATCGTTTGACCTAAAAGTACTTGAATAGAAACATAGAAGTAAAAAAATTGTATAATTTTGTATCAATGATTGATGTATTAGTAACGTCATAAGTATGGAATGTAAGATACAATGATGCCCCACTACAGTATCCTATTATTTGGTTCCCGATTTCCAACAAAATTAAATCTAATCCCCTGTGTTTGAGTGAACCATGCTCTCAGCACATTAAGTAATTAACTATAAGTCTGAAGGTGATCTTTTTCTTAAGACAAACAAACGTACTATTAGAGGGACTATTTGGTTCCTTATACATGGGATATTACAAAAATGTTGATTTTTTAAAATCCTTTTAAAATTGTGTTACCTTGAAAGAATTTGAATACTATAAGAAAGACTTTATAATCTACCTTATTGATTTATAATATGATTGGTGTCTATCATGAATATGTTTGTAACATTTGCCACTTGACAGGAAGAAGACAACAGTAAATTATTACTGGAAATAAGTGAACTTATTTTTGCATTTTGATAAATATAGAAATGGTACCAGTACTTAAATTATAATTAGTTGATAAGAAGACTCTAAAATACATACTAATTTGAAAGAATGAGAAAGCTGGAACATTTTGTACTCATAGTAGAGACTGAATGTTTGAAACAATCACCATTAACTTATGAGTGAGTTTAAGGGGTGGGGTTAAACGACAGAAAGTGTGCCTTATTATCTAATCAACTGATAATCAAAAGTTATTTCTATTTGGAAATTAGGATTTTTATATACTTCCGTTGTAGGATGTTGCTACTGAATTAGACACGGATGATCTTGAGAATGTTACACCTCGGGTACAGAAATTTAATGAAAGACTAGAGACTGCATTACAGTTTGAGCAGGTAAGTTAAGGCCTAGTTTGTGGTACCATTATATAATATAGATATATTTAAACATTCAATCTGTACAACTTTTCAGGAAGTCCTCTCATTCAACAGGTCAATATAAAATGGATGCTAAGCTTAAAAATATTTTTTTTATAAGCAGATTGTCATGAAAGAAATTGTAAAGTTGAAGGTAATTTCATGTCTTAATTCATTGACAAAAATTTGGAAATTTCTTAAACAGGAGATATCTAAATGAGTACGAAGGTCTTTCAAAGTTTTATATTAAGAGTATTGTGTTAACATGAATCAATGTGTCAGTTATATTATAAAATTCGCAAAAATTAACAATCAAATTCAAGTCATTAGTCCATACATGTAAATTGTGTTTAATACTACAGTAAAACCTGTATAAACTGGCCAGCAATGGGACTATGAAAACAGGTCATTTTGGACTGGGTACGTTTATTCAGGTTTCAGATTGACAAGAAATTGAAGCTTATGACATCAGATCTCATCCAGTAATGCAGTCTCATTTGTTTTTTCATTTGTTTATTGCTCTGTTTAACCATTCACAAAAAATGACTCTGTTATCCACCCGTATTTAATGGATTACCAAATGATGGGCAAATGATTAACATTTACAGTATGTTTTTAAAACATCTGGGTTTCTTTGCCCTTCCAATCATTACAGTTAAAACTTTTTCCCTGTGCCACTGCATGCAAGCAAGACTGTAATTCTTTCCTTAGCTAATTTACCACTTTTGCAAGCTTCACCTTTTTGACCAAGTATTTTGTCTGGTAACGCCTTAAAGAATAACCCTGTTTCATCAGCATTAAACACATTTTCAGGTGTAAAGTCCTTGACATAAGTTTTGAGTTTTGATTGAAAATCATCACTTTGAAGAGTTTAAAAAATCCAATTGGAATATTTGACTGCCAGCTCTCCCACAATTTGATGCCTTGAAATCAGTTAAATCCATGTTTTCTGCCTTTTCTTAAACTTTTTCTTGGATAAAAGGTTCTCTGAGCTGAATATTTTTTGCTCTGGCTTACTTGAACCACTGAAACACATTTAGCTTTCATATTTACTTCCAGTATCATGTCCTTTTCTTGCAGATGTTGTATTGTCCTCGTAAATTGTCTTATATTCACCATTTCTCTTTAAAATGTCAGACAGTTGTTTTTCCAATCCCAATCAGTAATGCAAGATCTTTCTGTGTTGGTTTAGGTATTTTCACAGATTCCTGGATTTGATTGTACTTTTTATTTTCAATGTAAGTTCTTTGCAAAGACCTTTTCCGCAACAGTGTATTCAGATTATCATAATCCTTTTTTCTCCTTCTTGGTGTACATAGAGTCTTCATTTCTTGTTTGGTCAACTTATTTTAATAATATTTGTATTTTTCCAAAGGATTTAAAAGGAAAATAATGGGACTTCAATTTGCAACTGGAATGAACAGGAAAGCTGTTAATTAAGGGTTCTGTTTACCCTGCCCCAGTTTTAACTGTATATAGAAAAATTAGGTACATGTAAAACAAAAAAGGAAAAAATTGGAAATTGGACTGGGAGTTTTAAAAAACATATATTTGACAGTGAAATTAAGTAAGATTGATTCAGAAGTCTAGACTACCAACAATGGGGAATACAGACCCTTGTATAGATTTGTTGTAAGGCAGTTTATAGATGATTATGAAGCTAAATGCCTTTCTTTTGAATTATTGAATTTAATGTTAATGGTAACGCTCCACAATTAGTTCAAAATATTATGAACCAAAGAATCATATATCAATTACATGATAATTTAGTCTTAAAAGATTGATTTCATACCTAGAAAAGTTTGAAGACCAATAACCTGTTCAGGGGATAATTACAGAAGGTGGTGGGAAGATAAGTTTAATAAAAAAAAAACTTTCCAGGGTATATTTTCCCAATAAAGTCTTGAGAGAGTTTGAATGTGATGATGATTTAATGACCTTTAAAACAAATGTTTACCTGTTGATTGTTTTGATTAGGTGATAATGTATATCAATTTATATTACCCTAGGACTGTCATTAGTAATGATGATAATTTCTGGCATGTATAATACATTTTAAATAATTTCAGTTAGCACAATAGTTCAAGGTTATTAATGGCAACAGTTTCCTAGAAATTTACCAATAAAAGTGTTACTTAGCTTCATAATTCTGTAAATTCAGAAATTATTGTGTGCATTTATTATTGCGATTTTTGAATAATTGACAAAAATGCGAGATTGCGATTTTCAGGAAAAGCTGCATGCAGATGTATGTATCAGATATCAGAATATGAGTTCTTATTATAGCGATGCTTATATAGTCGCATTATTCGCATTAATTAAAACCTCGCAATAATTTCTGAATTTACAGTACTTGTATAAATTCCAAATGCAGGCAGGCTTAGAAATTATCTCAATTGCCTTCCTGACTTTTGACCTCATTTTCATGGTTTATTCGTCAATGAGGTTACATAAGTTTCTATAACCAATAGGTTAAATAATTTTGTTAGGTGAATATATCTGTCTGACAGGGTCCATCTGACCTTGACCACTGACCTCATTTACATGGATTATTGATAATGTTAAGTATATTCAATACTTGTAATAAGACCTTCATCTTAAAAGACTTTCAACATAAAATCAATCATTATTAGTAAAGCAGGTGTGACATTTCAACATGTGCACTGTTGTGATAAATTAGTGAAGATTTCTCAAATAATTTTTCAGTATATCATTTTTAGCTCACCGTTCCTTCTCACATTGTCTTTACACATGTCATAATGGGGTCACATTAAAACAGTTATCACCTCGAGTAAAGTTAACATCTTTATAATCACTCTTGATGGCCACTAATATCTAAATCAAGGTGATTACATTTAAATATTTTCTCTTGATCGTTAATGGCAATTTGATGTAACACAAAAGTTGAACATTTTGAACATTGTTTGGATCTTGGTGAAATGGATAGTGTCGTGACAATTTTTGTAGTCTCTGGAGAATTCTGAAAGTCCAGATCTAAGCAGCTTTAAACCATAGTTGAATGATCTTTTGTCAGCCAATGCATCTGTTGAGTGACTAAGGTCCATGCTAAATTAGCACATACTTACAACTTCTCGTCCAATCAAATTCCTTAAATTGCCTTCTAATTTTCATAGTACATACTTTTTCCTTGTACTAAGTAACTCTGCATGAATGACCAAAAGGGTAAAATTTCATTGTATCGTAATCAAGATATTAATACTTAAATTGCCACTGGCAACCCCCTGGCTCTTAATTTGATAGTACATACCTTTTCATAGACTAACTGATACATAAAGTGACTTTGACCTTATTTCAACTAATGAATGGCTTTGATTAAGTTTTGGCTTAGGTCCACACCTAATCAACTACAAATCATGGAGGAATTATCTTTTGTGAAATTGTCAGTTGATGCACAATAGTATGTGATGAAGGACATAATGTATTAAGGTGACCTTGACCTATTTCACTCATGAATGTCTTTAGTTAAGTTTTGTGTTAAAATATGTTTGGGTATTAGCCCTTGCATGAGATGGCTTGCCTTCACATCTTTATCATAGTTTTTAGGATCCTTTTTCATCATTGTTTAGGTACCAGAAAAAATAGTGAAAATCAACCCACCTTGACATTGATACCTCTAACAGCTATTTAATACTAATTGTACAATTTCAACTCTAAAGTTCTGTAGGAATGTAACAGAAATGGTAAATGATGATGACATAAATACAAGTAAAGGAAGATCTAAAAGTCCTTCAAGGAAGAAAAATACTCTAAGTTCTAAAAGTTTACAGTTAGCCATGGCCACCATACAGAGCTGGAAAGATGATCAAGATTCATTACAGGTATTTAACATGGATCACTTAACTATTCTTTGTATTCAACATGGTTAATAATAGATCACTTTAATATTCTTTAACAAGTCAAGCATTACTGTTAATTACTGTTAATTCAGAAATTATTGTGTGCATTTATTATTGCGTTTTTTGAAAAATGGACAAAAATGCTAGATTTATTGCGATTTTAGGACAATCTGCATACAGATATTTATATAGCAGATATCAGAATGCGAGTTCTTAATACTGCGATAATCACCAAGTCCCATTATGCATGTTAATAAAAACCTCGCAATAATTCCTGAATTTACAGTATTTTAAAATTGAGTTAAAATACTACAACTGTAAGGAGTGGCTTGTATAAAATTTCAGCTTTGCTACAATTATTTTATATTTTTACTAATAAATTAAGTAGAAGGGAAATTTTCCCAGTTGTTTACACCACTAAACAGTTTATTAACATCAAAGACATAAATGTTGTAACTGAAGGTGCACTCATACCAGATCAAAGTGTTATCACATCTCTTTTAGTCTTATGGCTCACCATTTCTCCCTGTTATCCTCAATTACAGAAGCCATATCATCCTGTGATTGGTAAGTAGTGTTTGCCCTTTCAAAATTTTGTGATTATTTTTAATAGGAAATGATATACTTCTTGAATTCATGATTAATGAATAAGCTTTATAATAAAAAATAACATGTCTGAAAAAAGATGAGACTTGGCTCATTTTAATTTTATTAATTCAGGAATTAGCAATATCAGTGAACAAACTTGGAGACAGAGTAGCACCCTGGTTAAAGATCAGAATGAGTGCTGAACCATCGGTTTCAAAAATCATCACAGCACTAGACAAACTTGTTTATGATGATGGTATCTCAAGAGATAAGGTATGTTATTCATGACATTAAGTATCCTTTTAAAAAAGACATTTCAGGGATGTTTAAATTCAAAGAGAAAGTGATTGTAGGCTGTTAACTCTCATTGCCAAAAAATTCTTTGCTAATTATAAACATGTCCAGTAAACTTAAAGTTAGCAACAAATTTTCTATCAAATATTAACATAAATTATACACAAAACTTGATGGTAATTGATGAATTATTCTCTGTTAAATAAATCATATAATAAAGTGAAATTTATTCTTTTACACAAAACTTATAAAGTTTAAATTTGTGGAAATTTCTGAACTTGAAGTCAAAGAATGAGAACTCTTCAATGTGAAATGTAAACTATTGTTTTTACACTCAATTGTAAAATCTGTTCCAGTTTCTATTTAAGCATTTATGAGTTGAGTGAAAACAAATGTGAATAGATTTTCTAATGTATATTTCAGGATGGAAAAGAACATCCATCTCGTACAGTCCTTGAGAGTATTGTTAAGCATTTCCAGACTCTATTTGATGTTCCATCAGTGTCTGGGGTTTACCCTCGTATGAATGATATCTACAGCAAATTAGGAGAAGTCCACAATGTATTAAATACTCTCAGAAACCTTTTAGGTTTAGGTAAATAATTTTTTTAATTCACATGAAGAAAATTAAGATTTATAGTATATTTTTAGTTTGACAAAGAAAGAATTGTTTTTTTCATCCTCATCCATGTGTTGATAGCAAATATATTACCATCACTTATTTGTTCACCTCTTTCCATATAGTCTGTTAACAGAGGTTTTGAATTTATTCAATATTGCAAATTTATTTTGTTTTTTTTTTCAGTATGGAATTTATTTGGCCACATCATAGTTTACATTCTAATGACCTTCAAGATTTAGTTTTTACGACCTTCAAGATTTTGGTTTACTTGAGGGCATAATATGAAATCAAATTTGGTGAAACCACCTGAATTAAATTGTTTCGCCTTAGAAATTTTCATTTCAACAAGTGATATTTTGCATTAAGAATGGTCCTGAATATGCATGAAATAAATGCAACAGGACTTTAAGCAAGCAACCATCAATCTTTAATATCTATTGCTGAAATTGAACTGACCAGTTGGAAGGTAATGGTGATTAGGTTTTTTATGATAAAGAACAACGATTGATCACTCAATAGTATATACATTTTTTTATACGACCGCAAAAAAATTTTGAGGTCGTATATTGGTATGACGTTGGCGTCGTCGTCGTCGTCCGGCGTCGTCGTCCGAATACACAATGGTTTTCGCACTCTAACTTTAGTTTAAGTGAATGGATCTCTATGAAATTTTACCATAAGGTTCAATACCACAATAGGAAGGTGGGGATTGATTTTGGGGGTTATGGTACCAACAGTTAAGGAATTAGGGGCCAAAAAGGGGCCGAAAATAAGCATTTTTTTTAACTTCCAGACATAACTTGTGTGTTAGCATATGGATCTCTTTGACATTGTACCACAAGATTCCATATCACAAAGGGTCAATGCTGGGATTGATTTTGGGGTTAATTGCCTCAAAATTTTAGGAATAAGGGGCCAAAAGGGGGCAAAAAACAAGCATTTTTCTAGTTTCATGACAATAACTTGTGTGTAAGTGTATGGATCTTTCTGAAATTTTACTACAAGGTTCCATTTCACAAAGGGAAAGCTGGAATTGAGTGTTGTGGTAATTGCCCAAAATGTTTAGTAATAAGGGGCCTAAAAAGGGGTTTAAAATAAGCATTTTTTAGTTTCTAGACAATAACTTGTGTTCAAGTGTATGGATCTCTCTAAAATTGTATTACAAGGTACCATACCACAAAGGCAAGGCTGTTATTGAGCTTGGTTTAGGGGGAAAGGGGGGTGGGGGTGATGAATCATAAGGGGGGCGGGGGTCAAAAAAGGGGTAATTGTTTTTTTTCCTTTTTTTTTGTTTAAAATTTACATTTTAAGTTAGTTATTTTTTATCACGAAGAGAAAGTAGGAATTGAGTTTTGGGGTTAATTGCTCAAACATTTATGAATAAGGGGCCAAATATTGGTCAAAAATAAGGATTTTTTTAGTTTGCAACAAAAACTTGTGTTCAAGTGTATGGATCTCTGTGAAATTGTATTGCAATGTACCATACCACAAATTGAAGGTTGTGATTGAGGTGGGGGATGATGAATCAAAAGGGGGTTGAAAAAATGTGTGGGAGTTAGGATTTTTTTTTTTCCTTTTTTTTTCTTTAAAATTTTCCATTTAAAGATGGTTGTTTCAGATTTATATATGAAAGAAAATAATAATGATACGGTTATATATCATGAGGAATTGAAATTTAAAATTATTTATATTGGAAATTTAAGTTACATTGGAAAGTAATAATTGGCTTTGGGGGGGGTGGGGGTGGGGGTGGTTATGGCTCTAATGTTTAAGGAATAAGGGAAAAAAAGGTTAAAAAACAAGGGTTTCCATTTTAATAGACAAATAATTGAGTAAAGAACATTATTTAAAAGCAGTGTAAGGTTGGTAATTCAAACTCATTTAAATATCTCATCTACACTGCTTTTAAATTATGTAAATTGGAAATTTGCCAATAACTTTATTGTTAATAAATGCATTGGAAATTTGCCAACAATTTTAGTGTAATAAACTTCATTCGAAATTTGCCAATATAAAATTTTGCTGATGAAGGTTTTTTGTTTACCTTTAGCCTTGACTATGAAGTCATTTTCTATTTTTATAGCCTTATGATGTAGTTGAATTATTTAATACTTTTATGATGTGTTTAAATGGGGTTTTATCATGTTTATGGTTGCAAATTTATTGTTTTAGTATAATAAACTCCATTTAAAATTTGCCAATAAAAAAAATTTTTGTTTATTTTTAGCTATGATTATGATGTCATTTTCTATTTTACTTTTATGGTTGCAAAGAAATTTTTATTTTTAGATATTACTGTTAAATGATGCTGATTAAGGTTTTTGCTATGTTTAGCCATGACTATGATGTCATTTTCTATTTTAATATCTGTTATGATGTAATTTCCATTTTTAGATATTACTGTTAGATGATGCTGATTAAGGGTTTTTTGCTATGTTTAGCCATGACTATGATGTCATTTTCTATTTTAATATCTGTTATGATGTATTTAAATGGGCTTTTATGGTTACAAAGGAATTTTATTTTTAGATATTACTTTACATGTTGCTGATTAAGGATTTTTGTTTATTTTTAGCCATGACTATGATGTCACTTTCTATTTTAATACCTTTATGATGTATTTAAATGGGCTCCCATGTATTTAGATTTTTGATTATTTATACATGTTACCAAATTGGTCCACATTGAACAAAAACGGTCCAAATTTCAACTTTATTACATTACATCAAACATTGAATTCTACATATTCTTTGATATATTGAAATTAACAAACAATTTAGTTTATGGATATTCCACCATAATAGGTAAATTAAATTTTTTCCAGTTCTTACACCACATTCATCCTGTGTCAGAAACCTATGCTGTGTCAAATATTTAATGACAATCCAAAGTCATAGCTGTATCAAGCTTGAATTTTGTGTCCATACTTGCCCCAACTGTTCAGGGTTCGACCTCTGCGGTCGTATCAAGCTGCGCCCCAGCGAAGCATTTTATTTCAGATGCAGATTGCAAATCTTCAGACATTGTAGACACAGTAGGGCGTCTATGTAGCCAACATAATAATACAACAAGTAAACAGCTTAAAGCTCTGTTACAGACAGAGGATTTAGAGGGGTAAGTGACAGGTTTGGCATTATGTCCCATAACGCTAGTTAAGAAAGTCATTAAGTCAGTTTAATGTAAAAAAACTAGATAAAGAAATGTTTAAGAGCATCAACCAAAAAGGGGCCAATCCAAATAAGTAATATATTTCTTTTGTACAAATATTTTTAGTTTGATGTTTTTTAGTAGTTGTCTTTCAAATACAAACTTGAGTAAAAGTATTCTAAGCTAAAATGGTTCTATTTAAAACTTTGATATAAAGCAAAGTATAGTTTTTTTTTCCCTCAGAAACAATGAATTGGCTGATTTAACTATTTTGAGGCAGCAATAGCTTAAATAGAACCATTTTAGCTATTGCTGCCTCAAAATAGTTAAATCAACCAATTCATTGTTTCTGAGGGAAAAAAAAACTATACTTTGCTTTATATCAAAGTTTTAATATTATACATGTAATGAATCATTAATAATTGTAAGGTACAGATCATGTTTGTTTAGATGCATCATAGCTTTTATGGTTGACAAGTTATATCTCTAAATAATGGCTTACAAATTCAATCTAGAGCTTCTTCACTAATTGTTTAGTATTGATTATTTTACCTGAAATTGTTGTTACTAGGGTTTGGATGGGGATTAACCATTTTTGTATTCTTTAATATTTTAGTCGATTTACTCTATTCTTTTTATGTTATGCCCATTGTTCATTTTCTTTATATTGTAGTTTCTCATTATTCTTTATTCTTTTTGGGAATTTTTTAGCCCTTTTTTCTCTAATCTGAATTTTTTGGGGGGCCATTTTTTCTAACCTTGGTTCATTATTCTCTTTTCTGTAAACCCCATTCACACCCTCTATTTTGACTTTGAGGATATTGACTCCTACTTCCAAGTACATGTTTTTAGATGTTTATAATGATTTAAGGCAAATTTTATTCTTTGGCATACCAAGTCTTTCATCTTTGAATAAGTGTTCTTTTATTATTGATTTTTTTTACTTTGTAAAATTCTTAGGTGATATAGCTAGCAATTTCAGGTTTTGACCAAATTTTAAATCAATCAATGAAATAACAAGAGTTGCTACCTTTGTTTTTCAACCCCAAATACAGGCACTGTATTCATTTCCCCAATTTCAAAAGAGTTATGTTTGTCATCCATGAGAAACAAAATAATTAAAAATTTTACTTTTTTTTCATATCTATATTTTAGTGTAATAAGAAGACTGGAAGAGCATAATTCATTTTTCCCAGCTTTCCAAGAAGTTATGAGAAAAATGTTTGATATTTTAGGTAAGTTGCATACTGATGTTTTTGAAGATCACCTGTAGCATTTCTAGATTTGTTAACTCTGCACTGACAAAGTTTGGTTATCACGAACAGTCATTCTGTTTGTTAACTAAGGCTGTTTGATGAAATATATATCATGTTAACTAAGGTTGTTTGATGAAATATATATCAGGTTTTTTTTCAATGGGTAGTACCATATAACATGTAATGTTTTTTTTTATATATATATTTAGGGAAAGGGGGAGGGGGGTTCATGACATTTGACAGTCAGTTTTCAGATAGCAAAAATTAAATAAAAATGTATATATAATGTTTAACCATCCTTACTTAAGATTTTTAAAGATTTATACCTGTTGTTAGTTGTAAAAATTGAAAGTTTTATTATTCATCCAGTGTATAAAGAATTATTCAATAGTTGGTTTGGACATTTGGACAACTAATGACAAATTACTGTTTTTGCAGTAAATTGTTATTTATTTTTCCATTGTCCTTGGCCACATTTTCATGGTTCAGCCACTGCTTTAAAAAAATATATAGTTATTTCGGTCGGTTAAGTTTATGTCTTATTAAAAGGATAACTATATTTGGTATAAGAGATCCTTGCAAAGTCTATATGTCTGTCAGACAGGGTTCACCTGACATGACCTCGACTCGGATGAAGTCAATTTCTCAGATGTTATAAGCAGTAGGTCAACTATATTTGGTGTATGGAATGATTGCTAGGTATACATCTCTGTCTGACATGTTTCATCTGACCTTGACCTTACCTTCATGGTGCATTTGTCAATGTTAAGTTTTTGTGGTTGGCCTGTTATTCAGATACTGTCTATATTTTTATATATAGAATGATTGTAAGGTGAACATATCTGTCTGGCAGTTCATCTGATCTTGACCTCATTTTCACAGTTCATTGGTTGTTATGCTTTTCTGGTTTGTCTGTTTCTCAGATCCTATAAAAAGCAATAGGTGTATGGAATGATTGCAAGGTGTACATGTCTGTCATTTGACCTAGGTCTCATTTTATGTATCTTTGGTCTATGTGAAGTTTTTGTGGTTAAGTCTGTTTTAAGATATGCAATAAGCAAAAGGTCCATCTGGCATGGTTCATCTGACCTTTACCTCATGTTCATGGTATATTTTCAGCTAAGATTTCTGGTTACACTGTATATTGTATCATGGGAGACTTATCAATTTTATATTTTTTTATTAATTTGGCTCTTTCAGACGTTATTAATATTTATGTTACAATCTGTCAGTGTTCAGATATATCTTCAATGTAAAAGAAGTACTGTAAAATTCAGAAATTAATGCGTGCATTTTAATATTATTGTGATTTTGGAAGAATTAACAAAAGTGCAAAATTAATTATTGCGATTTCAGGAAAAACTGAATACATTATATGTCTCAGATATCAGATTGCGAGTTCTTATTACTGCGATACTCACCCAGTCGCATTATTCGCATTAATAAAAACCTTGCAATAATTTCTGAATTTACAGTAGTTTTTTTTAGGGTGAATATCACTTTTTGTATCTAGTGTGTTTATGCATTGTATTTAGGATTATTATGAAGAGGTTCAAGTATACTCAGATTGGGTGATAACCCTGTATTAGGAAATTCAGCTTTTTAAGAAGATATGAAACTAGTGTTTGATCAAAATAAAAAAGGGGGGTGGGGTCTAAAAAAAGAAAAGATTAAAGCCCATGTTCATATACCTAGGATAAGCATGGATCCTCATCAGTTGTTATGTCTTATGTTATATCTTAATGGGTTTCTTTTGTCACTTAGAGAATTTAGTGTTGATGCCAGTTTTTTTATAGTGTCTGTTAAACAGACTGTTTAATTTAATCACATAATTTGCAATCATTCAAACTCAAGTTATGTAAAGATAAACAACCAAGCTTTTGATGAGATTGTGTAATGAATAATCAGTAATTTATTACCAAGAATAAGCCTGATGTTATTGAATGATTGCAAACTGATATATAATTCATATAAATGACATGAATTGATTTTATATTTGATGAGATGACATTCTTAATTAGAGACACACAATCCAGTTCAATCCGGTATAGAAAGTGTTAAAGAGCTATTGATTGCTTTAGTGTTCCTCTATGATATAATATTACCAATTCTTTTATTCCTAAGGAAAATAACAGACATGACATATTTCTTACTCATTCCAAAGCTATTAGACAGTAAAAACCTGACAATATTCAACAGGTTTATGTCTACTGTAAATTAAATGAAAAATCATTAGTCAACAAGTGCAGATCCAGAAATTTGTAAAAAGGGGGAGGGGTCACCCGTCATGACAATGTTTAGTGTAAAAAGTCTTAACCATATGTGTAGCTCCATCAGGGGAGGACAGGGCCTCTACCACCCACCTAGATCCGCCTCTGGTCAACACAACCACGACCAATCTAATTATTTTATTTTAAGGCTGTTTAATTCTATTTGGGGACAATGGTAAAAAAATTACAATATGGTTTTGTCTTTTTAATCATCATGTTTTATTAAGTTCGTTGAATCATAAGTGAATTTCATGTTAATACAGCTGTTTTATTAAGTTCGTTGAATCATTAGTGAATTTCATGTTAATACAGCTGTTTTATTAAGTTCGTTGAATCATAAGTGAATTTCATGTTAATACAGCTGTTTAAAAAATCTATAACTGAATATTTCATGGTATATTGTTTTTATTAGTTTATAGTATACATTTATATGAATGTTTGTCTGGAAACTATCAAGGGTGTTGAATTTGTTTAAAGAGAGGTCACAGATGTGTGTTACACGTCAATGAAACAGAAACACATCACCACAAAAAAAAAAATCCAAAAGGCATGTAGAGGTCAAGGTATAGTCTTCAACAATACATAAGTATCTATAAACTATTTCAAACTCTATTTTGTATATTTAGAGTCTTAGATAAGTTGTTATTAAATTTGACAGAGTCTGTCAAGATCTGCCATCAACACTTAATTCCCTATAGAACAAAAAAAGTATTGAAATGTAACCTAAAAAAAAATTGTTTCTTTTTTATCAATTTGAATCTTGATTGTTAAAAATAAATTAAACCATTGCCGTGATGTGACGTCTGCCTATTCATTTACTGTGGATTCTTTTTCTAGAATCAACGCTTCCTAAATCTGTGGCTGAAATGGACTCACCAAATTATATTCAATTTTTTCCTTTGTGTACCAAATTTCATTAGTTTGAATTGGCTAATTTACTGATTTCTGTTCACTAATGGAATTAATATAGAAACTTACCTTTAACTTTTGTAATTTTTATATGCCTTCACTGGGAATCGAACCCCTCCTTGAAATCTGTTATGTGTGACTGACATCAACACATCAACGAAACCTCTTGGCTACCAATGGGTTGCAATTTATATGTTTATTTTATATGTATAAATGAACATATGATACATATCAGTACAACAGACACACAGGGCTTGTACCTTCAAATATATATAATAGGCAATCTTATAGTATAAGTTTGTAGCCGCAAGGTTAAGATCAATGAGTTATAGAGTCAAGTCAGAAGTAGAGACTTGTTGGTTTAGGTTTGAATCCTTGTGTTTCTTTGTTGTTCCTATTCTTAAGGTTTTCTGTTTTTCTTATTTTGTATGTTATTGTGGATATTTTTGTAATGATATCAGGTTTTCTCGTTTATTTTTGTATTATTATTGGCTGTTTCAGGTATTTGAAAAGTAAATGATTACATTCAATTTGTCCAAAGGAAATGTGAACTTTTGCCATCACTTGGCATCCATCGTCGTCCGTTGTCATCTTCGTCCATCGTCATTGTCCGTCCCTTGTAAACTTGTAAACTATTTCAACCATCTTCTCCTCTGAAACTACTGAACCAATTCCAACCAAACTTAAGCTGAATGATCCTTAGGGTATCTAGAATAAAGTTTGTGTTTTATTTTCTGTTTCGTCAAAAAACATGGCCGCCATGGCTAAAAATAAAACATAGGGGTAAAATGAAGTTTTTGGCTTATATCTCAAAAACTTAAGCATTTAGAGCAAATCTGACATTGGGTAAAAATGTTCATTAGGTCAAGTTCTATCAGTCCAGAAATTTTCAGATGAATCTTACAACCCATTGGTGGGTTGCTGCCACTAAATTGGTAATTTTAAGGAAATTTTGCAGTTTTTATATGACCGCAAAAAATTTTTGCGGTTGTATATTGGTATGACGTTGGCGGCGTCGATGTCGTCGTCGTCTGGCGTCGTCCGGCGTCGTCCGAAGACACATTGGTTTTCGCACTCTAACTTTAGTTAAAGTGAATGGATCTCTATGAAATTTTACCATAAGGTTCAATACCACAAAAGGAAGGTTGGGATTGATTTTGGGGGTTATGGTACCAACAGTTAAGGAATTAGGGGCCAAAAAGGGGACAAAAATAAGCATTTTTGTAACTTACAGACATAACTTGTGTGTTAGTGTATGGATCTCTCTGACATTGTACCACAAGGTTCCATATCACACAGGGAATGCTGGGATTAATTTTGGGGGTAATTGCCTCAAAATATTAGGAATTAGGGGCCAAAAAAGGGGCAAAAAACAAGCATTTTTTTAGTTTCATGACAATAACTTGTGTGTAAGTGTATGGATCTTTCTGAAATTGTACTACAAGGTTCCATATCACAAAGGGAAAGCTGGAATTGAGTTTGGGGGTAATTGCCTAAAACGTTTAGGAATAAGGGGCCAAAAAGGGGCCAAAAATAAGCATTTTTCTAGTTTCCAGACAATAACTTGTGTTCAAGTGTATGGATCTCTCTGAAATTGTACCACAAGGTTTCATATCACACAGGGAATGCTGGGATTGATTTTGGGGGTAATTGCCTCAAAATATTAGGAATTGGGGGCCCAAAAAGGGGCAAAAAACAAGCATTTTTCTAGTTTCAAGATAATAACTTGTGTGTAAGTGTATGGATCTTTCTGAAATTGTACTACAAGGTTCCATATCACAAAGGGAAAGCTGGAATTGAGTTTGGGGGTAATTGCCCAAAACGTTTAGGAATAAGGGGCCGAAAAGGGGCCAAAAAACACATTTTTCTAGTTTCCAGACAATAACTTGTGTTCAAGTGTATGGATCTCTCTGAAATTGTACTGCAAGGTACCATACCACAAAGGGAAGGCTGGGATTGAGTTTGGGGGTGATGAATCATAAGGGGGTTCAAAAAATTTGGGGGGGGGGGGGATTCTTTTTTTTTTCCTTTTTTTTCTTTTTTTCCTTTTTTTTTCTTTTAAAATTTTCCATTTTAAGTTGGTTATTTCTGTTTTATATTTAAAAGCAAATAATAATGATATGGTAGGAGATACACACCAAACAGGATGTGTAAATTATTATAAAATAAGTATTGTGCAATAGCAAGAAATTTTCAATTGCACAGTATTGCACAATAGCAAGAAATCTTCAATTGCACAGTATTGCACAATAGCAAGAAATCTTCAATTGCACAGTATTGTGCAATAGCAAGAAATATCCAATAGCACAATATTGCGCAATAGCAAGAAATTGTCAATTGTACAGTATTGCGCAATAGCAAGAAATATTCAATTGCACAGTATTGTGCAAAAGAAGATACTTCGTATAAATTGCTTATTTCTTGACCAAGTTCAATGGGGTTTTATTCTTGAATTCTTGGGGTTCTTTAATATGCTGATTCTAACCGTGTATTAAGTTTTTGGATTTTGGGCCCCGTTTTTAAATTGGTCAACATTGAGGTCCAAAGGGTCCAAAATTAAACTTTGTTTGATTTCATCAAAAATTGAATTATTGGGGTTCTTTGATATGCCGAATCTAACCGTGTATTTAGATTCTTAATTTTTGGTTCTGTTTTCAAATTGGTCTACATTAAGGTCCAAAGGGTCCAAAATTAAACTTAGTTTGATTTTAACAAAAATTGAATTCTTAGGGTTCTTTGATATGCTGAATCTAAACATGTATTTAGATTTTTTATTATGGGCCCAGTTTTCAAGTTGGTCCAAATCGGGGTCCAAAATTAACATTTGTTTGATTTCAACAAAAATTGAATATATGGGGTTCTTTGATATGCTGAATCTAACCATGAATTTAGAATTTTTATTTGTGGGCCCCGCTATCAACTTTGTCCACATTGAGGTCAAAAGGGTCCAAAATTAAACTTTGTTTGATTTCATCAAAAATTGAATTCTTGGGGTTCTTTGATATGCTGAATCTAACCATGTATTTAGATTTTGGATATTGGACCATAATAGTTGAATGTCCAATTTAAAATTTTTAAGTTCTTAGACCACATTCATTCTGTGTCAGAAACCTATGCTGTGTCAAATATTTAATCACAATCCAAATTCAGAGCTGTATCAAGCTTGAATGTTGTGTCCATACTTGCCCCAACTGTTCAGGGTTCGACCTCTGCGGTCGTATCAAGCTGCGCCCTGCGGAGCATTTTATTGGTTATTATCTTCAATATTATTAAAGATAAAGATAAACTGTAAACAGCAAAAATGTTCAGCAGAGTAAGATCTACAAATAAGGTTAATGACCAAAATTGTCAATTGACCTCGTAAGGAGTTATTGCCTTTTAAGGACAATTTTACACAATTTGTTTATCATATTTTCTCACTTTAAAAAATCTTCTCCTCTGAAACTAGTGAATCAAATTAAACCAAACTTAAGCTGAATGATTCTTAGGTTATCTAGAATAAAGTTTGTGTTTTATTTTCTGTTTCCTCATAAAACATGGCCGCCATGTCTAAAAATAGAACATAGGATAAAATGAAGTTTTTGACTTATATTTCAAAAACTAAAGTTTTTTCTAACTTTAAAAATCTTCTCCTCTGAAACTACTGAACCAACTCCAACTAAACTTAAGCTGTATGATACTTAGGGTATCTAGAATAAAGTTTATGTTATATTTTCTGTTTCATCAAAAAACGTGGCCGCCATGGCTAAAAATAGTACATAGGGGTAAAATGCAGTTTTTGCCTTATATCTCGAAAACAAAAGCATTGAGAGCAAATCTGACATGGGGATAAAAATGTTCATTAGGTCAAGTTCTATCAGCCCTGAAATTTTCAGATGAATCTTACAACCCATTGGTGGCTTGCTTCCACTAAATTGGTAATTTTAAGGAAATTTTGCAGAGTTATGTTATTATCTTGAATATTATCATAGATGAAGATAAACTGTAAACAGCAAAAATGTTCAGCAAAGTAAGATCAACAAATAAGTTTTATATGACCAAAATTGTCAATTGACCCCTTAAAGAGTTATTGCCCTTTAAGGACAATTTTACACAATTTGTTAATCATATTTTTTAACTTTAAAAAATCTTCTCCTCTGAAACAACTGAACCAAATTAAACCAAACTTAAGCTGAATGATTCTTAGGTTATCTAGAATAAAGTTTGTGTTTTATTTTCTGTTTCCTCAGAAAACATGGCCGCCATGGCTAAAAATAGAACATAAGGTAAAATGTAGTTTTTGACTTATATCTCAAAAACTAAAGCATGAGAGCAAATCAGACAAGAAGTTAAAGTATTCATTAGGTCAAGGTCTACCTGCCCTGAAATTATCAGCCGAATCGGGTTTATTGCCCCTGAATTGATGATTTTAAGGAAATTTTGCAGTTTTCGGTTATTATCTTAAATATTATTATAGATAAAGATAAACTTCAAACAGCAAAAATGTTCAGCAAAGAAAGATCTACAAATAAGTTACATGACCAAAATTGTCAATTGACCCCTTAAGGAGTTATTGTCCTTTAAAGACAATTTTTCACAATTTGTTCATCTAGTTTGCTTACTTTAAAAAATCTTCTCCTTAGAAACTGCTGAATCAATTTCAGCCAAACTTGGGCTGAATGAGTTTCAGAGTATCTAGTATAAATTTTGTATTTTATTTCCTTGTACATCAAGAAACATAGGGGTAAAATGCATTTTTTTGCTTTCGAAGAAAATACGACAGATACAAAGAAATTTAAATGGCATTTTTAAGCCACTCATGAATATATATTGAAAAGCAAAAATTGATGAAAGATTTAAGCAAAAAATTACAGGTGAGCGATTTAGGCTCTTGAGAGCCTCTTGTTTACTCTAGTCTTTACTTTATTAGAATGATTGATTCTTGATGGCCAGTGCCTTTAATGACAGATTTTCAGGAGAATTTTTACAAGTCATTGTAAAAGAGACTATCAATTGACACCTTATGGCTAAGGTGCATAGCAAAAACAACTACTAAATAATTAACATCATTGAATCAATAATAAGTGAAGATAAATTAATTATCATCCCACATCATTACTTATACACTAAGTGGCTGAGTCTTGCTTCAACAGATATCAATTAAGCAATAAATTACGTAAATAACTTACACATGTGTATAATTATAAACAACAAAACATTCATACGTTGCCTGTACTTTGCATACCATAATAACTTGATCATAAACAAATAATTTATCTTTATAAACAACATTTACAAACTTGTAACTTGTTTAAAACCTAATCATTTACAGGAAGAGATTAAAACTTTCAAGATTGTGACAAAAGTAATTTTAATTTTTTATTATTTAACAAGAGTGATATTATGAAGGATTGGTATCAAAAAGCTTTGAAACATCAACAGGAAGCTTACAGATACATTTAGTTAAAACTAGTTTAATAAAGTGTTTCCTAAGCCTACTGTTATTTTCCCTTTTTAAGAGTTATAGTATCAACAAGGATATTTTTGTCCCTTAACTAGTCCACAATTACAAGCTTCTTTATTTTCCTTCCCACTCTCTATAGCTATACTTTATTAATAGAAATCTGGTCATGTTGTTGTAGCATATAATTTACTGCAAAATCAAATTGACCAAAACAACAATGATAAATCATGTTGTTTTATTTTTGGCTTTGGTTAGTTCTATTTTTTTAAATTGACATTTTGAAATATTTTAATGTCATCCAATTTAATGGGTCTTATTAATCAACATGTTTTACGAAGTCATGAGTGAACATCATGCTAAGCCAGCTGTTTACAATATTCTTTTCAGATATTATCAATATTACTAATTGTTTTTTTATAACCTATATTATACATCAATACTGATTGTTTGACAGAAAGCTATTTGCTATTTAGATTTTTTTTCATTTAGGAATTCATTGATCACATATTCTTGGTCAACTTTTGAAAATAATAATTATTATCACTGATGATAAGTACATCTACTATCTCTTGATCAAATGACAAATTTTCAGCTATGCATTAAATACAAATATGAAATAACTCCTAAGTATCATTCTACTACTAACAATGAAATTGATTCTTAAAGTGGTTTCCTATTTTCTGAATTGTAACAATGTTACATCTAGCCAAACCTTTTGGTTTTTATTGGGATCATATGCAAGATTTAACATGCTGATCAGGCTGCTTTCGAAAAAAAAAAAACAGGTACAAAAGATCACATAATGACATTGAAGCCAATATTATAGGTTGTATTGTCACTGTTTTATCAGAGAATAAAATGACAGTGATGTTCAGCTACCCAGTACTTTAAAAAGCATGTTTACAGAAAATAAAGTTGCAATAAATTCTATTGACAAACATTTTTAATGAGTATAGCTATTTGGATAGACTGATTTTTCTCTTTATATTGTTCTGGTATTTTGTGAAATCTTCAGAATTTGTAAATAATGGACTTTTATTAACATATTGATCTTTCCTTTTAATAACCTTTTTCATATCTATTTAATATTGGACTTGTTTAACTTTGATGACGCAAATGTAATGACACATACTGGATCCTTTCATTTATACAACAGCAGGTTAAGAATAGAAAAAAACATTAATCAATATGTATAGACAATTTCTGATTTATTTATTATTTATTTTGTAGATGTACAAAGAATGGATCAGGTGATACCAGCAGTCAGAGCATTGAAGTTATTGGCCAGCTGAAATAATGAAACTGTCAGCATAGGGAGGGTCTAGAACAAGTTACTACTGCAGTTAAATCATTGAAATTGTGTGCTGGCTGATGTATCATAACTTTGTTATCATGGGGAAGGTCTGAAATGATCGAGTTCTGATTGCAGTCACATATATCAAAGACATGATCTCCACTGAAAGTTTTGATTGCAGTTAGAACAAGACAGTTTTTGACCAGTTTTGATATAAGACATCATGGGAAAGGGGGTACATGGAAAAGAAGTTTTGGAAGTCATAGTATTGGAGTGGCTAGTAACTTGAAAAGTTAGGGAAGGAATTTTACGAAAGTTCTGCAACATATGTATGTGTATTTATAAAAAGTAATTCAGGTCATTTTAATAGCACAAAAGAAAAGTTTCATTCTTTGATAAAACTAAGTTGCTACTAAAATAGGCAGCATTAAATCAGATTTTAGCCAATGAATCCAACGTTAAACATTATTTGTTATTAGGGACAATTTGTTTATTATAGATATTTATAATATGTAATTGTTTTTGTATGAATGGTGCTTATTTTCCAATTTCTCATCTTCAAATTTAAAATAAATTGGAAATCCTTGTATATTTTTTTTTATTTCAGTACCTGTTTGAAAAATATGAATTATAATGGTTTAGTTTTCCAAAAATGGTCCACATCTCAAAGGCTTGTATTTGAAGAATTCTTTGTATTTGCTAAAATACAAATGTAATGTACATACATTATTTAGTTTTTTTAATACATTAACTTCGAAATTCTAAAGTGACTAGTGGTGAAATTTCATTGAAAAAGAGCAAGATATTATTATTGCCTATAATCAGAAAGTTTTTCTCATTTTTTGGAGTGAGATTGTAAAATTTTAGTTTTAAAATGTATAATTAACAGTGTTGAGTCTAACTTCAACTAATGTTTCAAAGTATTGACCTCTGTTTATAGAAATCATCAAAAACTCAACCATCATAGATAGATGATTCAGTTATATCTGTTGTTCCTTAAATACTGTTTATTTCTTTATTTCATGATATTAATCATCATTAATTCTATACCTTTGTCAGTGGTTTTTTTATATATGATTTTTTTTAAAATTAAACAACAAGGGGTACAAAATATATATATATGTGTTATTTATAATTACTTGTGTTGTTTTGAAAACTTAACACAATAGATAAATGCATAAATGAATATAATGTGTCTTTTGTTGTATTTCCTTTTTATACGACCGCAGGTCATATATTGGTTTGACGTTGGCGTCGTCGTCCGAAGACACATTGGTTTTCGCACAACAACTTAAGTTGAAGTGAATTGATCTCTATGAAATTTTACCATAAGTTTCAATACCACAAAAGGAAGGTTGAGATTGATTTTTGGGGTTATGGTACCAACAGTTAAGGAATTAGGAGCCAAAAAGGGGCCAAAAATAAGCATTTTTCTAGTTTCCAGACAATAACTTGTGGAACGGTGTATGGATCTCTCTGAAATTATACCACAAGTTTCCATACCACAAAGGGATGGTTAGGATTTGCTTTGGGGGGTTATGGCTCAAACCGTTTAGGAATTAGGGCCAAAAAAGGGAAAAACAAGGGTGTCCTGGTTAATGGACAAATACTTTAGTACAAAACATAATTTAAAGCAGTGTAAGGGAGGTAATTCAAATACATCATTTGAATTACCTCCCTTACACTGCTTTTAAATTATGTATAAAGTAATGGTTAATGAACAATTAACACAATGTAAAAGCAGTGTAAGGGAGGTAATCCAAATACAACATTTTGATTACCTCCCTTACACTGCTTTTAAATTATGTTTAAAGAAATGCAAAATAATATAGGAAGACCAGTAAAAATATCTGCAAATGTTGCATCTTTTTTTTTTACAAAAAAATTCATATGAAAGATTTGGCACCATATTTTAAATTTTATTATAAAATAAGTTAGCACTATGGTAAATTTAAATGGGTAATTATGGTTGCAAACTACAATGGGAAATTTGAATTGAGATTATGACCATATCTTGAGGGAAAGAATTTTTTTTGGCGAAAAAGGGGGGGGGGGGGGGTAAAAAGAAATTGTGGGGGGTCAATTTTTTCTCATTTTTGCCCCAACTGTTCAGGGTGGAACCTTTGCGGTCGTATCCAGTTGCACTCAGCAAAGCAATTTATTATAATTTTTTTTTTAATTTTGAAATTCATACTTTTTGTCTCACATTACCCATAAGATTTACATTAAACAGCCAATGAAGGTAAAGATTGATGATGGGGCATAGTGGTCTAGGTCACACAAACATTCATGTTTTGACTGAATTGCAGTTTATGTCAGCCACAGGAACATGCCAATACTCTCTTTATGTACAAAGCTAGACTGAAAAGAATACCATTAAAAAGTATAAGTTAGCTGCAAAGATAAAACAATACAAGACATAGAGATAACAATCCAACAGAGGAGATGGCAATATAGTACACTATTTGTGTAAAGCTTTATAAGAAGGAAGAGACTTCTTAGAGAACTTCTATGCTTCATACCTTGTATGCAGATACCTTATGTTACAAAGTTTCCTACTATCATATGTCCATTGTCCTTGACCTCATTTTCATGGTTCAAAGAAAAGAATTTATAGTTTTTTTTGTCATACCTTACCTTTTTAAAATATCGGAAATTAGATAATGTAGCTTTAGCAGTTAAAGCAACACTTCCAGAATGGAAATGAGCGGCAGATCTAGGTCTATCTAAATTTAAAATTACCAGAAAATTTGGACAACCAATTTTCAAGTTATTGGACCAAAGATAAATTTATTTTTTTTTAGAAATTGCATCATTATTTTTCTTTCTTGGAAACTATTATTGAAATTTTTAGAAATGAAAATGACCAAAAACAAAAACATCAACAGAAAGTCAACATAGCTGAATACGTCTATTGGTCCTTTTTTATGGGAGTTAATAAGAAATGAAAATGACCGGAAACAATAAGATCTACAAAAAGTCATCATAACTGAATAAGTAAATTTTTTGCTTCTATTTATCAGCAGCATTTCTTCATTTTCCATCATTAAGATCCCTGAACCAAAAGCTAGCACACCAAAAAACATTTAAAAACTTAGGTCATTATGTAACCAAGAATAAGATGTTTAAAGAATATCTAATATCACATACATGCATGATATTTGCCAGTAGGAGTTGCAACCATGATATTGTACAATCTACAAAATACATAACGCATTCTTCTAAACTTTAAGATTCTTCATCTTACATTCAACTTTCAGTTAATTTTTGTATCGCTGCAAGAAAGACGTAGAATACGAGACATAGTGTTACAATCCGACAGCGGTGATGGCGAGGAAGTTAACTATTTGTATGAAGCTTTATATTTCAGAAGGTAGACCACTTGTATGCAGATACGAAGTTTCCGACTGTCATATGTCCATTGTCCTTGACCTTATTTTCACGGTTCAGGAACTGCTTGAAAAGAATTGTAATTTTTATGCCCCCACTGTAGCTTTGGGGGCATTAAGTTTTACCCTTGTCCGTCTGTACGTACGTACGTTCGTACGAACGTATGTTCCAAAATTGGTTTCTGTTCTCTAACTTTAGTTTGCCTCAACCAAATGTTATGAAACTTATACACAATGCTTATTACTACATAATACAGATTAAGTACGAAATTTGGTTTCGACACTTTTACCATTTTTGAGTTATGTCCCTTTATATACATAAAAATTGCTGAGTTTTTCGTTTCCGTTCTCTAACTTTAGTTTGTCTCAACCAAATGTTATAAAACTTATACACAACCGTTCTAGAGTTATGTGTGTTTACAAATAGAAAAATTGCTGAATTTTTAGTTTCTGTTCTCTACTTAAGTTAGCCTCAACCAAATGTTATGAGACTTACACACAATGCTTATTACTACAAAACTCAGATCAAGTTCAAATTTGGGTAGCGTCACTTTTACTGTTCTTCAGTTATGTCCCTTTATAACTATATGATATGCAAGCGGGGGCATCTTCTGTGTCCACATGTGGACACTATCCGCATTTATTTGTTCATGTGAAATACTCACTTATGATTTATAGGATAACTATAATGGGTTTATAGGATCCTTGAAATGTCTACAGATCTGTCAGATAGGGTTCATCTGACCTCGAAGTCATTTCGTTGATCAGTGATCAAGGTTAAGTTTTCTTGGTCAAGTCCTTATCCAAGATACTATTAGCAATAAGTCAACTATATTTGGTGATTGGAATAATTGTAAGAGGTACATGTCCAGGAGACAGGTTTCATCTGACCTTGACATTTATTCCATGGTTCATTGGACAATGTTTAGCTTTTGTGGTTTGGGCTATTTCTCAGATTCTATTTCAATGGTCAGTGTTACGTTTTAATAGTTTTGTCAGTTTATCCAATAATATAGGCAATAGGTCAACTATATTTGGTGTATTGAATGATTGTAAGGTTTACATGTCTGTCTGGCAGACTTCGTCTGACCTTATCCTTATTATTTACATTCAATTAGATTTTTTTTTAAATAAGCAGGCCAGATATTTCAGTGTGTGTACTCTTAGTTTTTAATCTGAGCATCATGTATGCATCTACTGTTATTCTTTTATTAATCATCTAGAAATCTACACAAAGACTACACTTGAACATTGATCATGAAAGCTCACTAGGAAGTTGAATATTATTACTATGATTCCAAAAAATCAGAATTAATGTTTCCATTTCTAGCTTACCTGGCCCAACGTCCAAATACCTAACCTTTTTAAAATCTCGGACACTAAATAATGTAGTTTTAAAACTGTATTTGGGGATTTGATCCATCAACAAACATGACAGCTGTTGCAAAATATAGAACAAGGGTACAACTGCAATGAATGGAGTATATCTCAAAAACTAAAGCAGTTAAAGCAACAGAACAGAAATAATCAGCAGATCTAGGTCTATCTACTAATAAATGACCAGAAAATTTGGACACCCAATTTTCGACTTACTGGCCCAAAAATGACTTTTTTTTATAGAAAATTGCATTGTTTTTTTTAAGAAAGAAAAAAATTAAGAAATTGTAAGAAATGAAAATGACCAAAAACATTAACATCTACAGAAAGTCATCATGGCTGAATACGTCCATTGGTCCCTCATAAGAGTATTTAAGAAATGAAAATGACCGGAAACAATAAGATCTACAATAAGTCATCATGGCTGAATACGTCAATTTTTTACTTCTATTCATAAGCAGCATTTCTTCATTTTCCATCATTTAGATCCCTGAACCAAAAGGTGGCACACCAAAAAAACTTAGGACATAATGTAGCCAAGAATAAGATGTTTAAAGAATATCTAATATCACGTATGGTATTTGCCAGTAGGTGTTGCAACCATGGTATTGTAAAATCTACAAGATGTAAAACGTATTCAAATTTCAGTTCATTTTGGTGTCGCTGCGATGAAAGACGTAGAATACGAGACATAGTGTTACAATCCGACAGCGGCGATGGTGATTAAGTTAACTATTTGTATAAAGCTTTATATTTCAGAAGGTAGACGACTTGTATGCTGATACGAAGTTTCCGACTGTCATATGTCCATTGTTCTTGACCTCAATTTCATGGTTCAGGGACTCCTTGAAAAGAATTTGTAGGTTTTTTTCATGTGAAATACTCACTTATTATGATTTATAGAATAACGATCAAGTCATTATCCAAGATACTAATAGCAATAAGTCAACTATATTTGGTGTTTGGAATAATTGTAAAAGGTTATGTCCGAAGGGCAGGTTTCATCTGACCTTGACTTATATTTCATGGTTCATTGGACAATGTTTGGTTTTGTGGTTTTTGTTGGAAGATTGAGTCGTTTTTTGTTTTCTTGGTAACTATTTTAGAAAAGAGAGAAACTTTAAGAAATGAAAATGACAAGAAACAATAAGATCTACAATAAGTCATCATGGCTGAATACGTCCATTGGTCCTTTATAGTAGTGTTTGCCGTTGGATGATAATGTATTTTAATAACTACAGTACACAGAGAGGAATTGTAAAAAGCAAATAGTTTCCACAGATCCTGTGGAAACGAACCCTCTTTTTTTCTTAATAATATTTTTGTCTTTAGTAATGTATAATGTTATTTTCTTTTGGTCGTTTTTCTTTTCTTGCCATGACATTGTCAGTTTGTTTTCGACTTATGAGTTTGAATATCCCTTTGATACCTTTCGCCTCTCTTTTATAGGAGGTATGGTTCGTTAGTGATTTTACATCCTTCCTTTTTTGCATTATGTGCAAAAACCAAAGTAGATCTAGAGCACCTTGATGATATGATATTAGCACCATACACATCATTCATAGGAAATAATGTCAATACATCTAATCCTGTGATTTAGATTAAGCAATGGAAATGCGCAATAACAAATGTACCAATTTTGACTTTCAGTTCTTATCCAACAATATGTGACCCGATAGCGACAGGCATCGATCAGGGCTCAAATATCCATAGTGTTATTTAAGTAAAATCTGGATTCTGATCATTCATATATAATTTCTTCTCTCCATCTTGGCGTGTTCCCAATGTTACAACTCATTCAAGCAAATGAACCAAGGGTTGGGTGCCGCTCACAAACATGTTAAACCCCACCCCATTTTGTATGTGCCTGTCCCAAATCAGGAGCTTGTATAGTTCAATGGCTGTCGTTGGTTCATATGTCTGTCCTATTGTTTTTCGTAAATTGTTTTGTTATAAATTAGGCCGTTAGTTATCTCAATTGAATTGTTTCATATTGTGCATGCCGGGGCCTTTTATAGTCGACTTTTATACGATATGGGTTTTTCTCATTGCTGAAGGCCGTACCGTTTCCTATAATTCCTTACATCCACTTCATTTGAACTTGTTGGATAGTTGTCTCATTGTCAATTATAAAACATCTCCTTATTTTTATACAAATCATTTAGGAAACCAATCAGACCTGACTGTTGTTAAGTAATACTTTAAAGATGGCTTGTGCATCGACTGAAAATAATAGCTTTGCAACGTGATGCGAAGCAACAAGCTAGAGAATGGTTTCTTAGTCATTTTCGCCTATTTGTTTTATCCATTTCATGAATTTCTGAGTGATCCATTATAATTATCTGATGTCAAATACTCTTCTTGGCTGTAATAATCTCTGCAGAGACGCAAGAGACTTTCAATTTTCACTTGACAATAAACGCATGCACTCGGACAGTTGTACAGGTAGTCTGCCTATGGAAATGAAAAAGTCCAACCATGCATACTACAACCGCTGTGCCAATTCATTACTTGTAGAGTTTCAAGTAGTGAAGTTGAAATCATCTCTTCGAAAATGTTGCGGATGCCATCACGAGTTAGTTGATCGTTAGGGAATATCTGTTTCACAGATGACGACGGATAATTATGTTCTAATTGTCGTAACCAGAATCCGTACTCTTTTCCTCGAATGTGACAGATCGAATAAGACAGGTCACCGAGTGTGTACTCACATTTATATAAGCAATAAGACGGGTTAACTTCTGTTTTAGTGTAATTAAATCAAATGGTTAGGCGGAACAAAAGTACGTTGACAAGTTTACTGTTAGACATCCTGTTAACTCGATAGAAATGACTTTTTTTGGCAACTAAAATAATTTATGTTGGTTACCCGTTAAGATTCAATTGACTTTGTGTAGATTTTAAAAGGAGTGTATATTAAGTATAGGTGGTTCTGGTTCATTTAAATTCTTTATGAGGGTGTTGATAGGGTTTACAGAATAGAGAATAATAGGCCAAAACATTTGAAGACTAGCTAGAGAATTATGGGGTGTTACAGCTCTTTTCATAATGCTAGCCAGACAAAGGTTTGTTTGGCTTGCTTGCTTTGTTTGTATCAATGTTTGCTCAAGCATTGTAATTAAGATTGACATCTGAAAACAACATAAAAAGGCGGATTTAAACTTGTATACATTATATTTAAATTTGATTGGACATTATCAAATAATAAAATATACCTATACACAGGTTTAACTCCGCCTACTTATATTGTTTGCAAATGTCAATCTTAATTACAATGCTTGAGCAAACATTTATACAAACAAAGCAAGCAAGTCAACAAACCTTTGTTTTGCTAGCATTATGAAAAGAGCTGTAAAATATAATTATCGCAACTAGTTTTGTATATCATAGTTCTTCTCAATGTTTAATTTACGAAATATACGAAGTTTTGACAATTAGATTAATGTCATTTTTTAAAATCAATTACTTTAAAGAAGAGGCGAAAGGTACCAAAGAGACACTCAAACTCAGAAGTCGAAAATAAACTGACAACGCCATGGCTAAAAAAGGAAAAAAGACAAACCGACAAACAACAGCTAGTACATGAAACACAACATATTTCAACATACAATAGCCTGTATGACTTTATATCAATATTTTTGGTGTATTATATGAATGTCATGTAAAATACTGTATGTTGTAACGATTAAATTTGTTACATGTGTAACAGTATGCCCCCCCCCCCCCCCTGGGGACCTAATTTGGAAAATAAAATATCTTATCTTATCTTATAGAAAACTAGACTGAGCAACACGAACCTCACCAAAAACTGGGGGTGATCTCAGGTGCACTTATAACTTTGAGCAAAATACCTGACCAGGTCCTGTTATGAATCTATTTACCTGTTTTAATTACTTTATTTTCACAGATATTGTAATACCTCCGTAAACAAATTCGTCTGATCAACCGTCTGTTTGTCCATCAAAAATTTTAAACCGACAATACTGAATTTTAATCTGCTGTCGAGCAACATCTAACATGCATCATATGCGGCGGTATTAGAATAGTCCCGCTAAGCAAACAGCTCTGAATTTGACAATATGTGCATGACTATGAAATTAGTTCAGGTCAGAGTTTGTATTCTGCAATTACAGAGATAAACTGCAAAATACTCAACTAAATTCAAGATATGAAGATTTCCTATTTATGACGGTTTTTATAGAACACATGCAAATTTGATGAGTCACCTTGTCAATCTTTAAAAAAATGGGGAAACTCTTTTAAGAAAGTGGAGGGCAATGTTGGCTGAATTCGCTATTATCAGTATATAAAGTAAGTATATAGCTGTTCGTTTATTCAAGGTCTTTTTGTCTTATGTTGTTACATCATTCACAGCCGTGAGCTATTAAATTAATCAACGTCAAAAGTATTTGTTTAGAAGTTTGTTTATTCTGGTTCGAACCAGATATTGTAGAAGCCGATCACAAGTGAAGCTCGTTCTTTTCGGCGCAATACACATGCACATTATTTCAAATCAAATTATTCTGATTGGATAGTAAACAAAAATACCTGGTAACTGATGTTATAACGCAATAAATATAGTGCCTTAAATTACTATATATCATAAAAGATAAATCATAATGGATAAAAAAAAAACGGTTAGTTAATAGAAATGATAATAACAAAACATATTCTATTCAAATTCGATCCCCTTCCATCCAAATAACTAAAATATTCCACAAAACATGATGTGAAATCAAGCGTTAACCGGTTTCCTTATAAGGTTAATAGAAAGTAGTGCCAACCTACGTCAACCTATTATCCCACAGACATTGTCATAGAGAATGGCGGACCTCAAAGAGAACAACATGTCGTTAGGAAAAAAAATATATGAAGACATTGTAATAGTGGTTTCAGACCAGAAAAACGACAAAAAAGAAGTTCTAGGGGAGGTAAGTAAACTTTTTTCATTCATCAACACAATTATATTTATTGTTTTAAATGAATTGTGTGATTTTATTGTTCAATGTCAAATGTGCTAAAACCACGTGCTCTACTCAATTTAAAGGTGGTGAGAATCCAAGCTGTGACGGACTGCCAAAATGTGGTAAATCCGATGACAGATGATCCTTACGAATGTGAACCTCTGGTCCACGGTGTCAGAATCAAGGAAAAGAGTCAGGGTTACCCAGACGACGGGTCAGATGATGCCCGTGTTGGCGTTTGCGTTAATAGTAATGGTGGGTAAAAACGTCGACGCCTGGGAACATTTTAATACTGTATTGTTTTTCAATACGTGCAATTTGGTTGATTTTGGGAAAAACCTCTTCCCAATCCCAGATTGCATATATCCAACTAATTTCTGAAGTATGGAGTTGTGGCCGCCTTTTTTATTGGACTAAATTACAATTTCTTTTTAGAGGGCTCTCGGAACAAACTTTTTTAAGTGTTTATTAAAATAAATTGAATTACATGTTTTTAAAGCATGAATGATCAGTGCCTTAGTACAGTACTGACCAAAATTGATTAAAAAACGTCATTGCACTGGCATCTGTTAATTATGATTTCCATTAAATGATCAAACAAATTCTTGTATAAAAGATTTATAATATGCTTTCCTCCATACTATTAGATATTGGAAAATAATATTTATAGATGTGCATATTGATTTAATAGACCTTGTCAATTAATGTAGTCTTGTAGATCGATATAGTTGAACAACTTCCTGCATCTTGAAAAAGTGACCTCTCAGTTTTTGATATACCATAAACCATTGAGGAAATATTTCCTGATAACAAGGATTTAAATAACTGATAAAAATCCTGCTGATTCTGATGATATAAATCCAAGTTATGCTTTATTGAAAAAAAACATTTGATGTCATCTCAATATGCTAGAAGTTTTATACAAGGTAGCATAACAGAGGTGGATCCAGCATCTTTAGGGGATAATTCCAGAAAAAAGATTCAAGCCTGATTTTCACTGGTTATATGTGATCAGTTTAGAAAAGAAATCCTTTGAATGGTCATATTTTTATTACCCCCTGTTGGATCCACCTTACTTTGATTAATTTGAATTCTATTTGCAGGGAAATGGCAGTAAGTATGATATTCCAACTTTTGCCTTCTTATTGTAAAATATCTTGTCCAACTGGTTCAGCTACCAGTATTCTATTGATATTTTAAAAATATTGATAACAAATTCTTGAACATTCCAGTCAGATATTGGTGTTGATAAAGGGAAAATCTTACTAAAATACTTAAGATTAGATGGTGAATTGGTAAAACATTTTTCAGTTTCATCTGAACTTCTACATGTATGCCAAAATTATAAAAACTTCTTATTGTCTGTTCTGGTTTGATGGTGTTGGAGGGATGTTGTCTCGTTGACAATAACCCATGTCCATGAATGAATATTGACACTGTCAAATTCAGATTCTTTTATTTAACTGATTGACATATGTTCCCACTTGTATTTTTCAGGAACCAGATTTAAACATGCCTTACAAACCACTGGGAAAGTTTTACTGGTACTTGGGTTCCTGTATTTCTTTATATGCTCACTGGGACTTCTGGGTGCAGCATTCCAGTTGCTTGGTGGAAAAACTGCAGGTACTTTATATTCAAAACATTAAAAGTATTTTTGTAAGCATTTCCAACTGAATGATTGGGCAGCTTAATGTTGCCAGGATCAGATATTAGAGAATGTTTAAATTGCTTATTAGAGTGGAGTGCCTAGTTACTGTAATCTGATATATTTTTTGAAACCAAGAAGTTAAAAAAAAAGCTTTGTATTTTGAAATTAAGACTTGAATCTCAGGCCGCCGCAATAAATAAAAATTAAAGTTATTACTCCAGTTTCATTTAGGTTTTCATCAAACTCATGATTGCGTTTATCTTTTTAGGAAAGGTGTTTGAACAATCAGAACTGCTTAGTAACCCTGTTGCCGGGTTAATGATTGGTATCTTGGCAACTGTTTTGGTTCAGAGTTCAAGTACATCCACCAGTATAATAGTTACTATGGTAGCATCAGGAAGTAAGTAAATACAACAGTCAAGTTTAAGGTTGCAGACAATAAATTTCGTACTCTCCTTCCTGGAAAAAAACACTTAACTAAGATATAGTGAATTAACCTGAAGGATTGAACTAGAACTTGAAAATAATAAAATAGAATGTAAAGATGGAATACAACAATAACAAGTTTCCTGCCAAATGACTACTTTAATATGTATATGTATTTAGTTTAGAAAATAAAGGTGTTTGCGAGCAATATTTTTAATGTATTTGCAAAAGGCTGTTGCATATCCAATGTACCTTGTTTCATGTTGTTATTGCAAAATAAAACACAAATGGTGAAAAAATGTTTTACTTCAATATAAATAATCTGTTTCAATGACAATGTAATGTACATGATTACCTATTATTTCAGTTATTGGTGTGAGACCAGCCATACCAATGATCATGGGAGCAAATATTGGTACCAGTGTAACCAACACAGTAGTATCCATGGCTCAAGTTGGTGACCGGAACCAGTTCAGAAGAGCTTTCTCTGCAGCTACAGTTCATGATATGTTTAACTGGCTGTCCGTTATCATTTTACTGCCATTAGAGTGTGCTACAGGTAAACCATTACTTAATATATATGTGTAATTAATAGGTACTTTATATACATGTGTAATTAATAGGTATCATTTCAGAAGCTCTTGCTGATAAATGAACAAGACATTATCTTTGCAAAAAGTAAAGTAACAAAATTACCGAACTCCAAGGAATATTCAAAACAGAAAGTCCTTTATCAAATGGCAAAATTAAAAGCTCAAACACATAAAACGAATGGAAAACAACTGTCATATTGTTGACTTGGTACAGGCATTTCCTTATGAAGAAAATGGTGGATTAAACCTGGTTTTATAGCTAGCTAAACCTCTCTCAACATAGTTCCAATCCCAATTTTTTGCAATAATAAAATTTCACAGACATTTCTGAATTAAGTTATTCTCTGACATTATTTACTTCATTTAATAGATTGTTTAAAAAAAAATCTGATGTTGAACTAATAAAAAAATATTGTTAATAACTCTTATTTTAATCAGTTATTTTATTTTGTAGGATATTTAGAGAAACTGACTGGTGAGTTGACAAAATCTTTTAAAGGAAGTAGTTTTAAAGGAGGAAAACAGGATTTCCTGAAAGTTATCACTAAACCACTCACTAAACTGATTATTGAGGTAAGTTCTCTTATGTGAGCACGCAAAGTTTTATCAGGAAATCACAAAGCTATAATAAATAATTATCTCTGTAGAAAAAAATTGCTCATGTATAATATTATATTTATTTTAACAACCCAGGAGAAAAGTAGCATCATTCATTCCTCTGTACTTAAATTATGGCAATCTCTACATGAAATCAGAAATATAAAAAGTATGTTGTAAGATATCTACATCGATCAAAGTTGCTGTTGAAAAAAATTGTTTTTATTGGATTTTGTTTGCTCTTTTTAGCTGGACAAGAAAATATTGAAGAAAATTGCTGTTGGCGACAAAAATTATGAAGATAAAAGCTTGATAAAGGTAATTAAGAAAATTGTGGTCAAAGTATTCAGTTTGTTTGTAGCTGGAATCCTACATGCTTCCATTTCGTCTGTTTAATTTACTTTAATAGAGATTTTTAGCTTAGCAATGGCTGAAGCTTTAAAAAAAATGATTCTGAGGCCATAAAAAAGAATATGTTTGCCCTAACCCTACCTACCCAGAAATTAGCTGCCTACTCAAAATCTTTTTTTTTAATCAGATAGGCATGATATAATAAACAATTGACACTTCAATTTCTCTTTGCCAAAAAGAAAAAAGAAAATGCCTGCCTACCTACATGTACCCACTGTCTCTACCTTCGAGTAGGGTTTGGGCAAACCAAAATATTTTTAAGTGTGGCCTGAGCTTGTTGCATTAGAACATGAACCATATGAGATGGAGAAAATAAGAAAGGAATTCACTAGGACAATGAAATACACTTTAAAAAAGCATAATCCTGTGCTAATAAACTGCAGATATTTTTTTTTAATATGAATCATATATTTGGATGTATACACTTTGTGTACATTAACACATGTCTTCACCAAGTTCTTCACTAATGTCTAAAACACCCTTTTGAGTTTGTGGATAAAATTTTCACTTGAAAATCATTTTGTTCTTTTTGTTTCAGAGGTTCTGTGTCAAAGAAGCAGATAAGGGTGTTTGGAAATCCAATATGACTGCCACTGTTACCACACTCAATTCAACAATGAATGTTACTGAACCGGGAGGTCCCGGATGTAAGTTGCATTGAAATAGAATAGTGAAAAGGAGAAAAACAATTTTAAAAAAATGATAAAAAGACTTAATGAACTGTGTAAGCTTTCTTATTCAGTCCTAGAACTGTCAGTGTGACTTGTGAACATACAATATTTGTTTGTGTCCGATCTTGATGTTGGTTGGATCACTCAAAACATAATTTTATTCTAAAAATGTCCCCAATATCTCAACAGGAAGGTCAAGTCTCCTACTTGTATACAAATATCCAGAATATTTAAGCATTTACTTCACTGCCAATATAAGTGAAAATGGTACTATTTATATTACACAAATTAAGTTTAACAGGAATTCTCCCACTTACAAGGGGAGATCACTCATGTTGGAGGTTTGAAAAGATGACATCCATGATACATTGTGATACATTGTACAAGGATTACTGAATTTTTTTCTAACTTTATAAAAGGCAGTCTAGTAAGATGTGCAATGTCACCGGGTGTGACAAAATTACTGGTAATCTAATAAGAACAAAATTCAATCATATCTACTTTATAAATGTATAACAATATTTGTTTGTTATTCCAGGTGCATCCTTATTCAGCATTCTGGACTTAAATGATACAGTGTCTGGTGTAATCTTGCTGATTTTCTCCCTTGTTGTGCTTTGCTGTTGTTTAGTGGGCATGGTAAAGGTACTTAACTCTATGATGAAGGGACCAATAGCCAAAGCTTTAAAGAACATAGTAAATGCAGATTTCCCAGGATGCTTTAAGTTTTTAACAGGATATGTAGCCATGTTGGTTGGGGCAATATTAACTGTTTTAGTTCAGAGTTCATCTGTATTTACATCAACACTGACTCCGTTGGTAGGACTTGGATTAATTAAAGTTGATCGAATGTACCCTCTGACTTTGGGATCAAATATAGGTACAACCATGACATCGGTGTTAGCAGCATTTGCAGCATCTGAAAATAAACTGGATGTAGCACTCCAGATAGCACTTTGTCATTTCTTCTTCAACATTTCTGGAATTTTGATCTTTTATCCAGTTCCTGTAATGAGAAGAGTACCAATTAGAGCTGCCAAGTTTTTGGGAAAAATAACCTCCGAGTACAGATGGTTTGCGGGATTGTACATTGTATTGTCTTTCTTGGTGTTGCCTGTAATGGTATTTGGATTGAGCATGGCTGGACAAATTCCGTTTATAGTTGTAGGATCCATTATAGTTTTCATTATCTTTAACGTAGTAGTGTTGAACGTGTTACAGAGGAAAAAACCAACCTGGTTACCTTCATCATTAAGGAATTGGGATTTCTTGCCAGAATTTTTGCATTCATTAAAACCATACAATAAAGTGTTCACTGCCTGTTCTATATGTTTCTGTACAAGTTGTCAGAAAAAGGACACAGTATATAATTCTCTGCCATTGACAGCTAGTGCTTCAAGTTCTCCTAATAGTAGCTCAAACAGTAGTAGATTTCCAAGCACAGCAAATTCAACAGTTGATCTTCTAATCAACCGTGTATGATGATACTTTTGATTTAGTAATGCACATACATGTATTTATTTATTGTCTGGTTCTTTTTTTTGTGTAATTATTTTATACATAATAAAAATTAAGTTAATGATGGAAAAAAAATACTATAAAATTGGACAAAACAATGAATAGAAAATAAAACAAGTTTTGTCTTGTCAGTATTTTATTATCGATTAGTCCTTCCGATATATTTATTTGCATAATTTTATTTTTAAAATAACTAAAGGATAATCATCAAATTTTAGTGCTATTATCTATATAAGTTAATGTGAATCTCATAATGAGACGGCAGCTATATTTATTTTTCTATTGATGAAATTAACATTATTTCAATTTATGATAGAATTAAGTATTACTGATTTTTTTGTTTAAATGTTTACTTATGTTGATACGAGTATTCTTGTTTTTATATTTCTGACCGGTTTGGCTATTTTGGAAAACAGATATGCTAAATCTATCCAAAACAATATAGTATCAGTACATTTGTACATTAACAATTTTTCTTTGGACTCAAACAGAAGCTATATTACAGGTAAATGAAATGTTTATATACATGTACATGTTCAGCATTTGAAAATTGCTCCAAATTGTGTTTACTTTGTCAGATTTTTTTTGATAAATATTAACCTACAGTAAAGTATAGAAGAACAAGCAACAAGCATATGTGTCCGATAGTTTGTTGTAAGAGCATTTTTTGTCTGTGTTGTTGGTGCTTTATACTATTTCATATATATATATACATTAGATCTCTTTGGGTATTCATCAAAGACTAATACATTGTACTAGTTTTCCAAAATTAGACTAAACTTTCAGTTATTGATTCAAACTTCAATTGTTTAGTATTTTAATTAACAGACGTAAGATTTCAAAAACTGGTCACTAGGTGATCATGATTGTTTAATACATGTATGTTACAATTGTAAATGAAATTGAGTGAAATTTCAAAAATGTGCCAGCTCTAAATGATCTGAAATCACACAAGTGTTCAATATGATAATTTCAAGACGGCTTTTCACTGAGTTTGATACTAAAGCAAAGATCAAGCTTTTGTTATTGTTCATGCTACCTTTTCAGTATATGCATTTTAAGTACAATCATTTTTTACTGCCAAATTCAGATTTATTTTAAACTTGTTCAACACATCAAGCATTTGAAGAAAAAAGACTGATATAGGTCTACAGGAAGTTTGATACTGTTCACATTGGATAAAGTGAATAAATGTTTTTTTGTCAGAGTTCCCAATATTTGTGAATATGTATGTGAAATGAATGAAATGCAAGTTGCCATGCTAAAACAGTGCATATGGATGGTACTTTTAGATTTATTGTTATCAACTTCCTTGTAGTGTTTATGTGGTATGTGTGTGTATGCTTGAGTGAAATTGTTGTCATATTTGATATTTTAAAGTGCACAATTTTATGTGTAGTGAGAAAGCCTTTCAAAACAAGTGTAAAACCTGGTATTTCACTGAATAACTGTTTACCAAATAATTGTTAATGTTAACTTTTTTATTTATTGATTAAAATTGAAAACTGTTTTATTTATTTATAAATCTGCACATAAAATGCCACTTGGGAGTTTCATTGGTCTGAAGCCATACCACAGTTTAGGTGAAGATGCAAAACGTTGGTTTCTATACTTTGTTCAAAATTAATTGTACAGAATGCAGAGATTCTAAATAAAGTGTTGACATGGTTAAAACCTGACAGACATGTTCATCTTGCAATCATTCCATACACCAAATATAGTGACCCCATTGCTTATAGTATTTGAAAAAAAGACCAAACCACAAAACTTTACATTGACCAATGAACCATGAAAATGAGGTTAAGGTCAGATTAAACCCCACATTGGAACATGTACAGTTTACAATTATTCTATACACAAAATGCATACCAGAAGTTGACCTGTTGCTTATAGTATCTGAGATATGGACGACCATGAAAACTAAACCTTGGATCACTGATCTATGAAATGAGGTCTATAGGACATGCAGATATTGAAAGGATCCCATATCCCAAATATTGTTACTGGTATCCTATTACTAGTAAGAAGCGAGTTTTTCACATGACAAAAAAAAAATGTGGAAATTTCACGCAGTCACTTAACCTTGAAAACGAGGTCTTCTACCTTCTGAAATATAAAACTTTATACAAAAAGTTTATACTATCCCAGCCAAATTGTAATCCATGTCTCTCATTCTGTGACTCCTATTGGTTAAGACATAAAACTAAAACAAATAAACCGCAACACAATCGGATAATCCTTTCAGGAGTTGCCCAATCATTCACAATGTTGACCCATTTTTATACGACTGCCAAAAAATTTTGCGGTAGTGTATTGGTATGACTTTGGCGGCGTCGTCCGAAGACACATTGGTTTTCGCACTCAAACTTTAGTTTAAGTGAATGGATCTCTATGAAATTTTACCATAGGTTCAATACCACAAAAGGAAGGTTGGGATTGATTTTGGGGGTTATGGTACCAACAGTTAAGGAATAAGGGGCCAAAAATAAGCATTTTTGTAACTTCCAGACATAACTTGTGTGTAAGTGTATGGATCTCTCTGACATTTTACCACAAGGTTCCATATCACAATGGGAATGCTGGGATTGATTTTGAGGGTAATTGCCTAAAATGTTTGAGAATAAGGGGCCAAAAATAAGCATTTTTCTAGTTTCCAGACAATAACTTGTGTTCAAGTGTATGGATCTCTCTGAAGTTGTATTGCGATGTACCATATCACAAAGGGAAGGCTGTATCGTTTAGTGGGTAAATCGGGCAACTATAAGGCTAACAATACAACAAAGGCGTCTAGCTGGTATGGATCTCTATTCAAACTCTGATCTCAATACGTCACACTTAGGTGACGTTACAATGAATAGCGACAGCGAGAACGTTACGTTTATGCGTTACTTCCAACATACTGGGGGCCGCAAATGAATTACTTTACAATAAATAAAAGTGATCACAAATTAAATGATAATAGTTCTGAGAAAATAAATTAAAACTTTAAAGTCTCTATGTAATAATATTTAACAGTCCATGGTTATTCACTTAAATGTCCATATGTTAATTACACATTTACTTTTACTTTTCACAATTTACATTTAACACGCGTTAGTCCATGTTTTTATTTTCTTCTTTGCCTCAAACTGAGCTGCTCTAGTTTCAACTTCCAAAGAATTCAGTTCTAACGGATAAAGTTTGCTGATTGGTCTAGATGTCACACCATTTTTTGTTCGAATTATGGCTGATCGTGTAAGTCCATCTTTGCCGTAAATTAATTTGTCAATTACAGCCAAAGTCCAATTTACTCTTGATACATCGTCATGAATCTGAACTACATCTCCTACATTGATGTTCTGTGTGTTTCGACCAGTGTATCGGTAATGTTCCCTAAGCGAAGTTAAGTATTCCTGTTTCCATCTTTTTATGAAGTTTTTAAGAATCAATGATAGAAACTTCGATTGTCTAGTTACTGATTCATGCGTAGTGTCTTTGGTTCCTGGTTGTAAACTACAGTCTTCAAGTCCGTTATACGGTAGCGTCCTGATTCGTCTTCCATATAATAAATGTGACGGAGTAAGGGGTTCGTCGTCCGTTGGATCCGATGAAACGTATGTAAGTGGGCGGTCATTAAGTATACTTTCTACTTCAGTTATTATCGTGTTGAGTGTTTCATTGTCCACCAGTGCTCGTCCTAATACTTTTTTAATGCAATTTTTCGTTAATCCTATCAATCTCTCCCACCATCCGCCGAACCAAGGAGCTCTTTTCGGGATAAATCGCCAAGTTGTTCCATAAGAATTAAGCTTCTCGGTTACATATGATGACTTTGTTAAATGTTCAATTTCTTTTGCCCCCGCAACATACGTAGACGCGTTGTCTGAAATCATCACTTTTGGGAGTGACTATCTACTTGTAAAACGGCGAAAAGCTAAAATAAAAGCATTCTGTGATAAATCCTGCACAATTTCTAAATGAACTGCTCTTGTACTAGCACAAGTAAACAGACATATGTATACCTTTTTGTTTTGTCCTTCTTTAGTTCTTATGTGTAATGGTCCTGCGAAATCCACTCCTGTAACTGTGAATGGATGGTCTTCACGAAGTCTGTCGGCTGGTAGGGGTGGTGGGTCCGGAACTGGGTAGGGTCTTCCTGTTACTTTACGACAAGTAACACAGCGACGCAAAAGTGACTTTACGTTTCGTCTGATCGTTGGAATCCAGTAGTGCTGGCGCAAAACTGTAACTGTACTTTCTAGTCCACAATGGAAGTTTCTTGTATCCGCATCTTTTATGATGAGATCGGTTAACTTGTCTTTAGATGGCAATAAAACGGGAAACTTAGCTGATTCTAGTGTATTTGCATTGTTAATTCTCCCTCCACCGCAGCGTATTATATTTTCGTGATCCAAATACAGTTTGAGTTGTTTAACAAGGCTGTTTTTCGTTTGTTTCTCCTTTAAGTCCTTCATTATTTCGGCATAGTTTCTATGTTGTGAATTTCGAATTAACATTATAGACATATTCTGAATATCCGATACGGTTAACATTCCACTATGTTTGTCTTTTCTGCAGTTTTGTATGAATCTTAATACGTAAGCACTTACACGAAGTAGTTTCTGATAAGAAGAAAATTGATCAATGTTGATAATTTGATGAAGTCCTATTGTATCGGCTATCATACGAACCTCGTCCTTTTTCGCCGTTTCTGCGTCGTCTGTGGAAACGGAGAGAATTTGGTGTTGGTCATTAGGTATCCATGACGGCCATTTAGACTTGTCAGTAATCCACTGTGGACCATGCATCCATAATTGACTATTTTTAAATTTATCGGCTGATATCCCTCTAGATAGTAAGTCGGCCGGGTTTGAGTCTGTCGGGCAATACCTCCATTTAAACGTCCTTGTAAGTTGTTTGATTTCCGCGACTCGACTTCTAACAAAGGCTGGTAGTTGTTTGTCAGTCTTTAGCCAGTTCAGTACTATCTGACTATCAGTCCAAAGTATCGCTTGTTCAATATTGATATGTTGCATAAGATGATTTAACAGTCTAGCTCCTATAACAGACGCCATTAATTCAAGTTTCGGAATTGTCATTTTCTTCACTGGTGTAACTTTGTTCTTTGCCATCACTAGCTTGCTTTGATTTCCATCTACGTCTACAATATACGCACATGATCCGTAGGCCTTTAAGCTTGCATCGGTAAAAATGTGGATCTGCAAGTTATTCGTGTTTAAGGTGTTGTCTAGGTAACAGCGGGAAATCTCAAGTTTGGTACAATCATTCGTGTCTTTTTGTATCTGTCTCCACTGTAAAACGACGTCCGACGATAACGGTTCGTCCCAATCTACTTTCAACTCCCATATATGCTGCATCAACATTTTACTCCTAACGGTAATAGGACTGATTATTCCGAGCGGATCGTACACTTGTGATGACTGACGGAGTATATCGCGTTTTGTTGTAATGCTATCATCTACTGAAAGTGGGTCTCTGCGTGCAAATGTGAGTGTGTCGTTTTCTGTGTCCCATCGCAAGCCAAGTATCTTGACAAGTTTGTCTTCGTCTAGTACATTTTCGGATGAAGCACGGTCTTGTAGTTCTTTGCAGTTTGAAGCCCATGAGCGTAAGTTAAAACCTGCTTTTTCAAATACTGAACGTGATGTATGAAAGTAGTCTAACAAATCTCCTTGTTGATTAAAGCTCGAAATAATATTGTCAACATATAAGTCTTTCTTTAACATTGTTGTCCAGTCAGTGGGATTTTCAGTCAAATGTTTACGTATAACAGCATTTAGGATGAACGGTGAGCAAGTTGCTCCAAATAATACTGACTTGAATCTGTATGTGGTAAGTTGACTATTTGGGTCATCCGGATTACTAAGCCAAAAGAATCTGGTAACATCACGATCCTCTGCATCAAGACCAATATTAAGAAAGGCTTTTTCTATATCAGTCGACACGGCGTATTTGTGCATTCTAAATCGGAGAAGAATTCCGGTTAAGTCATTCAAGTTTGGCGAAAGATCCATCAAACAATCATTTAAACTCGGACTAACAGGTGTAGGTTTGCAGCTGCAGTCAAATACAATTCTGATTGGCGTGGTTGACGACTCTTTACGTACATGATGGTGAGGTATGTAATGAACCTTTGTGTTCGTTGATCGTTCATCAACTCTCTCGATAAATCCACGTTTTTCTTGTTCATTTATAATTTGTCCGTATTTCTGTAAAAGTGTAGGTTCACGACTAAGACGCTTAATGACATTTTCTGTTCTCCGTTGTGCAACACTTCTGTTGTCTAGTAAAATAGGGTGTTCCTCCTTCCAAGGTAACTTAGTAACATATCTGTTTCCATGGTAACTAATACAATTTGCTTCATATACATCTTGGAAATATCCGTTTTCAGATTTGTTGTCAGTACTTTCTATACCAGCAGCTTCAACTTCCCAAAATTTCTCCAAGTTAAGCTCTTCAACTTTGTGACCTACTAATATGTTCATCATTGACGTACGTGTGTGATCCG